GGTAATGGGCAAACACGCTTGTGCCTGCAGCAGATCAGCCCCTTAACAGCAAGGCTAAAAACAAGAGGCTTAACCTCCAAATCCCAATTTCGCTGCAAACATGCCATGCATCCCTGTATGAAGCCTTATTCTCACAGCGTCAATATATCCCCCTTCTCCGCCCCATCTGTAAATCTGCAGTATGGGGGACAATAATATTGACCTATCTTATAGGGTTGTTTATACAAATTACTGAGATGATGTTATACCAAGGGAAGCACTGCGTAGAGCGCATTGCAGCAATCCATTTTTTAAGTCACCTGAACTACTGTGGTCATGCTCTCCCAGTCCACAAACGGCATTTCTAGCTAGCTGCTGAGGCTACCTGGGCACCCGGTGACAAAGCGGGTTCCAGAAGCACCCCCAAACTGTGTACCTGCTCCTTCAGATGAACTTCAGTCCTGTCTTAGGCAGATAATGGATAAGTTTCTTGGGTGGGGGAACCAATCACCCACAGTGTCTCCTATCTGGGGATAAAGTAGTGCCCTGTGGCACCCCATAGCATAAATGCTGGGGATCTGAAAAGCACTCCCCCAGTGCTGCCCTCTGGATTTGGTCATGAACTATTGCAGCACAGTGTCCCCAATTCCCTTTCTACAGAGCAGGTCCAGGAAGTTATCATGGTCAATGGTACTGAAAGCTGCAGTGAGCTCAAGAAGCTCTGCTCTCTGCAGAGGTCATCCATCAGAGAGCCAGTGTGGTGTAGTGGCTAAGAGCAGTAGACTCGTAATCTGGTGAACCGGGTTTGCTTCCCCGCTCCTCCACATGCAGCTGCTGGGTGACCTTGGGCTAGTCACACTTCTCTGAAGTCCCTCAGCCTCACTCACCTCAGAGAATGTTTGCTGTGGGGGAGGAAGGGAAAGGAGAATGTCAGCTGCTTTGAGACTTCTTCGGGTAGTGATAAAGCGGGATATCAAATCCAAACTCTTCTTCTTCATCAGGATGACTAAGGGTGACTCAGTCCCATGGCCAGGCTGGAACCCAGATTGGAATAGATCTAAATAATCTGTGCTGTTTGAAATGTGTCTCCATAGCTGTGTTTAGGTGCTCGTCTGAACACATTAAGGGTTAAGTGGGCAGAGGCACTCACTCTTTAGATCTTTGTCTGATTAGTGCAAAGGTTTGAAGATGTTTTCAAAGCATGTTTATCTCCACATGCTTAGAAACTGTCTTCATGATCAGAAGCCTTTGTCTATTATCTCTGAGAATTCTTGGAGAACAGGTAAGAGGAGAACAGACTGGAGGTGGGCAAATGTTGTCTCCATCTTCAAAAAGGGGCGAAAGGAAGACCCAGGTAACTACCAACCGGTGAGCTTGACACTGATACCAGGAAAGGTCCTAGAACAGAGAATTCAACAGTCGGTCTGTGAGCATTTAGAAAAGGATGCTGTGATTCCTAAGACCCAGCGTGGTTTTTTTTCCAAGAATTAGTCATGCCAGACCAATCTGATTTCTTCTTTTGATGGAATTACAAACTTGGTGGATCAGGGAAATTTCAGTAAGGCTTTTGACAAAGTCCATTTTACCAGCGGGGAAGCTAGTAAAATGTGGGCTGAACAAGGTAACTGTTAAGGGGATTTGACTGGCCGAACCCAAAGAGTACTCATTAATGGTTCCTTGTCATCCTGGAAAAAAGTGACAAGTGGGGTGCTGCAGGGTTGTCCTGGGCCCGTTGTTGTTTAACGTCTTTATAAATGACTTGGTTGAAGGAATTGAGGGGAAGCTCATTAAATTTGCAGATGACACCAAACTGGGAGGGTTAGCTCATGCTGCAGAAGACAGAATCAGAATTCAAAATGACCTTAACAGATTGGAGAACTGGGCGCAAGCTAACAAAATGAAACTGTCTTGCATCATGTTTGCCAATGTAGCTCGGTAGATAGTTCAGTTGGTAAAGGTAAAGGGACCCCTGACCATTAGGTCCAGTCGTGGCCGACTCTGGGGTTGCGGTGCTCATCTCGCTTTATTGGCTGAGGGAGCCGGCGTACAGCTTCTGGGTCATGTGACCAGCATGACTAAGCCACTTCTGGCGAACCAGAGCAGCGCACGCAAACGCCGTTTACCTTCCCGGCGGAGCGGTACCTATTTATCTACTTGCACTTTGATGTGCTTTCGAACTGCTAGGTTGGCAGGAGCAGGGACCGAGCAACGGGAGCTCACCCCGTTGCAGGGATTTGAACCACCGACCTTCTGATCAGCAAGTCCTAGGCTCTGTGGTTTAACCCACAGCGCCACCCGCGTCCCTAGTTCAGTTGGTAGGAGACTCTTAATCTCAGGGTCATGGGTTTGAGCCCCATGTTGGGCAAAAGGTTCCTGCATTGCAGAGGGTTGGACTAGATGACCCTTGTGGTCCCTTTCCAATTCTACAATTCTATGTCCTTTGAATTGCCACCACTTCCCAAGGCATCAGACAGGTTTTCAGTACCGGGGATTGAATTTGGGACTTTGTAGTAGAGAGAGTGATCACATTATGATTAGAATACAGAAGATTCAGTTTAAATGTCAGGTTGGTCCTTTTCATGTTGCCATTATCGTGCACCTGCCCTTTTTGTAATTTTGGTTTGCAAGTTAGATTTGGAAGTGGCTGACATAGCAATATAGCCCCCACCCCAACCTCAAGTGCCTTTGTGACTCACTTACAGGAAAGTAATTTTGTCTCTCTCCCCAATTCCCAGTTGTTGCCATATATGACTACACAAAGGACAAGGATGATGAGCTGTCATTCATGGAGGGTGCAATCATTTATGTTATAAAGAAGAATGACGACGGCTGGTATGAAGGTGTTTGCAACAGAGTCACTGGCCTGTTTCCTGGAAACTATGTTGAGTCAATCATGCACTATGCGGATTAAGTTCTCTCTTCAGGTCAGGTCTTATTCAATCATGCCATAATTATTTACAAAGGGTAACTAAAAGGTTAACAATTGTCTTAATGCTCTTTAAAATGTGCCCATCCTTTCAGGCCATACTGTTTAAATGGTATGATTGAATGTTCATCTGTAAGCATTTGTCTCTGCAGAGTTTGTAAAACGAGCAACTGTTTATTACTGATTATGCTTATTTACTTATGCATTGTTGATTTTTATGACCAGCCTAAATATTCTGGGGAAGTAGGGTATATAATATTTAATGACTCATGATTCAAATTGTGCCATTATTTTCTTTTTTCAGTGCAGCATGGTAAACTAACAACTATGTTAGACTAACATTAAATCTGATTGAAAAGTCTGATAGTGCTGGTCATTTACCTTTGTTTAGACTCTTGCTCATCCTCAAACTATAGTATTTGTTTAAAAGCATGCATACAAACTTATGTATTGAATTATACTTTTTTCTCTCCAAAAAATCCAAGATGCTTCCAATTTGTTGTAATCTTTTGCCTGGAGTACTCTTTCACAAAACCTATTCCAATTAGTCCATTTGAGTCTCTAAGGTGTCCATATGAATCAAAGATGGGTGGTCTTATGATGTATGTGTAATTTGTACCTGAGTTTTTTATGAGTAAATTTGCATTGAATTTTTCCATTCATAAATACATAAGTGAACCAAAGGTCTTGTCCATTAATTTGTTGGCTTGCCTTGCAAAGCAATACTAAAACATTGACTTGGCAAAAATCCCCCCGCCCCTTATAAGCAGGGACAATTTTGATGCAAGTGCAAAACTTAACATCATCCGAGATAGGAAACCAAGTTTCTGCAAGCTCATGATGCGTAAAATTACACAAAACTATTTGGCTTCATTCATTGCGACAGTGAGTGATAACTGCTAGACACTTGCAATTCATGTCTCTTGTTACTCTTTTAAACAGAGGATCACAGTGCTAAAAGGCTTATAGGGGAGTTTGCAGAGTAAAGGAGTCCTGGGCCTGGGAAACTGCATTAACATCTCTTCCGATAGTTCTTGGATGCTAGACTTAGCTGGGGACTGACACGCAACAGAAATCTGTGCCTATTCCCAGCTATCCACATATGACCAGAGCTGTCCAGGCTGATAGTGCTGATTTAGCATTAGATGGGCAACGTCATGCCATCTAATTGCATCTTTGGCACTAAAGCTGCAACACCAGGAATCAACAGTGCATTCTTCCCTCCACCCAGTAGTCTTTTACTCTGGCAGTGGAGCTTCCTTAGGGGTGATTGCCTTTACCAGCTTGGGTGACTGTGGTTATTAAATGAAGCCACTTGGCCCTGGTTATGAGGCTACTAAGTTTTGTTCTCCGATCTTAACACATTCCACAACATGCAGAGTTGTGAGGAAACTTATCACAAGTCACTGTCCTATCGGCCACCTCACTTAAAACGTGGAAGGTTGCATGTCCTGCTAAGATGACGTTGTAGCACTGAAGGGATTTGCTACTGACTTGTCCACATCACTGTATTTGAAGACGGTTGCTGCCACAGCCATCCACAAAATACAAGGAGCATGTGAGCCCAGGTGGAGGCAGATACTACAGGAGAGATGCTGGTCCAGGTGTCCTACTGAAAGGAGCTAATCATATCCGCTCACGTAGGGAAGGACACAAGCAGTCACAGCCTACTTTGCTCTTCTAAGAAAGCAACACATGCACTTTGACACCTCCATTTTGAGCACAACGTCAGGTGACTTTTTTTGGTCTCTTTGTACAAAACTTGTATTACTTAGATAATCTAAGGCAGATTATGATTTAGTAAGGGATTTTTTTTTTACTGTATGTAGTAAAGATTTATTTGGACTGAACTGTCTTAATGGGTATTAAAATTAAATGATGAAAGAGCAGGTGTACTGGCTGTTCGAGTGGTTACAGTTGTTTTCTAGTGTGGCATTAAATACTGAAGCATCCCTTGCCGCCTTACCTTAAACAAACCTAACTATATTAAATGCTTTCTTGCCTTTTCCTAATTGTTAATCTGTTATTTCTGAGATCAGTTAGCAATCCGTAAAACCTATCTGTATTCCCTTTATAAATTGGAACATCTTAAAATTGTATATAACCTGTTTATTTACAAAAAAATATGTGCAGTCTTTTTATAATAAACCATACTCCTTTAATATTCTTGGTACTCTGAAACTAATAGGCAATTAGATCATTCTTAAGGTATCTTTCTTATACTCCTAGCACACACCAAGGCGTTTGCAAAAGTGATTTTCAACACATTGATTGTATTTATTCATTGTGGCCTTGGGTGTCAATATTGAACGATGTAAACAGTGCCCATGACAAAAACAGGAACCCCCCACCCATTAAAAATACAGGCACAAGGCATTGCTACCAGTTTAACAGACTGATCTTGTTTCATCATTTTTGTATGGCTTCCTTCAATAAAACATTTTTACTTCATAAACCTAGTTATATTTATTTCAGTGAGGATAACTTAAATTTTGGTAACTGCACTGGAAGCAAGCCAAGATGTTTCACCATGTAGATTTAGGCACAGTCTGGTAAATATCTCCTTCATTGCAACTCATTCTGGCAGCTGAGTCATTTGTCTCGGGCGATGACTATTTCTGCTAGTTGAATGAGGGCATCTCTTTCAGGGGATGGTCTGAGCTTGCTGATCTCTGTCATCGCTTTATGGCAGTAGCGCTGGGCGAGGTAGGTTGTTTGCTGCACGCCATGACTCTGAAAAAGAAAAAGAAAAACACCCAAAGACTTTTAAGTAGAGAAGTTAGGAGGCCATGGGATCTTTCTTGCTCCCTCTTTTCTGTCAGATTTTGAAACTGATTCTAGAACATAAATTTTAGCAAAGGTGTTTTTAGACAACAGTCCAAAACCACCATTCTGCAGAGCTCAAGGGCTCTGTAGGTTCGATGCTAGGGATTGAATCTGGGACCTTTTGCATCTCCAGAACCAACTGGGATAAACCTGTTGCCAGCAAGCCTGGAGAGCCACTGCCAGTGTAGACAATGTTAAGATAGATGGACCAATGGTCAGATTTGCCATAAGGCAGCTTTTCTATGCTCCAAGCAGTTTAAAAGCTGAGGGACAAGCAAATACGCTGTCTGAATGTGCTCGACTACCTCTACACTCCTCCAAGGTGGTTATCTGTACTTAAAGCTTCAAGTAAATACATCTAGATTACAACAGAGCTGAATGCACCGGAAAGGAGAAGCACAAAACTAATTTACACCAATGCTTACTGGACAGAACGTATCATGCTCACATTTTCTGCATTAAGCGTTCAGACTTGAGTGAACAGGTCCTGTTCTCCATAGGAGGTTAATGGTGAAAATCTGTTCTTGCAAAAAGTCACCTTATTGAAATATTTATACCCTGTTCAAGATAGCTTACAACGAATATTAAAACACGGGGCTCACTAAAACTTCTGAAGTTCATGTTTCAGTTGTTGGGGAAAACCACATATATCATTGATAGGTGATACCCAATATAAATTTGCTTTGTAAAATGAAGTGTTAAGAGTAAAGGCTAGAATCCTACATCAGGGCTTCAAAAATAACCATAAAACTTAATTCCAGATGAATTCCTATTAACTAAATCTATTGTACTGAACATTAATGTCTAGCAGTATTAGATACATGTATGAGCTGGTATTTATTTTAGTCTCGTCTTGTCTTACCTGTAATACATAGTCCCGGGCACGTTCAATGTCTCCTGGCAAACTGAATCGCCTCATTATCATGGCATTAATTTCTGGAAACTGAGAAGGAGAAAAACATTAACCTCCCCCAAAATGCAAGAGCTTAGCAACTAATAGGAGAGACGAACTACCTATTATCTTTTCTCACCTATAAACATCTCACAAGCATTTTTATGAAAAGGCAGGCATACAGCTTGAACAAGGTAACATGAAACGCTTCCACCCCTACTCATCCTTAAATTTCAATATACAGTGCTATCTTGGGTTAAGAACTTAATTCATTTTGGAGGTCCGTTCTTAACCTGAGGTACCACTTTAGCTAATGGGGCCTGCCGCTGTGCTGCTGCCACGCGATTTTTATTCTCATCCTGAAGCAAAGTTCTTAACCCGAGGTACTATTTCTGGGTTGGCGGAGTCTGTAACCTGAAGCGTCTGTAACCCAAGGTACCACTGTAGATGTCTCTCAAGTAGCCAGCAGCACAAGTTTAACATGGGGTGAAGACAGTATATTTATTAATCCTACCTGCTGACAAGCAAATAAGACAGGACCAGTGGCTATACCAAGCTTAAGGTCTGCTGACGTTGGCTTTCCCAGCTGATCAGAACAGGATGTAAAATCCAGCACGTCATCTATCAACTGCAAACAGACAGACAAACGTTGAGACCAGTTAACAAGGATCTTAAAAAGAATTAGTTCATAACAATTATAATAGTTGTATCCAGCTTTCAATTCTTTTCTGCCTGCTGAACAGGGGACAGTCTAAGCTTGCTGATCTTACTGCTTTATGGCACTGGCCCCAGTCATTTGTTGTCTCACAAGTCTAAAAGCTAGTTTCTTAGCCTATTTCCTTAGTATCTCTATATACCAGAGATGTCAAACTGGTCAACCGGTCGATCCCCGGATGATCTTGTTCAATCACGGGATCCCTATTGATCTGCAGCAGCGATAAGCAATGGAGTGGAAGTCCCTCCCCCTCCCCACTGCAACTGCTCTTTTCTTCCGTTGTTTGAAATTGGTATTTAGCTGACGAGTTAGAAAATGAAAGTAGTCTTCACCGCTGCGTCGTCGTTCTAGGTGAGTGATGTCCCCCCCCCCCAATAAAGCTAAGCTTTCCCCCTCCCTAAAAAAGCTCAACCGCTTTGGCTCCCCCCCCCCCCATGGGTAGATCACTTCCAGAATTTTTATACTGGGAGCAGATCGCAGTCTCTTGGGAGTTGGACGTGCCTGCTATATAGTACCTGAAATGCTATCCCGAGGTTTCTTCCGTATTGGTATGCAATCTCATGCACCTCTGGATCAGGGCAGCCTAGAATGGAAACCTGAAAGGGAAACACAAAAGAATTCTGTCATTAGTATCCATTGTTTGTATATGCAGCACATTAATAGTAAACAACTGAAGAGAGAAGACAGGCTTCATTAGCTGCACTGTTGACCACCCCCAGTACCCGTTTATACACCCAGGCACGTACAAACTAGATCTATTTAAAAGAACACAAGGCCCATCTGAACTACAGCATTAAATATATATATATATCTCTGAATTTAGATTGGATATATCAAATATTCATCATGGCCAAACTTCATTGCACGCACAGGGCTTGGAGTCTCCGAGATACAGAATGATGGGCTGCAAACTGATTGTTTGCCAGTTACTAATGCAATGGCAGCCATGTCATTTGAGGCAACTCTGGTCCCAGCAATTGCCAGAATCTCAAGAGCAATTTCTTCTCCACAAAAAGGGCAGAGTTAAATTCACAAAACACAATGTAAAAAGTGGACACGGCAGTCAAATAGGTGATTGTTTCATGCGAAGTCTGCCTGGCAGCCATTTTCTGCACTGAAGTTGCTACAAGCTGGTCTTCACACGTGTGTGTGTGTGAGAGAGAGTGAGAGAGTGAGAGAGAGATGCTATAGTGATCATGTCTGATGTCCCTTGGGAAGAAACATATTCAGAAGACAGGTGCACCATGTTAAATCCCACCCCCAATGCAAACAGTTGCATTAATTAACACATCTAGGACATAGAACTAGACTATACATTTAAAGCAGTATTGGACCACTTTGAACAGTCATGGCTTCCCCCAAAGAATCCTGGGAACAAGGTTTCACTGTTACATCATTGGGAACTGCAGCTCTTGTGATGGGGACAGAGTATAGGGGCACTGTGACAACTGGCAGCATCATTTTCAATCAATCCCTTAATAGTTCCCAATACTTGACCTTTTTCACAGCTGCTGCACAAGAGCTGATGTTTTCAATGAACTATCCACCACTCAATATCACTATCATGGTTAAGTCACTCCTTTATGTACAGACCTCATCAATGCATATAGGTGAAGTCAGGCATTTTTGTTCCAATGTGCATCACTCTATACACGTAAACAACCCTAGAGGTCTGCTAATAGCAATAAGAACGAACAATACTAGGGAACTCTGCATCCTAGCTCAAGTATCTCCAGTATAACAGCACAAATGAGTATCTGAAAGCAATATGGAAATCAGCCATTGTGACAAAGGAAGAGCCAAACCAGGATTTAAAATGCAGCTTTATACCCACTGAAGTTTTGGCAATATATTATTTGGACATTTTAGGCTGTGGTCCTAACTCCACCCACTTGGGAATAAGCCCCACTGAATTCAACAGGACTCATGTCTACTCAGAACTGCACTTTAAGTTAGGAAGACTTCCAAAATAGATGCATAGAAAGAAAGAAAGATGACATTACAACGAGGAATGGCAAAGTACAGCAGCCACCAATGACCAATGGCACTAGCCATCAAGACATCGTTTTTTTAAATATCCTCCTTTGACTCATTTCCTAACATTGTGAGACTGAGATAAGCAAAGAGTGCTAAGTTACTGATGTGCTTCACTCCTTTCAGCATGAGACACACTGGAGAGGCTTCCAGGACTTTGGGCCCCTTAAGCCTGAAGAGCTAGTAAGAGAAAGCTGTGAAAAGGCTGCAAACCCCCCCCCCCAAGTTTCCCACCGATGCATCATGGTATATGAACAACAAGAAAGACGGAACGTACATACTGCTTTACAGCTGTTTGCTATAAGACTCGCAGTCTTCTTAAAGGTCTTTTCGAGGTAGTGAGCAAATCTCTCATTTTCGTTTTCTTTGGAACCCATCTGAAGAAATTCGCCTAAAAAAAGATGAAGAGCCCAACACTGTCATTCAACTGCTGCCTAGACAAAAATGTCTCAGTTGCTTCTAGAGATTTTGTTAAAATGCCTTACCATGCACCAGATCCTCAATCACACATGTTATCACAGAAACAATGGTTGCGCTTCCAATACGTGCTAATGCTAAAGAGGCTGCAGAAAGGATGAAATCCCCAGCTAGGACTGCCTGGAAAGGAAGAATTTGCTTTAAGAGAGAAGCAGCATATATAAAATACTGAAACTGTTTTCTCTTTAATGCAGCGGGAGGTGGGGGAAAGAGAGAGGCGTTTTCAATTTACAGTCATTTTTGTGTGATTTATTTTTTTCTCCAGATTTATTCAAAGGTATTCCCTTTTACAGATACCTGAATGAGAGTGAAGTCTTACCCTGGCACCAAAAAGATGTCGGTGTCAATGCCAAGCAGGCCTCAATAGCGAGAGCATTTCACAGGTGTGGGGGCCACCACTGAAAAGCCTCTCCATGTTGCTGCGCCTCTGAGCCTCTCTTGGCACTAGACAACTCTTGTAATATCCAGCTATATTCTTGATGGGAGAAGCAGTCAGTCAGATAAGGCTATATAAAAGGGGTAGGGAACCTTTTCTGGGTAGTGGGCCAGATTGTTATACCTGGCAGGGCTGCCCCTGTCAGTCACTATGATGACAAGTGATGTGCTTTGAAGTCCCAATTGCTGGGACATTCAATACTGTTTGAAAGACTTTTGCTATTGGAAAGGGCTTTCAGACTACACTCCTGTTTGATCCTCTGGAAGCTCAAATGGGAGCAGGTGCGGGGAGGGGAACTGTCCTGACAATACTTTGAAAAGGCAGGTGTTTTTCCTCAGGTGATCAGGAGGACAGAGAAAGAAACCTGCCTTCTGGAAGGACTGGCTACTCGCAGGGAATCACCTGCATAGCTGATCCTTTTAAAAGGTAGCTGCTTCCCAAAGGGATGCTTGCTTTGGCTGCCCATGCCTGTTCCCAGGATGGGACAGGCACACACAGTGAAACTGAGTTCCTTGGAGGCTGCTGCACACTGCTTTTTCAACTTCCAATTTCAAAAGTTCAAAGAGCAGTGCTAGGCAAAGGAAGTGGTTTTGACAGACTCTTGCCACCCACCAGCAGAGGAACAATCAGGAGCCTACTTGAAGCTTCTGAGAGTTCCTTTTAAACCCTGCCCTTATCTGTCCTAATAAGATGGGGGTGCCGTCCCCCTAACAGTCTGGCAGGCTAAAGAAGCCTGAGGGGAAGCCTGATGTGCCAAGATTGGCCAGCGGGCAAGAGGTGCCCCACTGCTTCTTCACAGCTTAAAACTAGCACTTTGAATTGGGTCCAAAAAGGTGTAAGCAGCAGCTGCAGTTGTGCCAATACTGGTGTGATATGGTCCACCTCATCAGCAGCCTGGCGACTGCCCTCTGCTCCAACTGCGGTTTCCAAACAGCCTTCCAGGGCAACCCTGTGCCCAGTGCATTGCGGTAATTAACCTAGAGATTACCACAGTATAGGTCAATGGAGTTAAGCTATCCCTGTCCAGATATGGGTATAGCTGGGCCACCAGCTCAAGATGGGAGAAGGCACTTCACACCACAATGGCTGCTCAAGGGACAGAATAGAACCTCCAAGTCAGGAGTCTGCTATTATGCTCCCTAGCAGTGTAAAGAGAGGTCAGCTCAGCTGCTACATATGATGATTTTATTATTTATTTGAAAAGCCTTCCTGCCCTTTCTCCAAAGGAGCCCAGAGCAGCAGACAAAAAAACCAATACAAGCATTTAATCAAAAAGAAACAATAAAAAATCCCCAACAGCTAAATAATTTCAAGGCTGCCACGAACAATAACTTTCAGCCATCATATTTATTACTTGAAATGCCAAGTACAGCTTTTAATTGTTCAGACCAAGATAATTTTCCATGGCTGCTTTCGCTTACAGAAGTTGAAGGACAGGGCTAAGTCCACGTCATTCTCATGCCTCCAAACCAGCTGTGAGTTGCATGCAGATGAGGAGGCCCAGCCCAGCCAGATCAACAGGTGTGCTTACCAAGTCAATGGGGCCTGAAAGAGCATCGGTGTCAGTTACACACATGAAGCACCATTGCTGGATTAGATTAAACTGGAACCAGCAGGTGCACCATTAAGATGTGCTCCTTTCTTTCCCACTGGATATCAGGGAAGATTGTGACACAAACACAGCAAGATCTCGGCACAAAGAACCCCTTTTATTAACCTAAACTCTGCCCCAGCTGACACATACATATCTGAACTGCCCTTCCTGCTCTGTTATCTTGTCTCATCTCCCCACTACTACTGCGATTCCCACCCATAATTCTAGCTCACGTGTTTCAAGAATTCAAGGACAGTGGAAGAGGTGAGTGGGCAGCAGGGCTGTAACAAACTGGGGCCAAGAGACCAAGGGTGGGGAGGACATTCTGCAGAAGAAGGTGCTGGATCGGGCATGGTCAATGTGGTGCCCTCCAGATGTTGGTGGACCACAGATCACCCTTGATCACCGGCCACATTTTCTGGCCACTGGGAGTTGCAGTCCAACAACATCTGGAGGGCACTGTGTTGGCCACCCCTGGATAAATTGGTTCCCCCCCCCCCATCACTCCACCCACAAGATAAGGAAAGGGGAAGCAGCACTCCAAGAATTCAAGGTATTTGCCCAGACGGGTTATTTTATCAGCTTCTCTTCAGATAATTTCCTGTTTTTCCAGCCTTCTGCTAAACCTGCTTCTCCGGACTAATTCAGATTCCATTTTCGGGGACTTCCGGGTTAGCGCCATCGGCGAATGGCGGAGTTCCTCCGACCGGAGGAACTGGCTCCGTGGCATATAATGATATAAAATATGATCAGCTTTTGTTGGCAAATTAGGAGGCAGGCCTTTGGGTGCAAGGAACACTTTTGCCCCTTCATTTCAGGAAGTGCTCAACTTTGGCTAGACTATGCCATGTGTAGAACAAATGTATTTAATTTTGCATGCCAAGTGTTCTGTGCAATTCAAAAGCATGCAAGCAATTAACATAAACTGTTGCAAATAAAAAACACCCGTAATTATTTAATCTTAAAAGCAATAGATAAAACCTGCCTCGTTTGCTTTAGTCATCCTCACAGCCTGTATACTTTCCCTACAGCTTCCCATGTAAACATCCCTCCAAATACACAAATAAATAAAAAATCACTGCATCGCTACAAACACACTCACCTTCCTTTCCCCCCAAATGTGATTGACTGTTTGTTTTCCTCTCCGTGAATTTGCATCATCAATAACATCATCGTGAAGGAGAGTAGCTGTATGGATCATTTCTGTAATTACTGCTATAGAACGCTGGCTTGCCTGTACTTCCCTAAAATCGGAGTGAAAGAGACAGGGGAAGCTGAGCAAACCAAGCACGCTAGGACACGTTCACCAGATCAGCAGTTTTGGATAGCAATGACTTGTTCTGCATTTGTGACAAATAGTTTGGAATCCAGTGTCTCTGTAGTTCACTTCCTCATCCAAACTTAATCCAATTCTTCTCCAGCAGAATCAGGCAGTTGGTTTTTATGGGCAGGTATGGGGAAGTCAGAAGTTATTACGATCATCATCATCATCATCAGACCACCTTCCTTACAGACTGTCTTGGGTGTTAAGATCAGCAGAGCGGCCCCTGCCCTAAGAATTCTTTTTTTTGGGGAGGGGGGGTGGCCCAGGAGAGCATTCCTTCCCTATAGAAGGGCACCTGGGTAATAAATTTAATAATAATTTATAGAAATACACAGCGGTGCAGGACAAACGCATGAAGAGAAATTATTCCCTCTTGTATGGAACGTAAGAACTTGGTCAGCTAATGAAGCAAACTTGAAATTATTTATTCATAAAACACAGGAAATCAGTTTTTTTACAGAAGGTTGGGCTGGCAACTAAACTAGCTTTTAAAAGGGATTATATATACCAGCCTTCCTCAACCTGGTGCCCTCCAGATGTTTTTTATGACCACTTCCATTAGCCCCAGCTACCATGGCCATTTGGGCGGGGGCTGATGGGAGTTGCAAACCGAAACTTTGGAGAGCACCAGGCTGGGGAAGACTGAGACAGAATATATTGTTGAATATTAGCGATGGAAACAAAAAATGGAGCTCTCATGTTCCGTGGCAGTATGCCTCCAGGTGACAGGAGCAAAGAGACAGCTATCTCCACCAACCTCTGAGAAACGTTTCCTTGCAGAATCCAGCTGACCATGACAGAAACAGAACCCAGTGCTAGATTATCTAAAGACCCACTTCGAACATTTTGTCAGTGAAATTTAAAACACTTGACCAGTGAATTTCCCACAGCACCAACAGCAGCAGCACTAAGGGGACAAGATATTAACTTGTCCTACTGAAACCCACGCAAAAAACCCCAAAAAACCTTTCTATAGCCAAAAGCTATAAAGTGGGCATCAAGTCAGCCTGTGGCTGTGATCCTTACCCCACTTACCTGGGAGTAAGCCATGCTGAATTCTACAGGACTTACTCCCAAGTAGACATGGTTAGGACAGCACTGTAAGGTTTAAGTTTTATTCAGAGAGGACCCACTGAAACTAATGAACATGATTAAAGGTAAAGGGAACCCTGACCGTTAGGTCCAGTCGCGGACGACTCCGGGGTTGTGCGCTCATCTCGCTCTATGGGCCAAGGGAGCCGACTTTTGTCCGCAGACAGTTTTTCCGGGTCACGTGGCCAGCATGACTAAGCCGCTTCTGGAGAACCAGAGCGGCGCACAGAAACGCCATTTACCTTCCTGCTGGAGTGGTACCTATTTTATCTACTGGCACTTGACGTGCTTTCAAACTGCTAGGTTGGCAGGAGCTGGGACCGAGCAACAGGAGCTCACCCCGTCGCGGGGATTTGAACTGCCGACCTTCTGATCAGCCAGCCCTAGGCTCTGTGGTTTAGACTACAGCGCCTAAGTTGGGTCTATTACTTACAGTAGGTCCAGTCCGAGGAATACCACCGTAAATCCCACACTTCCTTTCCTTGCCATACGGGCACTTTAGACTCACCTGGAGCTGTGCCTGCTGCTCCTTCCCTTGCTTTTTATACCAGTTTCCTAGTGCGTCACATATGAGTGTGCCAAAGAACACTGGGAGCAACTCCTCTGTCACACTACAATTTGGGGCAAAGGTTTGCCCATACTATGCTCAATGCTGCGGACACTTTGTGCCAACAATTCTAGATATTTATATATTGGGCTAATGGAATTCTGGCCTTTTCCTTTCTTGTTTTTAGAATGAAATTGAGGGGAAGAAGGGGGACAATGGCACCCTTTGCAATGCTGTGTACAGTTTGGGAAAGATATTGAAAAATGCATAAATTGTGCAGTTGCAAACATGCTGCTTAACTCCTGCTGTTATTGCTAGCAAGTGACTTTTTTTTTTAGCCAAGTGGATTTGAAATTGTAAGAACTTTAAAAATACAGGTTAGGTATTTACCCGGAGTTATTATGATGAAAATTGCACGCTCTAGCCATTAGCACCACAATCATTGGTCGAAAAGCCTTCCCTTTGCCATCAAAGTAATATTCACACATTTCCTTCAGTTCTGTAGTAGATACCCATAATTCCTGTAAACAAACAAAAATGCAGTTTTAAAGTTGAGCAGTAAATCTGGAAATAGGTTGATGCAATGTTATGCCTCTTTGGAAGAGAGATTACAGCACTTCACACCAGACACCAAAGAGCCCTTACCTTTTTAATATCTTCATAGAGATTATTCAAGTCTTTGCTTCCCAGTTTAAAAGGATCCTTATATTTTTCATCACTAACCGCTGTACCACAGCTGTACAATCGCAGCGTTGTGTGGTGAAACCTGGCGATAGCATTATTTGAAAGAATTTAGAGAGGTAAAATACAGGTTGGATTTGTGTTTCATTTTACAGAGCATACAAAATACTGGCCTGATTTGCATGTCGTGCTAAGCCAAAGCTAAGGCATAGTTTATTAAATAAACCATGCTTAAAATCACAAGTTGCCCCACATGATTTGTTCTCTAAAAGTTTGGTTTCTTTCTCTCCTCCCCCCCCCCCGCTCACTTCTCACCTACTTTGTACTTGCCACCCTATATCCCAAAAGCCTCTGCAGCACCTTGTACTGGTGTTCATGTCTCCATGCCCATTCCTACTGGGCAGCTGCAAGAGCAGAGCTAGGGAAATTGTCCCCGAGTTCTGTGCCTGCTCTCATCCATAACAGATTCCCACCCAAATTTCTCAGTGGTTTCTTAAACCTTTCCTTTCTTAAACTTTTATCCCTGCACCTGCCAGTTCACCTCAACGTCACTCTGTTACACTACCCCATCACTCCTCTCCTTAGATGGTACTCAAATTAGCCACTGAACTTAATGGGGTTCACTTGCTGTAATGTGGATATAGGAGAGGGCAGGAAAGAAAATGGTATTTTGAAAGGGGTGGGGGGCAGGAGATAATCCCCTAATTGGCTGCTGGTGGAGGGAGAGCGTAAGATAAATTTGTTGAGGGCAGATTGGCACACTGTATGTAGTTTAACAAGCTGAGGCTGAAATATTTTTTCTTACTTTCAAGCTCCTTTAGACAGCTATAACCTGTAAAATGCTATCAACAGGCTTTCAAACAGTAAAAATTTGAGCTTTGCAGCAAAGGTGGGGCAGGACAAAACAGAGGTCTCATTTAAGATTTCATCTGCACTATGTGCTAGAGCTATGACATGATATTTCTTTTTCTTTTTGGTGTGTACACATAAATAATTACAATAAAAATAGCACAGCACCAGCCCTTTCATTAAAAGCAGTCAGTTTCCAAACATCTAGTTTGGTGGTCAAAAGATAAGGATTTATTGTCTTGCTTTATTACACCCTACACGATCAATGGTAATTATAGACTAATGAATATTTGCTGCAATCAAGACACTCAATATGTAATTGAGTATCTGGTACTACTCTAGTTCATTTTGTTTACGTGGAACTTGTGCATGCAAGCAAGCCTATTTAAGCTTATAGTACAGGAGCAGTGAACCCATATTGTACCCACACTAATCTTGTGGCAAATGTGGAAGAATTCTTGGAGCAGCTTATTCCCAATAACTCAAACAGTATTCAGAAGAGGACAGCTGGGCAATAAATCTCAGGAACATGGATACAGCTTGTACTCTGTCACCCAGAAGTGAAGCCATTTTTGGAACACGCAACTAGGTATGCAGAAAGACTCGCTGTGCACTTAAGAAATGTGGACTCTTCGGCAAGACGTGTTTCAGAATGAGGTGAATACTGCAAGTGGTGCACTTGATGGGGGCCTTCCCTTCAATATGTAACACTAGGATAAGAATCCCTACCAATCGGTAGCTGAGCCAGGGAAACTTCCTTCTCTTGATTCTTAAGTGACATATTTTACCTCAATCTAATTATTGTTTCAACTTAAGGAGCATGTTATTGGCCTGGCATTCCTACTGCACTTATTTACTACATCTTGCCACTGGTTCTTCAGCTTCCACTTAAAAACAGGAGTAAAGTCGCTTGGTGAAGCTTTTACATGTTCAAAGGCAAAGCAGGTTGCTGTCCTAGCAGGCTTGTGCAGGAGGACCTTTTAATAGGATCGAAATATGGTGCTCCAAATATGGTAGCTATCCAGCCCAAAGACGTTACAATATGCAAGGAGGAACTCGAAATCAAATCAGTGTTATGAAATAGAAGATGAACACTTATGTCGTATAAAACAAAGGGGAAGAGAGAAATAGCTTGATCCCATATCAGTTAGTTTATTGAATGTATAAATTGCTTCCCTGAACCTGCTTTGGTTATATTGTATCAACTTACAGCATTATATAGATCATGATAGCACCCATAACTGTAGGACTTCTAAAAATATTCACCCAGGTTACCTAAAACCTACTCCTATATATGGTGCAATACAATGGCAAGGTCTTCAACTTACCGCCAAAATATACTACGAATTTTTAAAATGGATAGAGCCGAACTTCTCCCAAGAAAATCAGGTCTCTGTCCAGAGGAAAAAAGAAATGAAACATTAGTGAGCATACATTTACAAACCACATTTCACCTAACTTTTATTTTATTTGAGTATTTATATTCTGCCTTCTACACTACTTAGGACATCTTACAGCATTCTAAATTATAATTTCATTAAAACAATGCAGAACGATTGCTAAAAGACAGCGCCAACAGTTAAAAGAATCGTAAGAATATTGTCTAACTTGCAAGAGCTTCTTGGAAGAAAATGGTTTTCAATAACTACAGGGGTGGAGGAATGTGAGAGGGGACCAACCACACTGCATAGGGCAAGGTGTTCTATAGTCTGGGTGCAACCACTGAGAAGGTTCTTTCTCTTGTCCCACTCAGCTGTGCTTCCACCCTTGTGGTTGTAGACCCAGAAAAGATCCTCTACTTCTGATCTTAGGATTGAGATTGTTTCAGCCCCAAGACCTCTAATCATTTGTTTTACCAGTGAGCTTCTTACCCATTTAAAGTCTGAGAAAAGGTTGAGACAATATTGGGGAGAATCCAGGACAGTATGGGAGGAAACAATCCCCAATCTATATAGGACTTAAGTCATTTAGGGTTTTAAAGATAATGACCAAACCCTTTGAATTATGCCTGAAAGCAAGCAGGTAACCACTGCAACTGTCTCAGGATAGGTGCAATCCTTCTATAAGGAAAGTGTTATAAAAACAAAACCATAAAGTTTTGCAATTCCTTCCTAAACTACCTTAAACTAGTTTAAGTCCACACCTCTTTTTTCTGATGTAAAGTGGTTTCTATTATGAGACTAATCCGAAAGCTGTTACACAAGCTCTGAGGTGGCCCAAGCCTTCTCCAGACAAGTATTCAATAGCACAAAAGGCTCACAGCACAGAACTCTACTATGGGTCCCTCATCATATGAGGTGCATGGGATCATCCAGAGCAGGGTAGTTCAATGTGTGGCCCTCGTGGCCTTTTTTGGCGGCCCTCAGCAACATTTGATGTCCACCCCAGCTCTCATGCTGCCTTCCTGAAGCCAGATAAGTGAGGCCCAAGGCTTTGGGTAGGAGGTGTGAAGGCTCTGATAGGGTCCTAGAGTCCTTCTTCCACCTTCCCAAAGCCTAGTTAGTACTTTCCCATCTTTGGGAAGCAGGTAGGAAGGCTATAGGACCCTGACAGAGCCTCACCCTACCAAGGCAGCATACAGCCTGCTGGTTCTGTGTCAAAGGACCCACTTGGTATGAACAGTTGGGCCGCCCTGATCTAGAGCAGGCCTTTTTCCACACTGAGGTGCTAGAACATCCTTCCAGCTTTGCTGTCAGCCTTTGGTAGCAAGCAGCTTCATTTCAGAGGGCACTTGGGATTCTGAGCTGCTGTATTGGGGGTGGCTTTTTCTTCTGTATTATTATTTGTTAATTTGCTGTTTGTGGCTTGTTTAGATTTATACCTTTAATTATTATATTTAGCTCTTTTATGTTACTAGCTGCTGCCAAGTGCCTTTGCAGAATATTCATGTTATTTATTTATTTTTAAGTAGAGGCATGTTCTTGTGTACTTAAGGTTAAGTTAAAGAAATTATTTAAAGCAGCCCTTACAACTGGCATTGGGAACCTCATGGCCTCCAAATATTGAAGACTACAACCCCATCATTCCTGACATGTTGTCTGGGGGCTGAAGATAGTTGGAGGCCAAACACATCTGGAGGGCCACAGGTTCCCCATACCTGCTTTAGAACCATGGGCTCCCCAAAGATTCTTTTAAGACAGATGCTTGGAGATCTTGGGAACAATCATTCTGCACAATCCTAAAAGCCTATTCATAACATCAGCAACATAACTGACATTCAATGAGGGTTCATCAGTTTGAATCAAACAGGAAACTACGACTGAATGCAAATGAAGTGCCAAAGTGGTGTAAGGTAAAGGTAAAGGACCCCTGGATGGTTAAGTACAGTCAAAGGCGACTATGGGGTGCAGTGCTCATCTCACTTTTCAGGCCGTGGGAGCCAGCGTTTGTCCTCAGACAGCTTTTCAGGCCATGTGGGCAGCATGACTAAACGCTTCTGGCGCAAAGTGGTGTATACGGAGAAGAGAAGAAATGCTTGGCCTGAACATTCATTTCCATGGTTTATGAAGATACAATCATCTGAACAGAGCCAATGAATTGTACTTTGTCCCAAGCTCCAAGCCCATTCAATGGATGAGTACTGACTTGTTCACTGTTGTTCCTTCTCACAACTCAAAATCTATCACTTACACACTGCTACCAATATTCTGAAGGGCTTTATAATGCATCTTGCATAAAAGCACAGCAAATTGTGGGGCAGTAATTTCACTCCCTGTCCCCACTGAACAACTTCTTGAATATTGCACACGCAGCCAAATATTACACAGATAAAAGGCTTCTATTCCAAGTCCGCCATCTGAAAGGGACTTTACACTGGTGATGAATGGCCCAGCTGTTCTATGTATCCATGTTACCTGCACTGAGCATAGCCTACTGGCTCTTATTCATCCCACTGCTGGATCAGACATCCCACTGAAACACTGGTATTTGGGGAAACAGATTACCTGCATGCCATCAGTTTAATGATGACACCAAGCTCTAAATCCTCAGATTCCTACCTAGAAATTTCACACAGACAATTATCAAGAGTGAGCTTTGAGCTCACACACTCTTCCTTCCCTCTTCCATGTGACCAAGAACAGTTCAGAAGCTTTAAACACTACTTTTGATTAACTTCTGTTTGTAGCTTTAATCACTACTTTTGATTAACTTCTGGAATTGCAAATTATGGTTAACATAACTATGGTTTAACTATGGTTGGTTCCGAAAAAGCCTACTTCAATTCATAATTACTGAAGCTAGCTTGTTTACAGTTAAATTAACCACAGTTCTGGGTCAAAATGACACGTCATTTTGGGAAACTGTAGACGGTCATGGTAAAATCAGTATTTATTTATTTAAAATCAACAAGGTTACTAATTTTGCTATCATGTCTTTGAAGTCTCACCTGAAAGTGTGGAACCTCATGCTCGCAAGGAAGGCTAATTACAGCCTTACAAAGAAAACCAAGAGTTGCCTTCCCAAATCTGGTGCCTGGCAAGTATTATGAACATCCCAGTCAGCTATGCTGCTTCTCTCTAAACAAAATTAAAAACAAAAAAGAGCTTGCTGGATCAGGCCAAAGGCCAATCTAGTCCTGCATCCTGTTCTCACAGTGGCCAAGCAGACACCTATGGAAAGCTAGCAAGAAGGACCCAAGGACAACACTCTCTCCTCTTGTGTTTCTCAACAAGTAGCATTCAGAGGCATACTGCTTTCAACAGCAGAGGAAATAGTAATCAAGCTGGTAGTCAGTGATAGCCTTAGCCTTCGTTATTTTGTCTAATCACTGAATTGTAGAGTTGGAAAGGGACCCTGAGAGTTATCTAGTTCAACCCTTTGCAATGCAGGAATCTCAACTAAAGCATCCATGGCAGATGGCCATCCAACTTCTTTTAAATCTTTTAAAGCCATCCAAGCTGGTGGTTATCTCAACAGGATATATGAATGAAATAAAAACATTCCTCAGAATTGTAGAACCATAGAGTTGGAAGGGGCCATGAGGATCATCGTGGTCTAGATTCATCTCTAGACCAACCCCTTGCAATCCAGGAATCTTTTGCCCAACGTGGGGCTCGAACCCACAAACCTGAGATTAAGAGTCCCATGCTCTGCAGACTGAGATATCCCCTCAGGTTTGTGCTCATTTTTTTAAACTCTCTACCCCTACCTTTTCTTTTAAAAAAACAGCCCCTTATCTTTCCCAAGGTTTTGTGTACATGAAAATCCCATGCTGCCTCAACCCAAAATGTCAATCTGGTCAAGCATCAGTGACCAAAGCAGCCCAAAGTACTGAGGGCAAGAGACCCAATCCATTGCCTTAACTATCCGGAGCAGTGGTTCGGGGCAATTTGATTTTTAAGGGGGGCAATTCAAGAATGAGTTATTTACAGTGAATGGCCTTTTAGGCTTCCTCCATGTGAACAGGATTTCACTTTTTGAATAGGAAGAATTGTATGTTGGGGTGTGTGTGTGTGGAATCAGGATTTTAGAGATGCTTAGGTGGGGCATGGCCAAAAAAGGGTTTGTAACCACTGCTCTGGAGAGAGGGGGATACCCCTGAAGATGCAAATGCAATTTAGCTCGCGTGGACAGTAGCCACGGACAGATGCATCCTCCGCGGATTTGCCAAATCCCCTTGCAAAGCCCTCCAAGCCGGTGGCCATCATCCCTGCACCTCCTCGCAGCAAACGCAGCAGGAAGTCCTTTTCCTCAGTCCTGAATTTACTGCCCATCATTTTAAGGAGTGTGAGGAGGGGTGAAAACACCACCAAAACCTCCCCAATATTCTCCCTTTATTCCCTCGTCATTTTACGGACCCTTGAGCATCTTCTCTCCCCTCCCTGAACCTGAAAACGAAACAGCCCGGAGATCCCGCTAGCGTTTCCTCACATGCATTCCGACGTGACCTCCATTCGCCCCGGCGCGCCGCCGACTTACCTCCGCCTTCCACGCGGGCGCCGCCGGCCCCACAGCCCGCCGCTGCCTTCCGGCGCCGTTAGCGGAGGAGCCCAAGGCCCGCCCGGAACCGGCGAGCCACGCCGCCCGCGAAGAGCCGGCGCAGCGACAGCAGCAGCGGTGCCACCAGCCCAAGGCCATGGCCGCGTCGTCCTCGGCGCCAGGCCTGCTTCTCCCGCCGCTGCTCAAGGGCCGCCTCCCCTCGCCGAGCAGCTGAGGCGACCCGGACGCGGAAATACCCGGCCTAGGCAGCGCGGCGGGAGATGGGCGAGAGAGGAAGGCTGCCCACGCCGCCCTCCCTCAGGCGCCGCCCCGGCCTGCAGCCCCGGAGCGAGGAGGGGGACTCTCCTGAGGGAGTGGCCGGCGGGGCTGGGGGCGGAGGGCCGCGCCTGCTGTGTGAGAAGGAGCCCGGCTTAGAGACAGAAGGGGAGGAGGAAGGCCGCCTTGCTTCCTGCGTGTCTCTCCAGAAGAGCCGCCTCTGATTTTGCCGCGTTTCCTCCTGCGCCTTTAAGCAGGTGCGGCCCAGGCAGAGGTCCCACAGGTGAAGTTGATGCCCCCTACATCCCTCGGGCATTTAAAGGTTCTTCCTTTGTGGCCATTGCCTTGTTCTTTATATCGGAGGACAAGTAGGGACTTATTCCATATTTCTTTCCCACAGGTGAAGTGGTCCTCAGGCTCCAGTGCTTTGGTGGCAGGAGGTGCTGATTCGATCACTGAGTTTCCCCTGCCTTGTTGTGCAAAGAGCATCACAGAGCCTAGGATCAGAAGGTCGTAGTTCGAATCCCCGCAGCGGGGTGAGCTCCCGTTGCTCGGTCCCTGCTCCTGCCAACCTAGCAGTTTGAAAGCACGTCAAAGTGCAAGTAGATAAATAGGTACCACTCCGGTGGGAAGGTAAATGGCGTTTCCATGCGCTGCTCTGGTTCGCCAGAAGCGGCTTAGTCATGCTGCACACATGACCCGGAAGCTGTCTGCCGGCTCCCTTGGCCAGTAAAGCGAGATGAGTGCCGCAACCCCAGAGTCGGCCACGACCGGACCTAATGGTCAGGGGTCCCTTTACCTTTACCAGACCCATATGGCTGGGTTTCCCCAGTCACTCTGGGCAGCTTCCAACAGGATATTAAAAACAAAAAATAAATAAACATTGAAAACTTCCCTCAACAGGGCTGCCTTCAGATGTCTTCTAAAAGTCAGATAGTTGTTTATTTCCTTGACATCTGGTGGGAGGGCATCCACAGGGCAGGTGCCACCACCGAGAAGGCCTTCTGCCTGGTTCCCTGTAACCTCACTTCTCGCAGTGAGGGAACCGCCAGAAGGCCCTCGGAGCTGGACCTCAGGCTGAATGATGGGGGTGAAGATGCTCCTTCAGGTATACCGGGCCGAGGCTGTTTAGGGCTTTAAAGGTCAGCATCAGCACTTTGAATTGTGTTTTGAATTGAGGAGGGTTACAGGCATCCTTACTTTAAAGGTTCTTTTGTTGTGGCCCATTGTCTTGTTCTTATATTTGAGGACAAGTTGGACTTTTATTCCATATTTATTTCCTTCTTTGACGTTCTGCCTTTCCTCCAAAGGCAGCATGCATATATGGCTCTCTTCCTACTTCATTTTGTTCTCACAACGACTCTTGTGAGTTGAGTTAGGCTGAGAGAAAATGGATTACCTCAAGGTCACCCAGTGAAGCTTCATGGAGGAATGGGGATTTGAACTCTGGCCTTCCCACTCCCAAGTCCAGCAAAAATTGCTGGTGGATAGTTGCCTCTATGATCTTGAGAACAAAGAAAGACTTTAAAAAAGAAAATTCCCAGGATCATCCTTTGCCGAATAATGTGAAATAATTTTCAATGGCTTTTTAAATATATATATATAAAGGGAAGCATTGAAGGGCTATTTTTCTGAATGTGAAAGGTTTTGTGCTAGAACCGTGGCTTCACTGTAATTGTATCTCTCTCTTTTTTTAGTTCCGTAGAAAGTTGACACCTCATTAAGAAAAGTTCTAGGACTCAGTATGTCAAGGTATGGTGTCGCTCTGGCATTTCCCATTTGGTTAATGCTGGTGTGTCAGTCTGGATGCTGCCTCGTGGACTCTATAACCGCTGCAAGTGGTTTTAGCCATGTGCATGATTACATCAACAAATCAAGCTGGGATCAAGACTATTGTGAAAGAAAAAGAAAAGTATCTCATTTTGGTGGCTGGAGACTTTCCACAGAAAAATTCACAGGTACTTTTCAACTAGTGGTATACTAATATAATATTTTAATATGCATACAGCATATTAAAAAGAAAAACTGGGCAGAATTACTTGTAAATGTCAGCTTATTTTGCTTGATTACATAATTGCTGAACACCAGAGAGAATTAGCTGTGCTTAAGTTTCACCGGAACCAGAAAAAAATATTTTCGGGACCAATTGATTTAAATGTGATTTATATATGGGTCCCAAAAACTCAGATGGGCATAGTCTGTCATTTATTGTGGTCTCAGCCAACCTCCCGAATCTTCCAGCAACTGGAGAGACGATCTTCTTTAATTTGCTGGGTACAGAGGAGATAAGAAACACTTTCTTTTCTTTTTCCAAACAGTGGGGCAAATGCAAGCTTTGGGGAAGGGTGCTGCCAGGTGTTCTACTTAGCAGATGACTGGGACACTTGTTAGTGGCAAATGAGTTTGCAGCCACTGCTGCATTTAAGTGTGAGTCACTTTCCCTGGGTTGGAAACAACAGCGCTACTTTTTAATATATATTTCAAGTAGCAGTAATTCAGTAGCTAAAACTCTGTTGGTTTTCATTGTCAAAAACTCCCCATCATTAGATGCAGTTCACAAACAGGAATCTGTTGTTTTTAGTCAAATGACTAATACAGCTAGTCCTCAGGAATGGTATGTGAAAATATTTTGCTTGTTCCTTTTAGCCACACTTCCCATTGATCATATTCAAGAGAATTATATTCGTGAAGTGCGAGACGTCATTTTTTCATTTGTCTACCCTACACCATTTAAATCCAGAGTTCTGCTTGTAGCTGTCTCAAAGGTTAGGCTTCATTTTATTTATTTGGACTTCCTCTAACTGTGTGATGCAAGGTTGCTGATTTGCAACTTTTAGAAAATATTAGGAATCTGTTGAGTACACAAAATTTAAGCTGCATAGTATATTGAATAGAATTATATTGCGGCCCAGTTTGCATTGGGCGTATTGAACTTCTACATTCATCATTCAGCTCCTTGCCAGAAAACATTCTAGAACATTTGTGAAGATCCCTTAAAATTCCCCCACCTCTGCGCTGGTGGAACTCAGTGCATAGCACACTGGTGGAACTCAGTGCATAGGACGTAGGTGTGGAAGTAATTATTCTTTATCTTACAGAAGAAATCAAACACCACCCTTTTTTGTTCTTTCTCACCTCCCTTTTCACTTCAGATCAATGCCCCAAGGCTTCAAACTGAGTAATTTATTGAGTTTACTCAAGTCCAAAGCTCCAATGACACACGAAAGATTTGTACTGCATGTATTCCAGCTCAGAAACACCTCTGGGGTTCATGTGTTATTCCTGCCTCCTTCCCTTCTCATGCAACAGGCATGTCCAACTCCCAAGAGACTGCAATCTACTCCCACTATAAAAAAACCTGGCAGTGATCTACCCATTGGATTGACCAAAGTTGTTGAGCTTTTTGGGGGGAGGAAGACCCAAAGTTATGGCTACCAGATGTCCCCATTTTCCAGGGACAGTCCCTGGATTTACAAATCAGTCCCTGGACAAAATCTGTCCCCGGAATGTCCCCTGATTTCATTTAATGTCCCCGGATTTATATTTTAAGTGTTGTAGATTTATTAGTAGGGAATGAATGTTGAGTGATTGGTTCAACGGCACAAGACACATCATATGGGGACTTCCGGCGAGGCAAAATGGCAGGCGCCACAGCAGCGAGTAGCTCCTGAAACCAGCCAGAGCCAGCTGTGCTACCCGGCTGGCTCTGGGCTGCTGAGACCGCCACTGCCAAGGGGGAACCGGGGACACCTGGTGCGTCAACTGGGGGAACCGCTGACCACCCCACCCCCCGTGACCCAAAACGAGCTGGGAGTGAGAGCGCCCGGCCACCTGCCCAGTGGCATTCTGGGGCCAGGAAAACCCCGGAGCTGACGCAGGGAGAAGGAGGAGAGGAGAAGGAAGAGAAAGAGGAAGGAGAAAAAAGAGGGGAGCCCCGACCTTGCTGCTGCCGCTGCCACTGAGGAAGAGAGGTAGGAGAGCACCGGGAGGACAAGGACACTTGGGCGAGCCCAGGTCCGACTGAGCCTACTCCACAGCGACTAGTGCTCCAAGAGAGCAGGCTGGGGCCCAGAGGAAGGCCACGCGGCAGAGGAGACCACAGAAGAGAAGATATTACTTCTTAATATATTTTTACATAATTTTTTAAAAATAACTTTTCCCCCCCTTTTTAAAAAAAAAAGTATCCCCGGATTCTTTTTTTGAGGGAGGAAAAATTATTTGAAAAGGTGTGATGCTAATCAGCATTGTTTCCAAAATAAAAGGGGAGGGGGAAAGGTCTGTATTAGAGGGGAAGAGGGGTGTGTGAGCCCAGTGAGTGCGCTCCCAATCTCCTTAATTTTTATGGGGCCTGATTTACATATTCCACAAGCTGTTGACAGAAAGGATGCTATTCTTTTTTTACTATAATTACAACTAAGAGGAAAAGAAAAAGACTACACTGCTGGTGGAGTACAGAGAGGAGATGCCACATGGCTCTTTGGCAACTGTTGTGCTGAAAATGTGACATGAATTTCCATTTGAGTCTGGGTGCATCACTTTTTGTGTATTATAAGGTAAAGGGACCCCTGATCATTAGGTCCAGTCGTGGCCGACTCTGGGGTTGCAGCGCTCATCTTGTTTTATTGGCCGAGGGAGCCAGCGTATAGGTCAAGTGGCCAGCATGACTAAGCTGCTTCTGGCGAACCAGAGCAGCGCACAGAAACGCCGTGCTTTACAATTGTCATCCCATTAAGCCCACACAGTAATCCTATGAGTGAAGCTGAGGACACTGAACTTTAGCACTGGAGGTGCTCCAGTTTCTCACATAATTGCAAACCTATTGTAGTGACTATAAATACAGTGCCCAATTGTTGCTAGCCTTGCCCTAAACAATAGATGGATTCAGCTCACTGTGTTCTTGATAAATAGAATGTGTGTTATGAGAGGAGGGAGGAGTAGCAGCTGGGGAGATAGATATAGATATAAAAAAATCACTAATTAAGTGGCATTTCCAACTATAAGGAATGTATTTTGTATTCTAAGTGATTTCTGTGTTGTCATTCTCCATCCAGGAAGTCTTGGAAGATATTTTGGACCTGGATATGTCCATCTCAGACTCAGAGGACTTTATACAGCTTGTCACTGGTGCAAAAATTGCCTTGGGATCTCTGCCTCTGGCCCACAGATATGGTGGCCATCAGGTCAATAATAAAACTTGCTCTATCTTACCTGAGCTTTAGCTCCTCTGCCTTGACTTACAGTCTGCAAATATTTCAGGAATTCCATCTCTGATTCCTATTATTGCCATACTTCTCTGTCATGATAGAACAGAACAAAATATAACTTGGCTAACACCGCTCCAATCTGTTGCTATGTCTCTGAAGCATGCTTGTAGGAAATTTGCAGGACTTGTTTTTCTAACATGTTGAATCTCACCATCACCAGAAGATTTAGGAATGATTTTCCAGTTATAAATCTGCTGTAAATAATACCGAATAGTGACTGGGATTTTTTAATTTCTTCTTTCCTTATTAGTTTGGTAGCTGGGCAGGTCAGCTGGGTGACGGAAGAGCCCATTTGATTGGTGTTTATACAAACAGGTACTGCAGTCTTCTTTTTGAATAGTTGGTCTCTAAATGATATATGGCTGGCACTGATCTTTCAGAAAGTACATTAAGAAATATTACTGCTGATAATTAAAATACTTGGGCTGGAATAACTTACTGACCAAACACAAATGCTGTTTGTTCTGATTTAAAGCTAAGGATCAGGTTTTGTGGCTGTCAAATCCCTGGCTCCAAATGAATTTGGTGCTGGTTTCTCACAGACACACACTTTACACCCACCCTCATCAGCTGACATCACCATCCATCCAAGTGATTGGCAGGTGATTTTTTTTTTTTTTAGGGTAACCAAATTCGTTGAGCTTTGTTGAGGCGAATTCCAAGACACGTCCTGGAAAATCAGGGTGTATGGCAGCCCTACCCAGCCCCTGATTTATAGTGTTCATGGCTAAGGGAAGATTTAAACCTGGGACTTCCAGGCTCACATCCTTACCTACTGCACTGTATCAGTTCTCAATATTACTAATGCCAATGGTTTTTTGCAGGTTTGGTGACAGCTGGGAACTGCAGCTGAAAGGTTCAGGAAGGACTCCGTACTCTAGGTTTGTCATGTGTTTTGTGTATTATTCTGTATTCACCCCTGATAGCTCTTGGTCTTGTTTCTGTTTGAAACCTTTCATTTCAATGGCCACCTTAAAAAACCATCCCAACCTCAAAGCACAAGATTATCTGTCTGCGTGAAATTGTAGCACGTAGCATCCCTTTGTTCAAGTCATAAGGAGCAAAAGAATTTTGTCTTATGTTTTGACGATCACGGGCATAACCTGTTTATTTATTTAAGAAGGACCAGATAAATTAATGGGGCCTAGGTCAGTTAGTCAGCATTAACCGTGATAGTTAGAAGGCAGCATACCTTTTAATGTTAACTACCGGGAGGTAACATACCAGTTTTGGGAAGCTCTTACTGTCTTGCGTTGCCCAGGAATTAGGGGAAATCACATTAAGGCTGAGCAGAGAACTATAGGAGTCCTGAGGATTTTGGAGGATTTGTGGAGGTATGCTGGTTCTTTATGGTCTAGATATGTAAGTGGGGTAGGGCCAGGGGAGGGTGTAATGGAACACCTGATTTCATTTGAACATGTTTCTTAGGGTGATGTTAGTTGCGCACTTGCTTTTTTTTTAAGAGCTGAAACTGCTCTTCTCTGGTAGAAATAAGGATTCACATGCCACTTTTAAATTCCTGCTTTATATGATGCCTATGCCTGGGAAGAGGTTTCCAAATGTTTTTTGCTGAAACAAGTTTAGCCTTGCATGGCAAAATTAAAACACCAGGAGCTGGAAGATAGTTCAAATGACAAAGACCGCTTAGCAGTAAGTGGCTGTTGCAGCCCAGTGTGAGCCACAGTGGTGCCAAAGCATTCGCTGATTTCAGGTACACACCCAATGCCTATGCCAAGACCTACTTACATCAGTAATCAATAAAGTTGTGGCCTATTTAATCCCAAAGCGATTGTCCTGTGATTCTTTCCTCTTCTCACGTTAGCTTATGAAACCTAGCTTATAAAAATAACTACCACGCTTCCTTCTCTGCAAGCTCCCTGTTCTGTTTTGTACCACATGCTGTCTTCTAAATTGTGCAAAGCAGGGTAATTTTGGGGTGAATTGGACTTTCAGCTGTTTGATTTTACCGGCCTGCATTTCCTGAGCATCGCTCAGATTCGCTTAGGGCCTACGGTGCCAAACATTACATGTAACTAAGGATAGGTAAATTGATGCCATCTTCGCAAGTTTTCTCTTTTCTGGAATTTCACATTAATCTACAAACTTTTTAAAAAAGGTTCTCTCAAAATCCATTTATAAACATGTATTTCCTATTTTTCCTACTTAAGAGGAGATCTTTAGCCCAGTTTTTAACTGGCTTTCTGTATAGAATTACATAGAATCATGGAGTAGGAAGGAACCACGAGGGTCATCTAGTCCAACCCCCTGCAATGCAGGAATCTCCTGCCCAACACAGGACTCGTACCCACAACCTTGTTTTAAACTGTTTAATAGCATGTGCTTTTGTTTTCTTAATACACTTTTCTTGTTTGGTGATTGTAATATTTTTATTAGTTTTATAATTGTATACTTTATTGTTGTGATCCACCCTGGGACCTTGCAGTGAAGGACAGGTAATAAATCTAATAAATAAATATTATTTTTAAATATGTGTTTTGATGTGTTTAAACTTTCATGAAATGCATTGCAGCATTAGGAGAAATGTGTAGTCTGTAGATAGCTGATAGTTGCCAAGATGAAGTTCCTCAATCATCCCTATATCAGAATTCCTTGCCCACTCAAGCATTTTCTTTTTTTCTTTTCCTAATTCAAAAGGAAAGGGTATTGTTTATATTCCTAGTTATCCTCTCCATAGGAATGGGGACGGCAGAGCTGTGCTCCACTCTTCTGTTCGAGAATTCTTAGGAAGTGAAGCTATGCATTATCTTGGAATTCCTACAAGCAGAGCAGCTAGGTACTGTATCCATGTTTGTACTTTCTTTAGAATCTGATCTGATGCTTACTTGATTCCACTTACATCAGGAGGAGACCACTCATGTACTTTTTACAGTAAGTGTCTTGCGGGCTTTTTGGCTTGCACCCGAGAAATCCAATCTGCCTTCTGCTCAATCTTTGTAAATATGAAGTAGATTTTGTTTGTATGAGTGTTGTGCTCACCTGCCAGGTACAGTGTGTGATGTAATTTCTGATGGGGCGCAACATATTCATTTACTGCCATTTTGTGACCATTGTTTTGTTTAGCTTTTACACTTTTCACAAAGTTAAGAAGAGTTCGCAAACAGCAGCTCCACGCTACTTCACTGCAACTCCATCTAATATTGCACTTACACCATGTGAGATGCCTTGCTATTGTTGCCGAATTGTTAAGTATGTGATATTGCTGACATTCGGGGGGCATTCAGTATGTGGTTATGAAGGCCCTTTCTGATTGCCTGTGCAGGTTTTTGGCTTGCTGAGAACATGCAGAACTCTCTCTCCAGCATCAATCAGGAAACAACTTTTTGCTTGTAGAAGAGACCCTTTACAAATGACCTATTGGAAAACCTGCTTAATTGCTTCGGCAGAAGGTCTTGCAAACTCAGTGACTGATGCAAAACCCATGAGGCTGTCTGGATGAGCATGAAAGCTTGTAGCAGTGTTACAACCCTCGTTGGAAGATGCTGTGACAGGCTGTTTGTTTCAAAGACAATAGCCAGCGTGAACTTGGTGTACCAAGTTCGCTGAGTTCAGGAGATTGCTTGGCCTTCGTGCTTAGCCTGCTGTTTTTGAAACTCGGTGTCCTGGTAAGGCCGTGTGGGGAAGGAGGGCAGTACTCCAGAAAGCTTTCCAGACTTCTTTTCATAAATATTTAACTCAAATAACCCCAGCTGATCACTAGATTGCTGGCAATAGGAAGCCGTCATATCTCAGCTCTTACGGTTAATTGACAGTGTTCTTGCTGAGTCTTGGCAGAAGTGTGGGAAAGAGCATGCAATTTATCCAAGAGCACCCTGGAGATGGGCCCACTCTATTAGCTCTGTGTTCCTGTGTTGCCAACAGGAAGCTCCATTCACAGAGTGATGCTAGAAGGGAAAACATTCTTATGCGGAACCTTCATGCTTTGAAGATTGGGGTTTCTGGAACAGAGTACAGGAAGTCAGTGGAGTGAAGCTGCTGATGTTGGGTGATGAATATTCATGGTGTGCTCCAGACCGATCATAGGATGCTTAAGCACTGCAAATGTTGGGAGCTGGGAGCAAGGAATATGTTTCCCCCAAAACTTTAGCATTTGTTTTTAGGCATCTGTGTGGCATCTGTGTCAGGACTGGTCGTTGTCCTCTTCAGATCACCACACAAACGCTTCTTGTTCTTTTATAACTTTTTATTGCGTATTAACAAAACAATCTTATAAACGGTTCTTAAATATTATTCCTCAGAGTCACTTCTTTCAGATACCTTCTGAGCTCTGCTTCTCCATGACCAGCCACTCTCAAAATGGCGAAGGCACCCTTCCCTTCGCTTTCCCGCTCTTTTTTCTAACCTCCTGGCTAGAGCTGGCTTGTATCTCCCCTCCTCCGAATCTGAGCTAGAACTTAACCCTTGCCTTTCCTGGGAACAGCCGGTCCCTCCCTGTTGTTCCTGTTGCTCTCTTCTCTTCAATTCACTGCTCTCCTCCCCCCCTTGGGGAATGCTTTCTCCCTCTGGGAAACTGGAATCTTCTAACTCTTCCCTGACAATCTGCCTCTATCTGCACCTGTTCTTACTAGACGTATGAACTGGTGCATCTACCAGTGTGCTTCTACGGCTAGAGAACTGGTTTTGAAAGGTCCAGAACTTGAAGTCCCATCTTCCTTATAGCTTCACTTGGAGGCCTTAGGCAAACAATCAAACTGGTAAAATGGGATTAATCACGAAGAAAGGCTTGCAAAGCAATTGAAGTACAAATATGGCAATAATAATCATAAATGCAGGTAGTACCATCTCCCTTTGGTTTGCTCCTTCTCCTTCTGCCATATGTTGCCAAACAACTTTTATTTGAATGGCCTGGATTGAAGACATCCATAACAGCTTGATAAGCAAAAAATAACAACGCTGAAGTGCTTTCTGCATAGTCACAGAAGTACAGGTTTCTTTGTGCCGCCACATTTCCACCATCCTGTCTCTCCTGTGTGTAGACTTGTATGAAGAAATGAAAACTGATAGGGCATCTGGCTTGCATGCAGATGGTCACAGATTCAGCCACTGGCACCTCCAGGCAGGGCTGGGAATGTTCCCTGTTTGAAACCCTGAAGAGCTGCTCCCAGTCAGTGTAGGCAATGCTAGCTAGATTGACCAGTGATCTGACTCAGTTTAAAACTGCTTCTTATGTCAAGCAACTTTAAGGTGTTTTATACTAACAGCTCATTTTCTCTTTTTGCACAGTTTAGTTGTGAGTGACGACGACGTGTGGAGGGATCGGTTCTACAACGGGAATGTTAAGAAAGAAAGAGGTAACTCCTGCATTTCAGATTACTATTTGGAATACTGTCATTGTATCAAACTCATTTATAAGAAAATACAAAACACAGTTATATAGGAAAAAGAAAAAGAATGAAGAAAGAAGAACCAAGAAGACCCTTTATCACATTTATGTGGTACAGTTCATATCATTTATCCACACATAGCAAGGCAGATTCCCCCAGCTCTCCCCTGGGTCTCCCAGTCTCCCGCCCTGAGAGATCCTTTCCACCCTGCCTTTTTTGCAGATACTTCCCACCTCCCACTGTCTTGTTATTGTGTGTACCCTCCTTAATTCACAATAAAGGAATCTTGTTATAAGCTAAAAAGAAAAAGGAACTCCTGTCTCCCTAACAATTATCTATAAAAACATTTATTCTAAATATTTAACATATGCACTCCGGAATAATCACAGCTGGATTTAAAATCCAGTCTTTTTTCCCCCTTCAGCAAGATGGCACTTTACCTAGATTTCCCTCCCAAGCCAAGCTCTTAAGATTTTAACCACTCAGACAGCACAGTAGGACTCTCACAGTAATTTTCTAATAATACAAATTAGTATTCATTCAGTTTCTATGTCCAGTTTCTTATAAATCCTTTTTAAAACTGTTCCAACGGATCTCGACCAAGCCATAATCCAATATTCTTGTCTGTTTTAGACTGTTTTGTTTGCTGACTTCTTTTCTGTATGCTACTGTTCTCTTATATTTGTCAGCTTTGAAAGTCATCACTTGGCAAAGCCATAGTTAAGATTAACCACAGTATAGAGTTCAGATGTATTGCTAACCTGTGATTAATCAAAAGTTAAGAGAGACAGCATGTACTGGCTCCATCCGTTGACGTGAGTGGGCAAATCTACAAGCACAGAAGTTCTGAATGCAAATGGAAGCACATCTAGGGCTCTGGAACAGAGTGCATTTTTATTTATTGACATGCATATACTTGTATTTCAGGTGCTATAGTTCTGCGTGTTGCCAAATCATGGTTTCGAATAGGATCATTAGAAATTTTAGCTCATTCTGGAGAACTGGATTTGTTAAGGTTAGAATTAAAGTATTTATTTATTGGATCAGTTTTTACTTCTGGATAATTTAATAAAATAGTGGGGTTCTAAAAGGCTACATATGCACAGGGACCTTTCAGCCTTCCCCTTCTTAACACAGGCTTGTGCATCTCCTGAAAATCTGGCCCAGAAGATTAGTGGACTCTGTAGAGAGGCATTCTATGATGTACAGGGGACTGCCACCATATGGGAATATTAGAATACACACACACTTGCATGGGGCAGTTCATGGAAATGCTTAGCACTCACAAGCAGGCCTCTTTGGATCCTGACCAATATAAAAGTTGAAAAGAACTTCAGGGTTTTAGATACCAGTTCTTTGGCACACACACACGTGTACCTGCATCCTGTTTTTAGGCAAGCAGGCGTTGGATAGATTTGCAGCCCTCCAAAGTACTGATTTATGGGCACTGATAACATGCAATTCCATTTTAAATTGTGGAATGCCTTTCACAATACAGAGTTATTGTAAAAAATGTGTATGGCAAATATTTTTCCCTGTATAGAGGCCATTGCATATACTTGATACTATCTTTTCCATGAGTCAGTGTTGAAATAAGCATTTACAACTACTGCAAATTATTGTATGGCCTGTGAAGTCACTGATATTATTGGGCTTTTTTAATGAGATACTAAAGGGCTCGCATTCATCCACTGGGTTTTTTTTTTTTTAATAGCACAGGCGTCCCCCTCCCTCCTCCAACTCAGCGCCATTTCAGTTGTGTTTTACAGCTCCTCTCAGTTTCAAAAGTTTTTTGTCATGCTGCAGTTCAAAAACATCCAGGTCCAGAACACCCATAGCCAAGTGGAACAGATTGAGCACTTGGATCCTGACCCAAAACAATTTGTTCAACTGTATATGGATTGTTGCATGGATTCAAACATAGAAGGCTAGAAAATTTCCAAGAGCCAGCATCAGATTTTCAGGTGCCAGTCTTGTACAAGGAGTGGGAAAATGCAAAACATTTAGTTGATAGTTCAGTAGTATAAAATGTAGTGCTAGCAGGCACCTGGGTGTTAACTCTCAAAAGTCTCTAAAACCACACTGCTGTTCCATCCCAATAAGATATAAAATCTCACTTGAGGGAACCACATGTGGCTAAAAACTTAGTATGGACTTGCAATCTGGCTATAGAAAAAATGCTTCTTATTAAAGAATGTATACAGTGGTACCTCGGGTTAAGTACTTAATTCGTTCCGGAGGTCCGTTCTTAACCTGAAACTGTTCTTAACCTGAAGCACCACTTTAGCTAATGGGGCCTCCCACTGCACGATTTCTGTTCTCATCCTGAAGCAAAGTTCTTAACCCGAGGTAATATTTCTGGGTTAGCGGAGTCTGTAACCTGAAGTGTATGTAACCTGAGGTACCACTGTATTTCCTACAACCCAATTTAACTTTTGTAGGTAGGCGTAGGCACCTAAAGGAATATTTCCAAGTATCAGATATAATCTTAAACAGAGTAATCCCTTCAGTGTTGTTTCAAAATTGTTTTTGATGGAAGAAACGTTTCGTTTGTAATTTAGGATGCTGTTAGACCATATCATAGATGAGCACTTTCCATCAATAGACATGAATGATTCAAACAGATATCTGGTAAGTCTTTTTGCTTCTGTGAACACAGCAACGGCAACAACAAAAGAAGAATATGTAATTATGATTTATTGACAAATCCAAACTTGCCTTCAAATTAAAAAGTTATTAGAACTTAGTGTATGCTGTCTATTATCTCTGTTTAATATGCATTTAGCAATAACTTATAAAGAATGCAAAAGTGACATCATCTCTATCCAGGAGGTTTACAGTTTATGGGCCACACCAGACATGATGTGGGAAAAGCATGATCAGTTTCATCTTGTTTATTTATTTTTATTACAAACCCCAGTTAGCCCTTTGAAGAATGTGGAAGTAGCACTGGGGGGGGCGGGGGAGATTGTTTAACTTCATCTTGGACACTGTTTTCTCAGGGCTCATCCACATTCTCTTTGTCCTGTTCCCACTACCCTACCCCAATTTGTCCTGTGATTTCTAGACACAGGAAACCTGGCTAACAATTGTTCCAATTCTGTGGTAAACAGCAGGTCTTTTCAAGGAAAGCTGCAGGACAAAAGGAAAACCTATTGGACCTGAGCCTAGAAATTATGGGACACGTGGAAGTGTAAATGACCCCCCGGTCTCAGCTCCTTCTTCCCCCGTGAAAAGCAAAAACCCTGCTCTTAGTTTTCCTGGGACTGCAGAACTGAAGGGCAACACAGCTACACGTTGTGTCTAAACCACTCTTGAAAAATATATTTGTACGTTTCCCCATCTTGGGCCCTGCACAATTTTCTTAAAGCAACTTTCATGGTAAAATTGTGTTTGTTTTCAGGCCTTCTTCTCTAGAGTAGTGTCTGAGACTGCAGGTCTGATTGCCTTGTGGATGTCGGTAGGCTTTGCTCATGGTGAGATATGTTTTTGGTACTGTGTTGTTGCTTTGTGAGTGAAGGGTATGAAATATTTAGATTCTGTTAAAAAATACAAACAGGGTGTAGTCTCCCCCCCAAAAAAACCCCTACATAGTGAGCCTCTTTATAATGAGTCAGATCATTGGTCCAGTACGGTCTACACTGACTACCAGTTGCTCTCCAGGACTTCAACAAAGGTCTCTCCTAGCCTTATCTGGAGAAGTCGGGGATTGACCCTGAGATCTTTTACATGCACAGTCACAGCCTTTTCTTACAAGCTGGCGACTGGCTGGCTCCTCATTCCTGAAGTGTGTGTGTGTGTGTGTGTGTGTGTGTACTCATTAGTTGTTTTCAGCTATTTTGGGACATACATCGGGACGGTGTCAAAATGGTCGACTAATTATGTGAATAAACCAGATTTGCGTGGAAGAAAACTAAATTAAGAAAAACATTGGACTGGATCCAACATAAGCTAGTTGTAGATAGGGGTCCATTGAAATTAGTGGGATTTAAGTTCATATTGACTTATCTTTTCACATTTATTTTTATGTGACTTTAAGCTGTTTACAGTTAAGGAAAATACAACATTGTCCTTTTCTAGCAAGGTTGGAAAAAAGTATCTATTGTAAAATGGGATTGTACCTCAAATACAATGTTTGCAAAAAACATACTGCTCATTCCATGTAGAACTATGTAATAAGAATAATTTATTTTTTATATGCCCCTGCATTTGACTGGGTTGCCCCAGCCACTCTGGGCAGTTTAACTGTAATAGTAAACTACTTCTTAACTATGGAATGGAGGGATGAACCTGCTTTCCAGACTGTAATTCCTGGAGAAATCTTTCAGATGGTAACACACATTTCATTTATATGAAATCAGCGTTTTCTGGGATATGACATCATGCTGTTTAGATGGCAATGTTGGTCAGATTTGAGACTATTTTTATTATGGATGCATGCTTTTCTTTTGTGTGCATGTAGTGATTGATAGATAGATAGATAGATAGATAGTTAGATAGATAGATGATAGATAGTTTTTGTTTTTTATTTTGTATTATTTTTATATTGCATATTGTGTTGTAAGCTGCCTTATGTTCCAGTATGGAGGAAAAGCATACCTAAAATAAATAAATGTTGTTTAATTTTTAGGTGTGTGCAATACAGATAATTTCAGCCTGTTAGCCATAACTATAGATTATGGTCCATTTGGTTTTATGGACTCTTATGACCCAGGTATGTATAGCCTAAGTGAATGCAGTATTATTTTGGGGATATAAAGTATTAAATAATTTAAAAATTACAGAATTTGACCGGATCTGTATGCATTCACTTATAATGCATTGTTTCTTTAATTTCTGGGCTTTATACGGATTTGAGCAGTAAAAAGATTTAATAGGATTGGAAGAAGTGGAGGAGAAAGGTCAAGGAGATGGGAGTAAGAACTGCTGTTGTGAAGGATTTCTGTTTTATTTTTCTGCATTTGAAATAAGAAAATAACTTATTGCCATCTTTAAACTTGTATGCTGACAATGTATCCTTTCCTTTGGCAAATATCAGACCTTGGCTAATCCAGTGTAAACTATTATCCTGGTGTTTAGAGACTTCTATGCAAAATATTTTAGTGCCTACAGGACTTTTTGTTAGTTGGCATCAACACGAAATACGAGTTTACTCAAATATGTTAAGGTTGGTTGTTTATTCTGAATACTACTTTGTTTCAGATTTCGTCCCAAACACATCTGATGATGAAAGACGGTATAAAATAGGAAACCAGGCAAATGTCGGACTGTTTAATCTGAACAAGCTGTTACAGGCTCTAAACCCTTTATTGGCTCCCAGACAAAAGCAGCTGTAAGTAATCCTTAAAAGTGTCTTCATGCTTAAAAGAGCTCGTGAGATGAGACATTCTTTAATGACCATATGTGCTAAACAAAAAAGGAGGGCTTTTGGGAAGTGGGGAGTTTGTTTTTTAAACCAAATTATTATTATTATTTAGACCATGCTTGGCTTGCAAAAAAAAAAAAGGAAAATAAAAGATGGCCTTTATGATGGGTGGTAAACGGTCTCTACATAATCACAGAGGTTTTTTTTATAAACTGGGCCCGAGAATTGCTGCTGTCAGCCAATCTGGGAAGACAAAACAGAAACATCAGAAAGCCAGGCAAATCCAGGAGGCAGTTTTCATGCTAAAGGTTGTTGGCTGTGGGTTTGAGAGCCAAAAGGAAAAGAGGTCTTTAGATCACTAGTATTGTTATACGTTATGTGGCTGAAATGCTGCATTGGTTTTTCTAAGAAGAAAAGCCCAAGTAGCCTCATTATAATGAGATGTCACTACCTGGTGTGATAAGCAGTCAACATGTTAATACTCCCTTTTTAAAAATTTGATTTTTAATTTCAAGTAACAAAACATGCTCATGCAGTCCCATAAGTGATATGATTCAAACTAATGTAGAAAAGCAGCACCAGGTCTTACATTTACTGACTTACATGTGCCAGATCTTGCAATGTAACAGCTTCACTCATTATATAATAGTGGCAACAACAAATTAAATGTGAAATGTATCTCATGTATTGTTTGGAAAATATGCAAAGACAAAAAAGCGCAATTCAGTTGCAAAGTAATGTGTTTCCCTTCAGAATAACAATATAACATTTCTGATTTCTTTAAAAGAATTACAAAAGAGAATTATAATCTATGGGTTTTATACAAGTCTAATTATTTTGCTGCAACATTTCACATTTTCTCTTAATAGGGCTTCTCAGATACTTGGGGAATACCCAGAACAGTATTATAAACGGTATGTAATTGTTGAAACCCATCATTTAAAAAGATGTCAGCATCTTAATTTTCAAAGAGTCTCTAGTTTTGTAATATTAATGCATTTATTTCCTTAACTTGCAGCTTCACAGAACTATTCAAAGCAAAATTAGGTCTCCTAGGCGACAATGAGGATGATAAATATTTGATTGCATTCCTTCTAAAAGTGAGTTTCTTTCCTTGGTTAAATATTTGAGTCGCCCTTTGACAGAAGAACTAAAGCTGAAACTGACAGAAGTCTTTTAATGTTTATTAGCTCATGGAAGATACAAAAGCGGATTTTACAATGACTTTTCGGGAGCTCAGTGAGATTTCAGAAGACCAGCTGAAGAGCATCAGCATTCCTAAGGTATTTGAGGATACATGTGAACGGTCCTTAAACTTGAAAACATCATAATGACATTAAGAGAAAATGCTCATTATTCTTTTAAGATTAAATTGTGAAAGGAGGATTGGTTGGAGACTGAAACTGAAATTATGTACAGGGCTGGGTGAAAATGACTAGTTGGATACTGGGTCCTGCTTGTTTGTTTTGGGAAGAAAAGGATAGCTGAGCTTAGTAAAACAGCTGCATGTTCCACTGTGGACATTTTTCAGTCTCTGTTTCCATGGCAGCACATCATGCAGGAATCTGATAGGTAAGCCAAATGGTGGGGGATGGACGGACCATCATTTGCAATGACAGCTATTACGAAGATTTTGAAGGGTTTGAGAACTTATTTTTGTTAACTCACCTTGATCCCATATTTTGGTAGTGTGTTTCTATTAATAGGTTTAGAATAGATTGGTCCCACAAGGTACTGAGCCTTCACCTCGTCTTGATTCTACTTGCCCAGTGCAAAGCTATTTGTACATTCACCTCCATGCTAGATGGACTCTACAAAGGAATGCACAGTCTCGCCATTAGCAAGAACAGAGTAATCCCTCAGTGTTGAGGAGCTTGAACTGTGGGCTGTTGGGGCACATATTGTCCCAGCACGAGTTTCTGTAGCTCAACAGAGTGTAGAGGTTCATATAAGTCTCTGCAAGCTGGGAATGTGCCTAAACCTCACTTCAACACATGGCCTGACATGTTCAACAGAAGGATAAAGAATATTTATCCATGTTCTGTTTGAGGGAAGTCACTATCATTGGTGGTGTGAAAGATGGAGCATTGGATACAATAAAAATACTAGCCCTGAGGATCACTCCCAGATGATAAGCTTTGTGATGCCAGATGTAATATCCTGCGTGGTTAAAAGATGACCTGTTCCCAAACAAGGATTTTATATATATTGAGAGAAAAATAAGCATAGCTTATTCTGTTTTTTTGTGGAAAGAATTTGCCAGTGGCAAGTTATGTTCCCTTGCAGATAGTTCTTATTTCCAGAGAGGATCAATGGCTGAAATCCAGCACAGATATTGCAAGAATCATAAATCAATCCATCTTCCTTGCAAGAAGTTTTGCTTCCTCCCAAACCAGCATGTTTGACATTCATATACAGTATTCCAAAACAATTGGGATGCCTTCTTGTATGTCTTGTATGCCTTCATTTGATTTATAGGCAGGTTTCCAAAATATTTAAATTACTTATTCTGGGGAACTATTTTTTGCTACTGTGTGATTTTTGCCTAGTGAAATGATTCCCATAGCTTATAAAACACAGAGAAACCACAGTTCCTGGCTTAAGGAACAGATTTTACCTTAGCTTGGTGCAGTGCTGTTGTAGATTACCAGAAATATTTGTGGAGAGTATATCACTGCTATATGCCACCCAAACTGCTGCATGTTATCCATATATTGGGAAGTGATGTGTGTATTATTATTGATGTTAAGTAATAGTGTGTGATCAATTATTTCCATGTAGGAATTTTGGGCTCTGCAAGATGTGGCTAAACACAAGCTTTTTTCCAGCTGGGTTGTGTTGTACCTCTTGAGGTTAAAAAGGTAAAGAAATGCAATTCTGGACACTTACAGGTGGAGGGAATTTCAAATTCCACTGGCTTCCCCCCTTCCCCCTTCCAGATACCTTATCAGGATCAGAACAGAACTCAGCACTCATCTTTCTATAATGGCTAGATATTAGCATTGAAGAAAAAATAATCCTAAAATGTGTTTCTCCTCTGTGAAAATAATGCATTTTGATTTATTTTAAGTGAATGTGTAAAACTGAAAAATATATGCATCAGATATCTTTATATCAGATGATCATACTCATTATTGACAGGTTGGTCCTTTGATTTCTCCCAACCCTGGTAAAAACACACACAAATTCTAACCCAATTAATGCAAGCAGAAGAAATTCAATTAAGCAAACTTAGTAGTAATATGAGAATGTTGAAGAGCTAGGATGGGAGGTGGGGAAGTGCAAAGAAATAATACCAGTGGGGCCAATCTTCCCCTTGTCTCACTGTGTTCTTGAAGTTCTTGGTTGGGCTTGCAATAACTCCTGTCTGAAATCATGGTAGTTTTGTAGCATTGTCAGTGTACTGTGCTAGACTAACCAATGGCCTGACTGTCTGTAAGGCAACTTAGGGTTTTGCTGATAATACCCTTTGGTCTATCCATGCCAGTCATCAAATCCATATAAAAGGATCTGTAAGAAAAGCATCCCTCATGATTCTCCCCTCCCCAACCGCCCAGATTTACAAATTTGAGCATTTTCCTTCCCAACAATTGATACATATTTTTGGAGTTGCCTTTCAGTGGGCAGTGCATGTTCAAGTCTGTGCATTGTGTATTAAGTGTTTTATGTATTACTTTGAGACTTCCGTATGAAATAGACTGAATATTTAAACCAGTAGATTCCATAGGCATATTCAGTGCTTTTTTCTGGGGGTACACAGGGGTACCCATACCCCTAAACATTTTGTGAATCTTTGTACTTTTGTCCATTTACTGTATTTATTTTTTCCGATTTGAACTATAAAATGGTGGGTTTCTTGAGCCAAAATGAGAGTACCCCTAAATATTTTTAAAGAAAAAAAGCATTGGGCATATTCCGTGATCATCAGTTTCTGGTCATGAAGAATATAAACTGTTGTGAAACCTGCATAATTCATTTTTCCATACTTTATAATGATGCATTTTTGTGAATACTTTATTAATGATTTTTTTAAAAAAATAGCAAGCAGTGTATCAGTTAAATGCAGAATTGTAGACAGGGGACAGAGGCTGTGGTTCAGACGTAACAATCTTAATAAACCATGATTTATTAAGATCAGAGCCTTATCAGGTATCCTAGTTAATATGTCAAGCTTTAGCCACGGCTTTCCAGTTCAGGTGTAATGCCGAATGTGATTGAAACAAACAATAATGGAAGCACTAAGGCTGCTGAACAAGGGGAAAGACAAAGGAGAAGTGCATGGGCCTGATGCTTATTCTCAGTTTAATAAACCATGGTTTATCCACCTGAGATCAATATGTTTGAACCAGCCCAGAGCAAGAGGCACAAACTAATCTTCATGACCCTGTTTTGTGTGTACAATATAGGAATCCAGGTGATTCTGATTCCAAGCGAAGCAAAAGAATGACGAGTGAGTGAGTCAATAATTTATTTTCTTCTCAACAATTAAGTCACATGCCCTTCCTGTAGGCCAGATATTTCTTTGAATAGTTGTTTAACTGATGTGACATTACATTGGGTTTCCAAGCACCTTAGACTCTTGTGATTTCCATTCCCTGAGGGCAAACATGCCCCCCCGCCATTCCTGAGTTCCCACCCACTTTACACCCATGTAGAATATGCAGTAGGTATCAGGCTGGGACCTAGTGTGCTAACATGCACATATACCATATACTTGTTTCCCTAGAGCTAACTCTGCTGGGGTGGGACTTGAAAACCAGTAGCCCCTTCCTCTAGGCTCTCTTGAGACAGAAATAATTGCCAGTTTGGGGAAAGTGAGCGATTTTACAAGAAACCTGCCTCTGTGGCACACCAGTGTAGATCAGGCGTGAGGCACAGTTTGCCTTCCAGATTTTGTTGGACTACAACTCCCATGAGCCCCAGCGAGCACGGCTAATGGTCAGGATGATGACCAGCAACACATGGCAGTCCAAAGACTCCCCACACAATCTTCATCCTGCTGTGTTCACAACCATACTACCACCAGTTTGGTTTTCTGGGCTTAGTGATTTAGTTACAAAACCTAATCTATCAAGACTAGACTACAGAGCTTTGCCTGACATCTTAGAGAGCACTGCTGGATCAGGTACACTGGACTGGATGGATCAGTGATCTCACTCGGTACATGACTCCTTATAACTTTGTCACTCGAGCTCCTAAGCCTGAATAACTCCAGATTTTCTGCACTAATTATTTCCCATGGGCTAAGGTGGTAAACATAAGGGTTGGTTGATTTATTTATTTATTTGAGCAGCACTCTGAAGCATTTGGGAAAATAGCTTTGAAAAGGAAAGCCTCATATAGCTATCATTATGCTACAGCTATATGTGCCTCTTAATGCTGCTTACCATATCGGATATAAAAAGAAACAGATTTGCCTTTCATCTCCAAAATTCATTCATCTGCCCTGCTGGCCCTGAAGAATAACAGGACTTAAAACAGATAGTTGAACAAGCACCATCAGGTATATAATAATGTTGTATATTAATGACATTAATCTGCCAGGATTGCAGGCTTGTATTGGTTTTTCATTCCATATCAGCTTCAGGATACCTCTAGGATCCTGGAATACCTCCAAGATCAGAGGCATTCATCATATCACAGGGAACAATTGCAACAGAGGGCGGTTGCTCCCATGACTGGCTTCTGGGCTTTGCGTAGGCATCTGTCCCAATATTACCAGATACGCACTTGATAACTGAAGTCTCGGTCTGTTTACAAGAATCTCCACTGATCCCACAATTCAGTGTAAACCTCTTCGTAGATGAGCATTTATTGTTCTGGTGGATAGATTTGGTGGTTTCATTTTCAAATGCTGTCTGACTTCTAAACCTAACCAGTTTGAGACAAGTTGGAGAAAAAAAATAAGGCTGTTTCAGAGCCCCTCACCCCATCCAGGAGCTGTAACAAATCTTTGGTTGTGATTATGTTCCTCCCAAACATTTGTTACATACACCGTGAACATTCTCAAGTGCCTTAGTTGTTAAGTTTTAATTTAAAGGGGTTTGAAAGTGGCCACCTTTGAACTTCTCTTTCTTTGACAAGTTTCTAGTGGTGGGAAAACAAAAGGTGCGTTCTTTTGCTTAAGTTAAGAATGGGAAATCAGTGCTACTTTTGAAAAGTAAAGTTATATAAAAATTGTATAACCTAGAAATAAGGATTGAGGATGAAAGAAGCCTATCATAAATTGTCCCCTTTTAAATATTTCAGATTCAGGAAAACTTGGGAACACTCTTTTCTTGAACTAGTGCAGCTGTAAGTTGTTGTGTTGTGGTAATACAGGCAATTTCACACTTAATTCTAGGCACTCTGAGAGTAGCAGGGTGGTGAAGGAGTTGTAAGCATGAATTTTTCTTCCTGTTTTAATGTCCATTTCTTTCAGATCCTTAATTACTTCCTCATATCAGTACTAAGAAAAGATGTGGATGCCACTATAATAAATCTCAAGAGAAAAGCCCCTGCTGATTCTTTATATGTGCAAATAGATTCTTATTTTTGGCTACAGGTATAAATCCTAGGTACGTGCTCAGAAACTGGATGGCCGAGTCAGCTGCGCAAAAGGCAGAAAGGAATGACTTTTCTGAGGTATCTGGCTAACTTGCTTTAACTTTTAATGCTCAGGAGACGAAAGATACAGTCATCAAGGAATAGAAGCATAAACTCTACAAACGGTTGAGTGAAAAAACCGCTTAATTGTAACCTGTGTAGAAAAGTGTATATAATCATAGAATTGTACAGTTGGGATACCAGGGTTTGTTCTGTAGTTTTGTCTGTGTATAATGCTTTTTAAAAATAATAATAATATTGTTTTACTTTCAGGTCCACCTCTTGCAGCAGGTTTTGCAACACCCCTTTCAGAGGCAGGCAATGGCTGAGAGAGCCGGTTATGCCCAACGCCCCCCCGCTTGGGCTAAATACATTAAAGTCAGTTGTTCATCTTGATGAAAAGAAACTGAGATCAAGATTAAATGAAGGGATATAGCCTTCAAGTAACACCAAACGACAATAAAAGGACACATTTAGAATTTTAGTCAATCATGCACTCTGCTCCTATTCCTGTTGTGTCATTCAGTGGCTCAATTCCCCTCTTCCTCTTGCAAGATCATCCTGTTTTGGCTGGTATGGCCGATTACTGAACAATGTTGCCCAACCACTTCTATGTAAAATTAGCTGCCTTCTGCATTTCCTGGTCAAAAGATCAGTGGCTCCTGCAATTCCTGCAGTCTCCGTTTCTCACACTTGAACTTGGTAACGTCAAGGATTTAATTTGGTCTGCATTTTAAATGAATTGATCTGATACACCCTTCCCAGGCTAATACATGGATTAGAACAGTCCCCCCCCCACCCGCCAGGTTTGCAAGAAGTTCTGTGAGGAGTAATATTAGAAATATTGTAAAAATGGAAAAAGAGAGTTGATATGTTAAAAGATTTAATGTCAATATTAAGTTAAGAAAGGCATAAGAAGTGATTAAGACGGAGGATTATCAGAGGTGCTGATGGAAGTCCAAATAAGAATGTGTATGTGATAAACTGAGGTATGTTTTATAATTTTGCAAGCTAAAAACCTATATATATATATATATATATATATATATATATATATGAACAGTCCCCCCTCCATGTGCTGCCAAATCTGTACTACAGTTCTTAGCTCAAAAAATAGTACGGAACTGTGTAAAAAAATGTGTATTACTGGGTAAAAAGCATACAAACATGCCAATTTTCATGCGGTTAAAATCAATAGATTGATCCAGAAACAAGGTGGAACATAATTCTGAATCATTTCATGCAGAACTGACAGACAGGAAGCAGGCAAATCCATCCATTCTTATCTGCAATTATTGGAAGCAGAGTTACGCACTTGCTCCTCTTCCCTCCCGCTTGCCATTTTAATTTCCTCGTAACCAACTCTCTTTGCTCTTGCTGTGCCACAATCATAGGAATTGTTTGTGACGATCCCTGATTCAGCTTTGTATAAGAGGCACCCCAAATTCTGTAGTCTCCAAGGCAGCAGAGTCTGCCTCTTGAGGATCCCATAAATAACCTTGGCACATGATAAATGGATCTAGAAACCAGGATTCTAATTTTGTTAGAACAACAAAATCTCAACCGATCTGAGAAACACACAGAGTTAAGTTGACAAAGCATAGGGCAGTAAGGGCAAATAGTTGAACTGCATCAAGCACCGCTTTTCTCATTTCAAGAACAGCTTTTGATCCAAGTCCCATTTATAGCCAAGGTTCTTCCTAGGGTCTCTGCAACTGTGTTGAAATATCTGGTTTGCAGGCGAGTTCTGCTGGTAAGCCATTTGAGGGTTGGCCACTGACAACTCTCCAAGGGTAGGATTTAGCCTCCATGCTGTCCCTTTCTGTTTCCCAATTTTAGGCGTAACTGTTGTGCTCCTGAACTGAATGTTTAGAGAAGGAAAGCACTTGCCGTTCCAAAGAATGTTTTGCGTATGCGTGCGCGACATGCCTTCGAAACAAACTGTGTTGCTCGTTCATTAACTTTGACACTTTTATGAGGCATTGAAGAGGATTTTATTCAGGAGCTGGCAGTCAAAACAAGCTCTGTCAAAATGAACACTGGAAGATTAAGGTGAATCATAAATGATGAAAGAGGCGTAAGAACTCATAAATGCCTTAACGTATTCCGATCATCATAAAGTCTTTAGGAGACAAATATTTTTAGGCATCACTTAAAAGACAATTGCTAACTTGGTTGCTGTGGGAAGAAGAACTGAAACTTGCGTATCTTTGGCCTTGCGTTATATTGGATAAATAACCAGAGACATAGGCTGCAGATACGACAGCTGAAAGCAGCATTTTGGTTGGGATTTATCACTTCAAAACAATTGAGGAAACAGGTGTGGCACAACCTGTGAATAATAAAGCCTCAAGTGGAAGTGTTCACTGTTATCCAAATGGTTGGTTCTCGCTGTATCTAATAGTAAAAGCTCTTTAAAAAGTATGGGGTTAGTGGGTGGAATTGTTGAGACAGCTGTCACTGCAACTGTTGTAGTACTGTTTTCAGTCTCCTTATTTTTGCAAATCAGGTCATGCCTGCCCATACATTTGCCATACATTTACAGGGTAAGAACAGATTGTGCAATCTACATGAACACATGCCCAGGGAAAATCCAATTAAATAGCCTATTAAACCTTCAATTGATTAATATTAGTCAGCCTTTAATTTGCTATAAGGTTCTTTCCTCTTTTTTGCTAGATCAAAATCTCCTTGGGAATCTGCCTCTCCCTTGGGACACTTCCCATGCTTCTAGTTGTGTTCTTCAGCCTCAAACCAGGAACATGGGAAGCCACCATTTCGGAACAAGTTGCAGGGGCGGGTAGGGGGGAAAGGCATTGCTTTGGGATATGTTGGGATGCCTTTCTCTAGCACATATTCCTTTGGACCACCAGGAAGAGCTGTAGACAATTTATCTGGGCCACCCTCCCTGATCCAACTAAAACCGCACACTAATCTTCATTTAAACTGCTTGTTTCATGATGTCTCACCCCTCTTCTTTTGCAGTGCTTTCATTAAATCGGACATTAAGTCTCCTCCTTGTTCACCTGCATCTCCCCTTGGAGGAAGCCCACTTTGCCTAGGCCCTCCTGCCTGCCCAGTACTTTGTTCCTGTCTTTTAGGAGGAGGTGGAGGTTTCTTTCTGATAGGCGGAGGCATCGTGGGGGCAGAGACTGCAGGAGGTGGCGGCGGCAGTTCTGGAGTGCCAGCGCCCACAGCAAAGGCAGGTGGTGGGGCCGGAATGAAATCAGGAGGATCTTCATAGTATTCAGGCGGCGGTGGCGGCAAGTCCTCCAACGCAGTGGGAAGCAGTATTGATTCAGGGGGTGGTGGAAATTCGTCTGGATCTGATGTGGCAATTGTGTTTCTTCTCTCCATATTTTGGGGCAGGTTCAACGAACCAGTAAAAGCAGAAGATCGTCTTTGAGGAGGGGGTGGTGGGTGTAGCCCACCAGGTTTATGGAGGTGTTTCGGTTGTGGCATGGGAGATGGTGGCGCTCGCCTGGTGTCAGTGGTGCTGTCTGGTTTCGTAACCTTTTAAAACAAAGGAAGCAATTTTCAAAATGAGAGGTGAATAGTAAAAGAAAAACTGCAGGTCCTGCAGGAATTATGTCTTTCTTGGTTTCAAGGCAGCAGGGAGAATATATAACACTGGGATTTCCATTTGTGTCCATTTAGCAGTAAAAATAGATGCGTTCCAAAACTACAAGGATTGGTTTTTGCAAAACCAGACAATCTGAAAGACTCCCTCCTGTCTATGGACATTTAAGTTTACTTACAATCTCAGTGCCTCAAATTATATTACCATTTCCTGATACCCATTTGATGTAGGGAGATTTAGCGTAGGTACTATCTGTTGTGAATGTGAAGCTACAAGGAGTCTAAACAGAAGGACAACCTCCTGGCAGCCTGATAGAAAATCCAGTCTTTCCTCAAGCGTTCCAGGACTAGGAATCAGTTGCCAATTTTCATTTCAATGGTATAAACATTTGAAGCGGAACAGAAGCTAAGCAGATTGGCAGCTGAGTCTTACCTGAACATTTACAGTGTCCACAACAGGGGAGCAGCGGCTATGTGACACAGACAAGCCTGCCTTTCAACATTTTGCCACAAATCATCACCACCACCTACAGCCTCTGCTGCCTGAGGCAGCTGGGCCACTCTGCCAAATGGTAGGGCTGCCCTGCATTGACCTGGCATTGCACACAGCTATATTTCCTTGGCTTGCAAACACAGTGCAGTGCTCACATAGTGTGAATGCAGCTACTTTAGCCCTTACAACTGATATATTGCTTTGCTGAATTAAGCTCAGTGCTTGCTGCATTCTCTTTAACCTTTGGGAAACCTTTGGGAAATAGGAGCACTAAAAAGGCCTGTACACAGAATAGTTAATACCTACTGTATCTCCTCCGGTCTGCACTTACATAGTCTGCTGGAGGCTGGTGACTGGAGCTTAACCTTGAATGCATTTTGCTAAGAACTGGGAGCAAGCTGGCTTCTATACATTTTCCTGCTCTTTTGTACCAATCACAGCCACTTTCCCTCCACATTCTCTTATAATGAAAGATGACTGGAATGTCTTAACCTCTGGCCGCACAATGTACACAAACTGAACAGAAAGATAAAATGTTTGATCTTTTCCAAAGCATTTGTCACACAAGTTAAATGAAAGTGTCGTCTAGGCTAGCAGTTCGTTAGGTAAATGTTTGCCCTGGCAGAATATTAGGTGAGCTTGCCTTCACCATGTGGCTGCTAGACTATGTTCTTAAGATGAATAGAATCCCATTGGCAGTGTAAGGAATGTGCTCTCCTTTCATTTGCAGGTGGCAGCTGGTAGCTGTTAAGAGTTATGTCTGCATGGTAACCTTTAACTGAGTTCTAAGCACTTCCTGCTTCTAGTCATCTATAGAACGGTTTCTAGGTAGATCAAAAAAACCCTCAAGTCTCTCTTACACTGAGCATATGCGCACAAAATGGATAAGTGGAATGAATTGTTTCGGTTCAGTAAGTAACCAAGGCAGGCTATTTAAGGAACAAACCTATTTAAAGGGTAAAGGGACTCCTGACAGTTAAGTCCAGTCGCGAATGTCTCTGGGATTGCGGTGCTCATCTCGCTTTACTGGCCTAGGGAGCCGGCGTTTTGTCCGCAGACAGCTTCCGGGTCATGTGGCCAGCATGACTAAGCCGCTTCTGGCGAACCAGAGCAGCGCACGGAAATGGGACCTCACACCGTCGCGGGGATTTGAACCGCCGACCTTCTGATCGGCAAGCCCTAGGCTCTGTGGTTTAGACCACAGCGCCACCAAAGGTGCCCCAAAGTTTATATTTTATGCATCACCAGTTCCTAATTCATTTACAGGTACTTTGGCACAAGTGCTACAAGCCAAATGGAGAGCAAGGGTTCCTAAACTGGGCTCTGTGGACCACCAGTCCTCCATGAGCTTCATTTAGGTGGTCTAAAGTAGATGTGGTTGAAGATGGGAAATGACATTTCCATAGCACTAAATATTCATATTGATTTTTAATAGTATTCCTATTGCTTTTTATTTCCTACATGCTATTTTATTTATTTATTTATTTGATTTAAAGATTGACAAAAGTAGTACAGTACCTTTTGTGTGTTACAAGGGCTGTGGGTGGCTGCAGCCAATGTGTGTAGACTTCTAGTCAAGCTGCAAGAATGCATGGACCTCTAGGCTTCCTGCCTACAGATGTATTTATGTTAATGCTGAATTTATGATGATACATTCAATTAAATTTGTACCTTTGGCATCTCAGCAGGTTTCTCAGGTTCTGAAGAATTTGCAGCAGTGAGGGTCGTGCTTTGGGGGACTTGTCCATTGGCATGAGTACTACCTAGGATACACAGTTAAAAAGAAAGAAAGAACAGGCTTGCAAAACCAAATTCGAGTGATTAAAGGCAAAAATCATTCTTATTTTGAATCACGATTGAAATAATACACTAAGCTCCACAGGATACTAAAGTACCCTGTGAATAGTTTTGCATGATGTTGTTGATGCTTCTCTAAGGAGCTGCAGACATGCCCTACTCCTGACTAAGTAAGGGAACAAAGCCAAGAAGAAATCTCTGTGGCTTGAACTGTACTTTTCTGCAGATGATTATGTGAACTTTTTCAGTTGGCCAGGAGTGTCATATCTTACTCTCCAGTTTAGGATATGCAGCAGCTTCTCTCTCTCTTTCCCGCCCCCCAAATAGTTCTTGAACTTCTAGTTTCCCTTTTTAGAAAACGTTGAACTGGCAAAACAAGAATATGTTTTAATGAGAATTCTTCAACCTTGGGAGCCCAGCTGTTGTTGAACTCTTTAACATTTATCATCCCCAGCCAGCTTAGCCAATTGTCAGGGATCCTGGGAGTTTTAGTGCAACAACTTGTGAAGACCCAAAGTTGAAGAGGCCAAGTTAAGGTATAACTAAAGTACAATCCAGAAGAACTTTGGTACATTTTGGGAACTATAGTACACCTGTGTCCAAATGTTAAGAACATGGGAAGCTGCCTTATACCGAGTCAGACCTACTGCTCCATCTAGCTCAGAATTGTCTACACTAAAGGCTCATCTACTTTTTCGCTTCTCCAGTGATTTCAAGGCATGAGCCCAAGAAGTTTTTCTCTTGTCCCACCCTTTTCCCCAGGAAAACGCACTGCTTACCGCTGAATCAACGCCAATCTGCAGAAAACCCAACATGCAGGATGCTCTTCCATAACTTATGTACGCGCACACACAATTTAACATTTACCATATATCATATACCTTTTGAAGATGATATTGCGGCAGTGGAGGATTGAACATTCCCTAGCTTGGTCAGTCGAGAAGCTAAGCCAGCCTTCTGCACTGCGCGGGTGTGGTTATCATACAACGTCTTTCCATACTGAGAAAATAAGCACATGCTTTATCCTATATACAGACAATTACCACCAATACCCCCTTCAAAGGAATAAAAGCACACTTTCCTGCTTCCTGATGTTTTGACTAATACAACCAACCCTCCACAGAGATACTCTCCAGTGACTGGTACTAGGTCTGCCTACAGCATCTAGTATAAATGTCAGTACTATGAAACTACAGGCGCAAGGATTTGTTTAAACACATCAGAGCAGATGGGTGTCTAGAATCCAATACATTTGTAAAGTCATTTCCATTTGTTGGGTTCAGAGATCACCTACAGCCCATTCTATTAAGTACTGTATTTGGCAAGAGGCAATTTAAACCTTGAATCCCTAGGTTTACAATGGCTTAAATTCACACGCCGGATGAACTCACTTGTGGACCTAGCCCATCCTATTTTATCTGCTTATGTAAGAATTCCAACCACACTCTTCTGATGCTTCATTCAGGGTGGTTTGCAACACTGATCGGAGGAGGCTGGTGCATTAGGCCAACCAGGACTTACCCCACCACACGAAATGTCTTGCTATTACACTTCTGCACCTTACCAGAAATGTGGTGAAACGGGGGTGGTAACACCTGGCATGATCATACAGAAGACTGGCTTGCTGGGTGGTTGCACATCATGGTGAGTTACCAGCTGGCAAACTATTACCTGAATTCACCCATTGGCAGTGCAGTCCATGCATGAGCTGATGCATGCTGCAAATGGGAAGAGCAACCTTCACCAGATAGGAATCCTGATCCACAGGTATAAACTATGTGTAAGCTCATTACAATCTTTGTCTTGTTTTCATTATTGCAACTAGAACAGCTTATTCATAATTTTTTCAGATGGCTGATGAGACTTCTCTAGGCTCCCACAACCTAATTACATTTGCATCTGTATTATCTCACATTTACACAAATGTCTATCCATTGTGTGCCCATATTTTACTTGGAAAGGAACAAGAGTCATTTTTGTCCGTTGTGAAAATCAACAAATTATACAACTATTTTGTGTGTGTGTGTTTTAAAAAAAACGACTGCACATCTTGCACTACATACCTTTGCAATTCTTATGCCAGTTACCCACTGATGTAGAGACTGCCGGTCATCACAGCACAAATATCTGATATACTGAGACTCCTTCTGTATCTGGGGATGCTATTAATAATAAAAAAATTTATCATTAAAATAGATTGAAATTAAAATAAGTGGAAAGGGTGGTCTTATATTAGCGGGAAACAAATTAGACATACACCTGTGAACAAGTCACAAAATGCTTAATAACAAAATGCTGCTTATTATAAACACATTTGTAAGGAGATATTTGTTGGGTGGAAGCTTAGCTTGAAACGGCCTACTTTCAACATGACTTCCAGCCAAGTAAATGTGAGGCATGTCACAGTTCTAAGCTTAGCATTCAGTGTGTAAATTGAGGTCTCCATTGAGGGTTGTCATCTGGCAGTTGTATAAGCTAGAAGATAAACATATCTGCAGTTTCCAAGAAGCAAGCAAATTTTTGAGAAGCATATGAAGTAGTCTCTGCTCCACATCCCCTAATTTAGGATTTCTGCGTCTCTGTTTAGGATCTGGTGTCAGTTTGCATACATATTTTCCCTGGTCCCAGTATTTTTTCTGCATACGTTAAAAAACAACAACAAATCCATCCCTGCCCCTCACCGCCTCCTTACTATGTGTGTTAATTTTTGAGGTTGTCATGCATTAACTTCAAAGTACTGTATTTTTCGCCCTATAGGACGCACTTTTCCCCTCCAAAAATGAAGGGGAAATGTGTGTGCATCCTATGGGGCGAATGCAGGCTTTCGCTGAAGCCTGGAGAGTGAGAGGGGTCGGTGCACACTCGCTCTCCAGGCTTCAGCGAAAGCCCCAGCACCAGCCCTACAAGGTCGGGGGACAGCGGGGAGGCGGAACGCCACCATCCCTCTGTCTCCCGATGTGGTTTGGAGGCTGACGGCAGGGAGACGCGTGCTTCTCCCCGCCGCCAGCCCCGCAAGCTCCGGGGACAGCGGGGAGGCGCAGCGCATCTTCCCGCTGTCCCCAGACCTGGTCTGAAGGCGGGCGGCGGGGAGAAGAGCGCTTCTCCCCGCTGCCGGCCCTGCAAGCGCCTGGGGGGGAAATAATTTTTCCCCCTCTATTTCCCCCCCAAAAAACTTGGTGCGTCCTATGGGGCGAAAAATACGGTATAACCTTGTTAGTGCTTAATGGAAAATCTGCTTAGTGCTTAATGGAAAATGCTTAATGGAAAAGCTGCATAAAATGTAGACTATAAAAAGACATCTGATCATGAAGTCCAATGTGTTCTGAGTTCCGTATTTCATTCATTTACTGTTTAGCTAATTTATGTGCCACCCTTTAACAAAAAATATCCTGGGGTGAGTTTCATGACAAACCTGTTCCACCTAATCACTAGTACATGGCAGCAAAGGTGAACACACAAAACCTTGACCCAATTTGGCCCATGACACCTACTCCTTTTATAGCATATGGCAAATGTTTACTGAATACATAAATTGTTCAGACTGTGGGAGGAATCCACCCAATACTCAGGTGAAAATGTGGTGTGATCTTTTAGAATAATCAAGTGAAACTTTATTACATAGCATGACAAAAGTCTGTAATTTTATCAGGACACTGTTGCAACAATTGTTTTTTCAAAATGTATCTTCTGCACCATGAAAAATGTAGGGCAACTAAAATGTTCGCATGCTAAGTAGAATGTTCAGCTCAGTGCTGATGACTACTTCCATTCTAGAAATGATTCTTCCGTCTTCTGTTGGGCCAGAGAACTAGGAATTTTGATGCGTTGTAAGTATCCATTAAATCCAGCAGATGGCATCAGATACTTTTCAATTTTTAAAGATCTCTTTTAAACAAAACAAACATTACCGTGACCCTAACCTTTGCCAGTCTTCCTTAATATTCCAGATAATATACTTCATTATTTTTAAGAGGCTCCATAAGGAAAGCATTGCAGATTTTCTGAAGTGTTTTTAAATTCAAATATCTTCACTTGAAACTCCCCTCATGAAGCAGCTTTTCTTTTTAAAGAAATAAAAAGGCTGGCAGGGTTTTTGACACCCTTGCTGACGTGTAATATTTAGTTATACCCTCCAGTTCCTTTCTCTTGTCTTCTCTCTGAAGCATTCTTATTAGTTGCCAATTACAACATGAGGCAGGGCTCCCCTGTCTTAAGGTCTGCAACTCAGTGGCTACATGGCTTAGTGTGAAAGCTTGAGTGTGTGAGAATTCCTGCCCCCTTACATTCTCCAGTTGCTTTGACCTAAGCCATAGTTTGGCTTAGCGTGTCCTCCAAACCTGGGCTTGCGGTTTGCCTCCTTCAGACAAACCACGAGCAGTAAACCTAAGAACAGGCTTCCTCAACCTCGGCCTTCCAGATGTTTTGAGACTACAATTCCCATCATCCCTGACCACTGGTCCTGCTAGCTAGGGATCATGGGAGTTGTAGGCCAAAAACATCTGGAGGGCCGAGGTTGAGGAAGCCTGCCCCAAAACAAAACCTTGGTTATAGATCATGGTTTGTTTGAAGCAAGACAAACCATGAGACCCAAGTTCAGGTGACATGCTCAGCTAAACCACATCATCTCTCTCAGAAGCTCTGCAGCAGTACCACCAAGATGTGGCTGGGATCTCCTCTTTGAGAAACTGCATATGTGTCTCAAGTGTATTCACTCTTAGCCATATGTACTAACTGGATTATTGTATGGAAGGGAGCGCTTTAGGAGAAGTAGCTATTTCCATTATAGCCTTTAAACTTTTACATTTCAAAGCAGAAGCCTACAAACTCTTTGGTGCCTGACAGAAGCATTCTTACTTAGACAAACTTGCCCAGATGCTTAGAATGTTGGGGTAATTTTAATCTGTTTCGTTATTTTAGCTTTTGCATGTTTAAAGTCTGGTTGTGGGGGGGGCCCCCATTGATTTTACTGTTTTATCTTTTGTAAATTGCTTTGAGGTGGTGGTGGTGTTTTTCACAATCAAGTTGTGTATGCTTTTTGTGAAACAAATAATAAATACAAACTACTATCCTGGTCATAAGCACATGGTGGGCATGACCTCCCATTAACTTGGAACAGTTCTTATTGAAGGTTGGAACAGCTCTCATCGTTTGAATGTGTGATTATATTATCACCAGTCAAATACCTCAGTTTGTTTCTTTGCATCACATCAACCAGTTTGCAAGGGGAAGCAGGCTGGGATGCAACAAGACAAACTCCGGATTTCAGCTTTATGCAGTTTTTGAGTTTTGGACTAGCCCTAGAAGGCCAACATTAAAGAACATGGCAACACAATTCTCCAAGCACCATCTGAAAGATGTCTCTAAAGGTTATTACCAAAGCCCAGCTGGATAGGCTGCAATGGCAGGTACTAAGGCGTGGAAATAGGGTATGATGATGCTATTGTGCCAGCTTGTTCCCAGGGCACCAATTCTTTCACCCTAGATTAATTCCACATTATGCACCATTACTCTCAGGTTACTCATGCAAAACCTGCGCCAATAAAGCATAATTAAATTCTCCTGGTATCAGACACAACAGACTGACTAAACGAGCCAATTTACATTTAGATTACCTTGCTACTGTCAACTGTGAATATATTTTTTATTTAAAAAAAAACCTTGGGGTTAATATTTTATGCTAGTGACTCTTTGAATTTCCAAAAGTAATGCCATAGTGCTCATAACTTGAACTCAAAAGCAAATGCTCCTGACAAGGCGCTACCTTACCCTAAGTTTTAGCAGGCTTTTCGGTGAAACATGGGGATGCAAACACCTAGTTGTTTGTTGGCAAAAAAGACAGACTACAAACGTACTTGGAAGTTCCATTAAAATAAATAGGTCTTAGTTCATTGCAACCAGGCCAAGGCCTGTACATAGCCAATCCTCAAAGCTCTGTGTCTACTATGCATAACTGTTCATTTAAAATCAGTGCAAATTGGGATTTATCATTCAAATATTTCAACAGTTCTGGAGTCTGCCAGGCTTTACAGCCAGACTAGACATGATGCAGGATATTCAGTTCAAAAGATCCTCTGCATTTTAAAAAGGTATAAATAGCAGCTGGGAGCCTGGGAAACTGAAGAAACTTGGTGTGTAATGTGAAGTGTATCATGAGGGAAACTTTTATACTTCAATAATTCAAATCAGGATCATGGAGCTTGGGGAGGGACTTTGCATTCCCACCATGCCATTTTTCCAATCAACATTCATCTAAAACTCCATTTCACACTGTCATACCTAATTTGTGTTGCAATCCTGGAAACCAAGACCCAAGTCTGGGGCAAGTACTGTTGGATTAGAAAACTCCAGCAGAGATTTAAAATCACAAAACATGAAGCAAAGAAAAGCATGGAAATATAAGTTGTAAAAACTTAAAAATGTGCTCTTTTGTTGAATCCCCAAATGTCCCCTTTTAAAAGCTTTTTCCAAGCTAATCCATACCCCACAGCACAGAGATAGACCACACCTTTGGTAAGTCATAAAATGGTTTACCTACAAAAATCTTCAAAGGTCAGATTCATGTGCTTTCCCATGCAGCAGTCAGAAAAGATGCAAAGGCAGCCAAAATATTATTTAATTACAAAAGGTAAAAGTTTCTAAACTATTGGTAAAGAAAAAAACCACTAGTTTCAGACTCCGATCTGGTCGGAAACAAAAGAGGCTGGTTAAAGCCATGCAGAGCTCCTTACATATTGAGTCACATGGAAAAGAGGAATATTATAAAGGCTTGGTGATCTTTTCCTCTCAAGGTAGGAAGTGGCATAGGCTTAGGCTTAGTCCTGACAGGACAGCTTACTCTATGGTTTAAGGCCTTCATTGATTAGATTCAAACAGGCTAGAGTTATATGAGGTTGAAACCCTGCTATTTCCCTCTCTTACCTTTGCCCTCTAAAGATTGTTTATATCCAGAAACTCTAGAAATCTCGCTTCCATTTCTAGGCTCTAACTAGTAGAGTTTTACAGAACAACAGGATTGCACTAAAAATGTGACACATGCTTACAACAGCCACTCCAGAATGCATGATCTTTTGTACCTACCTTTAAGACAAAACAGTGGTCTGTAGGTGCCTTATACTTTGCTTTGTACTGAACACCGTAATAAACATTTACGTTCTCAAACTGTATGAAGCAAGCCAAATCCCGAGATGTCTACAAAATTAAAGCCAAACACACCATAAATTATTATAAGTAAAGGTAAAAGGTAAAAATTATATGAAATTACATTATGACACTAAACACGGTCGTCAGGTTAGTCTGATCCTGTTTCTTAATGCAAAGACTTTTAAGCATAACAACAACAGAGAGAATATCAGACTTGAGGCTTTTCCTGAGTTTTCAAGTTAAAAATGAGTAGCTGCACTAAGATTTACATCAGAAGCTGGTTTGTGTACTGATTTTCTGTGTAGCCTTTTTATTTCCTAATTCGGTACCATGAACTTTCCTAAATAGATTTCTTATCCACATATTCTAACACAATCTGACTTTAGTTTCCTTTTTAGAAGTGTACGCAAGTTACTGTGATCCCCTGGAACCAATGCAGCCTTAGATGTTTCTATTATGGCTGTGTAAACACAACACCTTTAAAACACATTCAAAGCACATTCTTCTGCTCAAATACTTAAAGGCGCAATCTGTATTGAGGCAACACCGGGGGTTGAAATTTTGCGCCCCTAATAATTTTGCACCAAGGGTAACCGCCCCTGTGGCCTCCCCAATCCTAAAACACTGGGTGGATCATCACTTTGAGGGGTAAAATACAATGCCCACATGTGCAAGAAAACCACATATATAATTCATGTTCACTGGAAAATGCCAGCATGGGTTCAAGCATCTTTATAAAATAATGAATTTTTCTCCAGTCACGTTCAAGGTTTATTTGTATACAAGTGCAAAGTTGATCTGTGATTCTGCTCCAGGCTGCATCAAAAGGGCAAATCTCCCTCTCGCCTCTAGTTGCCTTTTGTCTAGTGCTGTGAAATAGCCCTTGCTTGTTCTTAATGGGTTGCTATGGCAACGAAGTTTGTCTTACTAGTGCAGTAGCGCACCCAATTTCCGAGCTAAGGAACTGTGAGTAAACGACATAACACAGGCATTCATGTGATGCTTCTTTAATGGAAATGGAACACAGTCTCAGAATTCTTCCTAACTTTGGCTACGCTTTAAGCCAACTGATGACAAACTAGATGCAGCGTTAAATAGGTATTTGCATTTAGCATGCACATTTATAAAGACTGCAAATGGAAGCTCTGCTGGGGGGGCGGGTCTGAATAGCCATGGCGACTGCAGCAAGAGTCCCTCCTCCGAAGTTCTTTGCAATTTTCTCAGCTCCGCAGCAAGGAAGCAAGGGTTAAACTCACCCTCCACACCTGATGCTATCCTGATAACTATCACAACCACACCTGTGCCTTCTGTTTGTGTTTTAATACTGTTAACCCCCCATCATCCATTCCAAACGGCTTCCTCCCAAATCAGCTTTTCCTGGACTGAGGATGGAGGAAAGGTGTGTTAGGAGTTCAGTTATGCATAGCTGCAGGTAACCGGTCATTAGGACCTGAGAGAAAAGCATGCTTGCAGACCTTAAGGACACAAAGCTAGGAAGGGCAGGGCAAGTTGTCAGTGGGTGGGATTTCACTGCCATCATGCACTGTTCATGACCCCTTCCATAACCGAATTAAGTGGAGCCCTGTAAAAGGTGCAAATAGTGAATTCGCATCTTCCCAGACTGTAACATGCTTTGTGATGTTTTAAGTGAAGAATATATGCACACATGTTACTGCAGAACAGAGATATGTCCCTCCAGCAGTGAATTGCTGTTCACTTTCCTTATGTATTTCTGGATGGCAATTCAAGGTGAATTTTCTGACGTGATACTGCCAGGCTGTGCCCATTCACTTCAACAAAATGTGTGTGAAAAGAACGGAAATGCCATAGTAGAATACTGGATTGCACCCTCAGACTTGGATCCACGCAGCAGTGGATCCACCACAGGCGTTCTGCTCAAGTGAGGACCTCCCCCCACCCCCTCACCAATTTAAGCCAATTTCCACCCTCCCTGCAGCTATAGTCTCCTTTACTATCCCTTATGCATTTGCGGGAGGGGGCACATGGGTGGCAACCGTAGGAAGCTCAAGCTTGTTAGTAATATACCAAAACCATAGATTCAGAGAATCCCTTTGCCTCTGGGGGGGGGGGGGACACCAAAACCAAAGGAGAGAGAAAAGGGATTCATTGTCTCCCCTCAAAAGCTACATCCTAGGGATGCGGGTGGCGCTGTGGGTTAAACCACAGAGCCTAGGACTTGCCGATCAGAAGGTTGGCGGTTTGAATCCCCACGATGGGGTGAGCTCCCATTGCTCGGTCCCAGCTCCTGCCCACCTAGCAGTTCGAAAGAACGTCAAAGTGCAAGTAGATAAATAGGTACCACTCCGGCGGGAAGGTAAACGGCGTTTCTGTGCGCTGCTCTGGTTCGCCAGAAGTGGCTTAGTCATGCTGGCCATATGACCCGGAAGCTGTACGCCGGCTCCCTTGGCCAATAAAGCGAGATGAGCGCCGCAACCCCAGAGACGGTCACGACTGGACTGAACCCTTTATTATCCAGACAAAGAACAATATTTGGTAGAAAAAAATGCATGGCAGATATGCTAAAGGACGGAAGGAAGGAAGGAAGGAAAGAAGGAAGGAAAGAAAGAAAGAAAGAAAGAAAGAAAGAAAGAAAGAAAGAAAGAGACTATCAAAGCCAAATTTGATACTTTCTCTAACTTTCTCTTTAGCCTACCTTGAACAATGGCAAGACTCTTCTGCTTGCCTTGTGCCAAAAGAAAACCCTGAATGTTTGCAAACTGTTGAGATACGTTTCCATAGGGAACTAGACGAAAAGTAATGGCACCTTTTTACTTTGAATGGGCAACTACAGATTTGGCCTTTTTGGTTTCCTTTCATGTCTGGGTTTTGAAGAAACGAAATGTTTTTTTAATCTAACTGGAAAAACAAACCTGGGGGGAGTGGGGGTGGGGGTAGCCCCAAAGGAGCTCAGCAACTCTATTCTAATATTTGCACAAGTGCTGCAGCCCAAAGAAGGACCCTCTCAGGTGCGCCAGATGCTGCCCTTAGAATGTCACCTCGGGATTTCTTTACTTTCACCTTCATGAATTGCTTTATTGCCTGAAAGGATTTCTTTGACTTGCCTGACCTTGGTCTTTCCTTTGGGTACGTAATAAATTCCAGAAGCTCGCAGGAGAAAATAACGTCTCTTCCAGGACTTCTTCCCGTCTTCTTTTAAATAAAGGGCCCCTTCAACTTCTGGTACAATGACAGATGTGCCACAGAAGCTTTCCTGTGGAGTGAAAATGGGGTTAGACAAAACAGAAGCGGAACGCAGGAAACGTCAGAGCCAGCTAGCTCAGTTCTGCCTGCACAGGCTGGCAACCACTTTCTGGGGCTTCCAGACTGGAGTCCTTTGTAGCCCTACCTAAAGATGCCAGCGGCTGAACCTAGTTATACATGCAAAACATGTGCCCTATCACCGAGCTATGGCCCTTTGTAGGTCGTAAAGGCTATTGAGATTATGTACACCAATGATTTGCGCACTCAAAAAAGCACTACACATAGGGGAACAGCACAACAGATGGGGATCTTTCAGAGCTTTTCCAGGGACTGAACTTCAGATGTTTCTGTAGGCAAAGCAAGTGTTCTGCCACTAAGCTACTGCCTGCCCACAAGCAGTCGTGTTAGCAAGAGCAACACACTGGCCACAGGTTAGCAGGTTAACTATACAAAAATGATATCTCCTAAGGCAGCCTTTCTCAAACTCCCATCATCCCTAACTACCAGGACCAGTGGTCAGGGATGATGGGAGTTGTAGTCCAACAACATTTGGGGGCCCAAGTTTTAGAAAGGATTTCCTAATCCGTTGTTGTTGTTGTTGTTTTGTTGTTGTTCTTACCACCTTAAACAATCTGGTGTCATCAGCAAACTTGGCTTACCTCACTGCTTCCCTTTAACTCTAAATCATTTGTGATTTAGAGTTACAAAGTCAATATTGATTCTTTGGGGACCTCGCATCTCAGACCCCTCCACTGTGAGAACTGTGCATTTAATCCTATTGTGCTAGAGCTTCCTGTTTTTGCAAAAATGAAGAACTTGAAACACGTCTATTGTGTTTGGGGTCTTAGGAAGACAGCCATCCATTTCATAGCCAAATGCAGTGTTGCTTATCCCAAAATTTTGCTTACCTCCAGTAAAGCCTCTTTGCTTTTTTCATTCATTTCCTTGCTTTCATTTTTCCCTTTATTGGTCAAGTAGAAATTCTAATTAAAAATGCAAAGAAGGGTGAGGATGATAAGGCACTGTCCATAAACTGGGAAGGTCACTAGACCTAAAACAACAGATGTAAATAGCAGGTGCTATATCTGTGTCTACCCAATTGCATTTCACGTCAAAGTCCCAGTAGCTGCCATAGTCCATATAAAGTTTCCAGTCAGATAGCCAATCAGAGCTCTCAGGAGCAGTAGGTACTGCTGTGTGCCTGTTCATTTGCCTAGCAAGCAAGCAGGTGATAGTAGGAAGGAGCTGGAGGAGCAGCTGGTGACCACTATGAGGAAAAAGGGAGGGCCTTGGACAAGTCAGATAGCCAATCAGAGCTCTCAGGAAGGTGTAAAAAAAACAACACCTGGATGCTATCGCACGTTTTCTATGCAAAATAATTTTCAGTATGTGTCTCCTCATTCATTAGAGTGGACTTTAGAGTGGACTATTTGCTTCCTATGATCACTACTTTCATTATACAGACTATGATCAGTGAAGGCTGGTGTGGAGTTTGGCAAAGAAGAGCAAGAGGTGAGAAGTCTGAAATAAACATAGAAACAAATTTATGTGACTTCACATGACCATTTTGAATATGAGTCTCCCCAATGGAAAGAGAGGGGAAGGTATTTCTGTACATAAACAGTATATTCATGATACATACAAAAGGCATTTACACTTCAATCCTATACCAACTTTCCCAGGAGTAAATCCCATACAACTATGCTGCCAAAGCCCAACCCTAATCACATTTACTTGGGAAAGTCCTTGAAATTTTAATGCGACTTAACTTCCAGGAAAGTACCATATACACAGAACAATCATGCTCTTCTTGGACACTGAGACTTGCACAGGAAACCAAAATTTCAGCGAGGCTTGCACAGAAAACACATGCATTGCACCTAATGTCCCCTTAAAAGACGACCAAAGCTGTTTGCATTTGTTTATGTTTGAATATGCACGAACAAACCCAATTCTCATCTTGCTATTGTCACCATGGAACAAACTCAAAACAGCTGCCCACAACCTTTTTTTCTTTTTTTAAGAACTTCCTCTGGCTACAAGCAATTTATATTTGAGCATCTGGTATTTATTTAAAGGGGAAACAGACCACCCTGTATCTTTAACTCAGTTGCTATAGACCACATTTTGGTACTGGTAAACAAGAAGGATAATGGACAGGAGTTTTTGACAACAGCATATGACCTTGCTTGTCAAACCCATATTAAGACAGATGTGGTTTTTTTCCTTGTGTCTCATTTTTCAGCATTGCTATGCATTGTTGCTTACTTGATACACTTCCATTGCTAAAAAGGGAAAATGCTCGCCATTCACCATCCTTCAATAAGCAGGCTGGGTCAAAGGACGAGGCTGCATGTTATACAGGTGGATATATCGTCACGTGATCTCCTATAGACTACAGCACCACTGAAGAAGACCACACGTGTCTGAAAGAAGTCTGTGGTTCCTTTCTGAAAATACTATGAGGAGAAATAGTCTCTGACAAAGCAGGCACTATATGCTGCTTAGTTCTGTTGCAAATTACCGGTATACAACGTAAAAATGCTGGTGAGCATTATACTGGATATACACGCATGCATGCAAAGGAGAGACTATAGATTCTTGTAAGCCACCTTGTTATGAGATATACTAATGGAGAGGGTATAAATATGTTAAATAAATAAATCTGTGTGAAAAGGAAGGTCGCTTAACAATTTTGTTGATTCTCCTGGGATTGTAACACAAACCTAAGTATTAGAAGTATAGCTTAAAAACTAATGTTTACTTTCTCTTTTCTACCAGCTTTCCCATTTAACAATTGGTAGTTGTTGGTTGGGAGCAAAAGGATCTCCGTTTCTGTGATTCCCATGGACAACTGTTTTTCGTTATTTGAAAACGTGATTCTCAAAACAAGCATTGTGCATGGTGTTCTTTTACTTTAACTAGAGAATTGCTAGTGGCCCTCAGATAGAGTTTATGCCAAGATGTAACGTTTTGGCACCACCGGAAAATCTACTTATTCACCCAGGATTTTGGTTGAATCTTTGCCACGGCACTTTGTAAAATGCTATTTAACTGTGCATGTGCTCTTGCGTGTTTTACTGATGGGAATATTTTGTTGCATTTTATCAGTATTGTACCCCACTTCATTTGACTAAACTGCGGGAGGCAGTGGAAGACAGGTGTGCCTGGCGTGCTCTGGTCCACGGGGTCACGAAGAGTTGGACACGACTAAACAACAACAACAACCCCCACTTCAAAATGTTATTGTAAAAAGCAGCAACAAAATTTATAAATTAATAAAACAATACATTTGTAAACCGATGCTTTATCGTATTACTGATTATTGGTTAATTATCGGTTGTAGTCAACCAACCTTTGCTCAGAATAGATAAACCCACTGAAATTAATGGGCCTAAGTTGGTCACAGCCATTCAATGGGCTCACTCTGAGTAAAAGTTAATTGAATACAACTTTATATAATTTCTTTTCATTTTTATTGGCATTGTACCCAGGTTTGGGATTATTTTAGAATGAAAAGCAGGCAATGAATTTTTTTTCTAAAAAAGCGGAATTTGATGTCCTTCTGCTGTTATTTTCCTTTATGTGTCATGGCAAGCATAAATAAACTAGCCCATTTACTTATTCCAGGTCATCCTTCACCCACCAGTACACAGGAAGGTTGGGGCATAGTGATTGAGGCAGCTGTGTAGTAATTATCTGTATTTTCATTGTTGAGTGACTGCACCTGGCTCTTCCTTATTAACCACACAACATCCAGCTAATTAACTGAAAGAGGGGTGGATTCCTTGGTCCATTGCCCTGCATGCAGGCTGAACACCAAATGAAACTTTATCAAACACACACAATTAAGATTATGTTATCATAAGCAGTATGGGCTTCCAAGGTCACTATGAATCCTCCCAAAATGTTGGTTGGATGGTTTGGTTTTCTTATGCTTTCCAGGAATTTGAGTTTGCATCCTCACACAAAACCCCATGGTCACCCCAGTTCTAAAGTGAAGATGCATTAACTGGGATGCACTGATAGAAATAATTACAGCAGCAGCAGCAGCTGGTGTGAGATAAGTTTATTCTGCAATACTGCTAAGCCAGGTCTGGGAAACACTCTGATCTTCCCAAAGAGCAGTCCATTTGTCATAGCAGTCACTTTACAAAGTGAGTTAAATTTCACGTTATAAAGATATTTTGAGGATGTGAAGTTGCAGCTAACGATGTTGCAGCTTCCGACACAAGCTTGTGACCATCCATTTTAATGAGTCACTGGACTAAAATGGAGCAAAGCCTTTTAACATGATTTCCCTGGGAAAATAAAACTAATTATCCAATGAACAGAGTGATTCCCAGAGCCCATGGCAAGATGAATGAGTGAAGTGGGGCTCACCAAATGGATAAATCAAGAAATCCACCGAAATCTCCCTTTCCTTGTTGGATGCTAAAATGCACTTTGATGTTACTTCAGTTTTGACCTTCAGTGACTATTCCCAAGAATGACTATTTAGTGTTTAGTAACCAATATTGTGCTCTGATACATAAGAAGCACAACTCAAGATCCCTTTGATATACCAAGACTGGACGCACCTTCAATCTTTGTTACTTGGGCTGCAGAGCAAATAAAATATCTAGTCATTACTGTATGAACTAAAATCTTACTATACACCAGCTTGCCTAAGTTATGTTACTTTACCTGTGGGTTTTTAAAAACAGCGTATTTTTCCTTTCTTTCCAAAAACAGAATCTTATTCTCAGTGTCACGGGTCCAATGTGATAAGACTTCAATCACATTTTCATGGTCTTCAAAAAATCTTTCTAGGGAAACCCAAACCAGAAATGTTAAGACAGACAAATATATTACACACATGCTCCGTCATCAGTGCACATTCCTATATTTAAATGTAGTAAAATGGTTCAAAGGGATGTGGGTGGTGCTGTGGTCTAAACCACTGAGCCTCTTGGGCTTGCCGATCAGAAGGTCAGCCGTTCAAATCCCTGTGACGGGGTGAGCTCCTGTTGCTCGGTCCCTGCTCCTGCCAACCTAGCAGTTCAAAAGCACACCAAGTCCAAGTAGATAAATAGGTACTGCTCTGGCGGGAAGGTAAACAGGGTTTCCATGCCCTCCTCTGGTTTCGGTGTTCTGTTGCGCCAGAAGCGGCTTAGTCATCCTGGCCACATGACCTGGAAAAACTGTCTGCGGACAAACGCTGGCTCCCTCGGCCTGTAAAGCGAGAAAGCGCCGCAACCCCAGAGTCGTCTGCGACTGGACTTAACTTTCAGGGGTCCTTTACCTTTACTTTTTAAAAATGGTTCAAAGCATTGCCTATCCATAATATTCAGACCCCAAGAGCCATGATAGACTAGACCATATGAAAGCATCTTTGCCAAAACAGAAAAACTTCCCAGATTTTCTTTTTTTCCAGTTTGTAAAAATTTGCAAAGGAATTCCCTAGATTTCACTAGGTACTTTGATGTTTCAGACTTTTTCTTTTAACACTCCCCTGCATGTATATATTTATATATCCTTACATATAATAAACATGTAAGGCTGTCGTGATGCAGCAGTTTGCTACCTACGGGTAGGTGGTGCTGTGAACTACAGCGTTATGACAAACTGGGCTCTTAGAACTGCTTGGGCATGACACCAGCATTGGAGGGTGATAAGCAGGCAACCAGAGATTGAGGTGGGCAGACCCAGATGGGCGAGCAGGCAGACGGGTGGCCCAGGTGAAGTGTAAGGAAAGTGGGGAAGTGGGATGGCCTTGGCAGGGAGTAAAGGGAGGGGGCAAAGGGAGGCACTGCCCCTAGTATGTGACACACACCATTAGTAGAGAGAAGACACACCAAAACTAGGAGCTCAGATCTATCAGACACAAACAAGAACCCACCAAAACGAAGAGATGGGCGCTGGATGGCAACGGCAAAATGTTGCCTGATGTGGCATCACCAAAATGCTTTCTAGTAAAGCTCAAAAAATATAGCGTAAGAAGATCCAAAATCTTTGCAACGTACCTATTTGTAGCTCTGGGTATATTTCATAAAGGCACCAGTCCACATTACAGTCGCAGTGGGTTTTCTCAAAGAGATTGTCCAATACATCACGTGCCTCTTGCCGTTCATCCACCATCAGGGATTTCGTACTGTTATCATTCATGTGCACCTTGACAACAAGCTGCAGAGAGAATAATAGATGAGGCAGTTAATTTCAATGTGGACCAAAAGGCTACCGTGGTCAAGAATCTGCCTGGGCTGATCAGAGAGATCATTGCCAATTCAAATCCATCATGTATCATAAAATTGGACCTGGGGGTGGGATGGGGGGACATAATATGTCTTGGGAACACTACCAAGTCAACAGCTCTACTTCCCTGCCTCTTTCCAAGACAGAATTCATGTTTTGAGTAAAGAGTAACTGAAATGTCATGTAAATATACAGATTGTTTCTCTAAAACATTATTAAACATACAGTTTGCATGATAGCAGAGTTGCCAACATTTTTACCAGCGCTTGCTCCTACATCTTTAACAGCATCAGCTTCAGCAAAAATTAGGAGGTTTTAATGCATATCTCCCTCTCGTTAAAAGCTCCTCTTCCTGGTGGTAGAAAATCAGGCTACTATTAAAGATACAGAAGCCGGCTGCACTAGTTTTTCCACATCAGCTGGCAACATTATATAGTATCCCTGAAATTATTATTATTTTCTCTCATTCTCTGTGTGGTTTATTTTTAGAACCTTCTCAGAGGAGGCCATAATATTGGGTGGGATAATATAAAATGAAGGAACAACAAACCCATCAGATCAGACCTAATCTAGAATCCAGTTATAACTGACTGGAAATTCAACACCTAATCTCATTTTATATTGACTTTGGGGATAAAAACATCCTACCAGATCTTCTGGTCTCTGCTTGAGAAATTCGTTAATTGGTGACTGTTTCTGATGACCCACATGGCTGACTACACAGGTCTAGGATTGGCATAGACTGTGCAGAAGAAAGGGCTATGTCTAAGAGAATATAGTACCTGCCTTTCACCAGGACAGAATCTCACTTGTATATTAAAGCATTCTGTCGGAAGAAATAGGAAGCCATTGTTTAGGTATGCACCAATTTAGGGGTAGCTGGCCTTTCTGCATTAGAGACACTGAACCTTTAATGGTTTTGCAGACATGGGAATTTGGGCACCTCCAGCTTTTCAAAGCCCTCCAATACTCTGCCACAAAAAGCTGCATTTGCTGAAATACCTCCAGCTGCACAACAATGAAAGGAGCAGGTGTTCTAATGTGGTCTAGAGGTTAGAGTGTTAGCAATAAAGGTCTAAATCCTCATTCCGCTATGAAGCAAACTGGGCTATCCTGGACTAGTTATTCTCTCGCTCTCAGCCAGACCTACCTTTTGACTTTATAATAGCTACAAAGGCTGTGTATCTCCCCCCCCCCCCATGTTAAGCAATTTTTTTACATGTTAAGCAATTGGCACATGTTGTTCATGTTTGTGTTTACTTCATGATCAAAATGCTTGTTTCCACAAAGTGAAAAGAGAAGTGTTCACTGGAAGGAGACTTGAGACTTCCTAAATAATCACAGTCCTACTATCTGTCTGCATCTAAGAAAATAAAAAAGTCAGTTCCTTGCCAGGAAATGTTACTTTAGTTCTGCTAATTCTAATTATAAGATCTCTGCACGAACAGCTCTGGCAGTGCAGTGTTGAATTTTGCTCAAACTATAAAAAGCAAGGAGCGTTGAGACACTAAGCTGTATTCTTTCCAAATACCTCCACTTTAGTAACTTGTACTTTGGTACTTGTGCAGGATGTTTGTTTGTTTTGAATACACTATCATAATTCTTTGAGAAGAAAAGGTAAAGGGTAGTGGAAATAAGGCCAGGCCAATATTTGGGATTGCCCAGAAATATGGTGATAGCATTTTTACATTCTACTCCAGAGGGTTGGGGGAACCCCTATAACAGATTTGGGGAGAATTGCACAAGTGGAAATCCATTTAGTGTAGCACCTTGGTGCTACTCTAAATAAAACCCAGAGGCTTAAGACTCTCAATTACTCTTCTATTTAGCAAAAGCGTGTGTCTGTGCGGTACTGCTAACCTTCCCATCCACCTTCAGCCCTCACAGCACGGAAACCATTCACAAGGCTCCTCCAACCTTAGGAGCAGATTTTTTGGGATGGGTGGGTGGGTGCACAGGGAGTTTTTGGAGAAATCATGGGGCAAGCAGTGGGCCAGAGCTCTGGAGCCTGATATTGTTGCTGCTTACCTGGACCAGAGTGGAGCCGGGCAGCGCAGCAAGAAGGTGTGCAGGCATGCTGGCTGAGTCAATTTGCTGTCCTGTCCTGTCCGTGAGCCCATGCAGCCCCAACCTCACTGCCACCAAGTCCCATACCTGCCTCATCCACTTAAACAGCAGCAACGCGGATGTCAGGCTCCATGGCTCTACTCGGCTACAAATGCCATTACAGCTGCAGAAGGAGGTTGACCATTCAGATTTCATAAACAGACTTCTCTGTTGTGTTCACTAAAGAGGCTAGGATCTAAACCAAGGTGACATATTTTTAAATGTCATAGAAAGGGCAGCTATTTTTGTTTCTTTAAAAAGTCATTAGCAGTCCTTAGGGCTACAGTTCCCATTTTACATGATAACACTCCTGTTCTAATGGATTGTTATCAAACACATCTATTTGTTTTTTTAATTGTTTTGTGTATATTTTATTGCTACTGTCCTTTAACTGTTCTGGAATAAATATTTATGAAGGGTGGCATAAAAAAACCGCCTTCAGTAAATAGAAGTGGAATATCCACAGCTTGGTGGAAAACAGGTATGACCTGTCTGGTTTGTGATCTGGACATCTTGGCAAATCATCCAATCAACAGGCAAACAAAATGGAGGGGGAAGTACATGAAACAAGCCAATACTTGACTGTATAAAATGGTTGTTTAAAATCGTAAGGTTTGATTGTCAATACTTTTGCAAAAATAAAATAAAATAGAGAATGCTACCTTTTTAACTTTGGCTTCCTTCAGTTTTTCTAATGCAAGCTTAATCTTGTCAGCTTTTGCTTGCGCTTCTTGTTCTTCCTGAAAGAAGAAAGATTGTAAAGCCCCTTTTAAAGACACCACACCCCAGTAAGAAGCATTCTATCCCCTTTCCATTTCATGAACATTTTCATTTCTTCTCCCTTTTAAATTTTAATTTTTGGTGCTTTCTGCTCCAGCATGGGTTTGCACAGCATCCCATTATGTCGAATACCACTGTTCTAGTTGGTTGGTTTCTTCTTGTTTTGCGGACCGCCATAATTTCCAACATTAAGGCCATCACACAGGAACATATGAAGAGACCAGCATCCTGTTCTCACAGTGCCCAACCAGATGCCTGTGGGAAACCAGCAAACAGTATTTGACCTCAAGAGCACTCTGCCCTTCTGTGAATTCCAGCAACTGGTGTTCAGAAACAGGGCATGACCTTTGATAGCTTTCTCCTCCATCAATTTGTGTAATCCTCTTTCCAGGTTGGTGACCACCACAATCCAGCCTGGATAGCGCAGTTGGTTAGAGCAGGGTGCCGATGACACCAAGGCTGCAGGTGCAATCCTGGTAAAGGACAGCTGCAGATTCCTCCATTGCAAGGGGTTGGACTAAATGGTCCGTGGGTTCCTTCCAACTCTACAATTGTATGAGTTCCTTAGTTAAACGATGTGCTGCGTAAATAAGTACTGTAGTTTTCCATGTATAAGATGATGTTTTTTATTCTAAAAGAACGTTAAAATTTGGGGATCATCTTATACATGGATAGTGCAAAGGGTGGACAGGCAATTGGTTGTAGCCGCGAGCCAGAGATTGTCAGCAGCGATTTGGCGTGTAATTGGTGGCTGCGACAAGGGCTGCTGTTGATTGGCTTCTGCTGCAGCATTTTTGCGGGCGACTGGTGGCTGGTGAGCGATTTTCGGCAATCCCCCCCAGCCCCACGACTCTGGGCAAACTCCCCCCATTTCCTTAATTTGGAGTCCCCAAAAATAGGGGCCGTCCTATACATGGGGGCATGTTATAAACGGGAAAATACAGTTGTTGTTTTTTTAATCTGTCCTGAGTCTTCCAACATTTGTTATGGCTATATGTTGCCTCCAATATCAGAGATGGTAGCTCTCTGAATAGGAGCAGGAAAGTACTATCCCACTCATGTCCTGCTGGACTCAATAGGTCTTTGGTCTGATTCTAGGATGATATGTTTTTACACCCATTCGTTGAAGTTTCTCGCCCTGCTGAAGGTACAAACTCAGTTTTAGCTTAACATTTCAATTTATACAGAAAAGTAGTCTGCCTCTTCAGCAGAAAAACTTCCATATTATTCACCTCTCTGCTTCGTGATCTCAGGCAAACCCAGAAAGACAAAGGGGACGTAGTAGCTCTCTGGACTAAAGAACCACTATACTTCTCCACATGGGGCTGTCTCAACATGAAATACCTGATATTGTGCTTTCTGGCCAAGAGAAACTTTCGGGGTAGTTGGATTGTACTTGAAAAGGTCAGGAGAAAGTGATTTTGCTTCTAAAACAGAAGGGCTTTTCATTTTGCTATTCTAGGTTCTCTCTTTTGGTGCTACGGAAAACATCTACAGAATCGTTAAAACAGCCTTTGCTAACCTGGTGCCCTCCACCAGGTGACAACTCTCATTATAGTCTGTCTATGGCTGATGGAAGGTGGCGCTGTGGGTTAAACCACAGAGCCTAGGACTTGCTGATCAGAAGGTTGGCGGTTCGAATACCTGTGACGGGGTGAGCTCCCGTTGTTCAGTCCCTGCTCCTGCCAACCTAGCAGTTCGAAAGCACGTCAAAGTGCAAGTAGATAAATAGGTACCACTCCAGCGGGAAGGTAAATGGCGTTTCCATGTGCTGCTCTGGTTCACCAGAAGCGGCTTAGTCATGCTGGCCACATGACCCGGAAGCTGTATGCCGGCTCCCTCTGCCAGTAAAGCGAGATGAGCGCCGCAACCCCAGAGTCGTCCGCAACTGGACCTAATGGTCAGGGGTCCCTTTACTTTATGGCTGATGGAACTTGCTGTCCAAAGTATATGGAGGACACCAAGCTGGTGAAGGTTTACATTAAAACAAGGGCCTAGCAGAGTTTTGAAATGAGATTCTGTCAGTGTTTGAAAAAGAAAAGGTTCTGACCTCCTTTGCCTGGTCCTTGGACCCTAGTTGGCACAAAGAGTCCTTTAGAAAGAGTACTTTGCAGAATGCTCTTTTATTCTAAAAAAAGTCTTCTCCAACCATGACCGACAGCTTTATACATAACAAACGCAATCAGCTTCCAACCAACCCACACCGCACACAATCAATGACCACTCTATATATACAGGCATATGTAGGTGAAAGGTTGCGTGAGTCATGCTGGCTTTGCCAATTCATTGTAGGCAGCTGACTCATGCTGACTCAGTTCCTTTCATATTAAAGAAACAGTGGCTAATTTTAAGCCGTGACAGATTCTGCTCACCTGAGTGTGTGGTTCAGGAGGCTGGGTTGGAGCAGGTGGAGGAGGAGGGGGAAAACCAAAGGCTAGTTCTGGAGGAGGTGGCGGCAAATCATCCTCAACCTGGGTAACGGCAATATTTGGGAAACTTGACTGGGCATAAGTGGTGACAGGAGCATTTGCTGGAGCCTGAGTCTTGGCAGCACGTTGGAAATGAGAGGCGTCTTTCTGTTCTTGGAATGTAGCTTTCTCCACTTCACTTATGTCTGCTACAAGATCAGACATTAAAGCATCCAAATCGGTATCTTCCAATGCATTTAAGGATTCTGTTAAGGGGCAGGAAATACAAGATATCTCAGGCATCATTTCAGTACTGATCTTGAGCAACTTGCTCTGCTGGTGTGAGTAGATGCTGTTCCACAGATTATAATAAGGATGGCTTCTAGCCAAGGAGGTGACAGAGGCAAGTTTTTAAAAGAGCACCTGGGAATACTGTACTAGAGGAATTTACATCTGAGTATTAAAAGCCAGGCTAAGATTTGCATAGAGAAATGAAATATAATAACCTGAGTACCATAGTCAAAAGCAAATTATAGCTCTGGTAAAATTTACAGGATCGCTTTTTTGAAAGAAAGAGAAAATTTAACCTTTCATTGTTTCAAGAGTTAGACCGAAGTCATTTTACACATTCAAAATGAATGAATTGTTTCAGAAGAGAAAAGTATCCATTTAGCTTTTTGCTAAATAGTGCTTGCCCCCTCCTCTGACAAACTGATCATAGTAATACAAAATACAAATACTCACCATTTAAATCTTTAAAACCAACTGCAAAACTAAATTCCTCATTGGCTGCTTTGCTGGGTGGAGGTGGGAGTGTTTCTACTCCCAAACTCTGATGAAGAAAGGGGGGAAATATCACTGTCACTGGCAAAAGTCATGGTAGAAAAGTTATTCAAGGTATCCTAAGACCAGAAACTTATCTACTGGGCTGGTTATTCTCTATAGAAAGACGTTTGCTTTGTGATTGGAAGTGTAGTCTTAACATCCCTTTCTCCAGAATAACTTGCCCCACCTTTGACGTCAAACACATTTGAATGCTGCTTCATATGTCATGGGGGAAATGAGTTTTGAGTTGTTTATTTATCATGTACAGTGGTGCCCCGCAAGACGAATGCCTCGCAAGACGGAAAACTCGCTAGACGAAAGAGTTTTCCGTTTTGGAGGTGCTTCGCAAAACAAATCTGCTATGGGCTTGCTTCGCAAGACGAAAATGTCTTGCGAGTTCCTGCGTTTTTTTTTCCTTCCCCCCCTTTTTCTAAGCCGCTAAGCCGCTTATCTGCTTATCCGATAAGCTGATAAGCCGCTAAAAGCCGCTAAAAGCCGCTAATAGCGCTAATCCGCTAATCCGTCAATGGGCTTGCTTCGCAAGACGAAAAAACCGCTAGACGAAGAGACTCCCAGAACGGATTCTTTTCGTCTTGCGAGGCACCACTGTATTCAGTGTGAACACCATAAGGGGGGCAGGAAACTTTTGACTATAAGCCATTCTCCCCCTCCCCGCTTCCACAGCTCTGTTCAACCATCCCCTCAAATCCCCAAGTCACTAACAAAACACAAACAAGTGAAATGCCATGCATTTCACATACTATCTAGTTTGTCTTAAGGTAAAAAAATAAAAAATAGAAATGTAAGATCCATGATTGGACCTCCTGATGTTGATATATCTTTTTAAAAGCAACAGCTTAAGTTGCCAGGGCACTTGCAGGGTTTAAAAAATCCTTTCCCCTGTGCTGTTTCCCTGATTTAAACCACCTTCCACAAAAGAGCTGTTTGTTTCCCCAGCAAGATAAATAGCAGCTTAGAGGGCAGGTGGGGAGACAAAACTGGGGAAACAGTGGTGGTGGCCACTGTCACAAAGCAGACTCAGTGTCAATATCTACATAGAAAAGGTTATTTATTAGTTTTCAAGCTGTTCTATTTTCTCATTTACACCTAATCCATTATTAAGAAGCCAGAAACTTAATACAGTGGTACCTCTGGTTACATACTTCATTCGTTCCGGAGGTCCATTCTTAACCTGAAACTGTTCTTAACCTGAGGTACCACTTTAGCTAATGGGGCCTCCTGCTGCCGCCACGCTGCCGCTGCACTATTTCTGTTCTCATCCTGAAGCAAAGTTCCTAACCCGAGGTACTATTTCTGGGTTAGCAGAGTCTGTGACCTGAAGCATCTGTAACCTGAAGCGTATGTAACCCGAGGTACCACTGTAGTGAATTGGGATTACTGTTCTGATAGCCAACACTGTGCCATTAAATCATAATGTTTGTGGGGTGCCTGGACTCCCCTTCTAATTCTGGGGTTCTAGATATTTATTCTTGCATATTAAAATACAAGTCAGGATGAGTCATTAGCTGGGAAAATGGAAGTGGCTCAGTGCTGCCGTCCCTCCCAAAGGTTAGTTAGTTCGAAAGACAAAAGGAAAGTTTAGGATGGAGTTTTTGCAGTGATGTTGTAGTCTGGAAAAGATCAGCAAGCTGGAGAGTGGGGTCAGAGCTACATTTTGGAGCATGTTTGATTTTCTCTTTTGAATCCAGGAGCGTGCCTATGGGAGAAGCAAGGCCCTTTTGGAGTGGCAATGATCTGAACCCCTCCATGGCAGGCTCAGGTTATATATATCTGTGTCCATAAACCCTATGCCATAAAGACACCACAGTCTCCCCTGTGCCTCATTTCCAAAGGAAACATGAACCTTGGGTAGGAGCCTGCAGCCCTGGAATTTTGCACTGCTGTGGAGGTTGGGGTGGTATGAACAATATTTTATTTTATTTTATTGGTTTGCAAGCTCCTTCCAGCAGAATTCCTAATCTACAGAGTAAAATACAACTGACGGAACCTATCTGAACACCATAAAAAAAAAATCAGAAATAAAGCTTTATGCCAAGGGACTCATATATAAAAACCGAAGTGGCAGGTTAAGTGCTTCAAGTTACACTTTCAAAATTTATGTAATTTGTGCCATAGATTCTTATTTTGCTACGTTGCCAGCATTCCGCTGACATCTAAAGGCCAACTTGACATTACAAAGGATATATGCGACCCATTTCCCAGAGGTTTCTTTTTCTAAAGGAAAAGCAGCCGCAGGACTCAGCAATCAGAAGCAGAAGAGAGGTGAGGTGGGCCAGGGAGGGAATTAAACTCCCCTACAGGAAGGAAAGTAGCTTGGTGAAGGGGCAGGAGATGGGTTTAACAGACAAATGGCTGAAAATGAAAGACACAAGGTCCCCTGTATACGGGGTCTCCCCACCCCCCACAAGAGGGAAAGCAGAATTTAGTGAGCAAATACGTGCTCCAACGACATAGTAACCTGTTTCTGCTATAAAATTCCCCATTCCCACATAATGCATGCAGGGATAGTTATACAGTCGTACCTTGGAAGTCAAACAGAATCTGTTCCAGAAGTCCAATTGACTTTCAAAATGTTCAAAAACCAAAGCATGGCTTCTGCTTGGCTTCAGGAAGCTCCTGCAGCCAATTATAAGCCGTGGAAGCCCTGTCGGACGTTCGGCTTCCAAAATAGTTCACAAACTGGAACAGTCACTTCCGGGTTTGCGAAGTTCAGGAGCCAAAACGTTCGGGAACTAAGCTGTTTGACTTACAAGGTATGACTGTAGTGTCCTTTCTTTTTAAAAAATGTTGATAGGTGTGCTGGTCTAGCACAACAGGCATTGTGATGTTTTGCTTCAGCTGCAAAAAGTCTCTCGCAACTGGTACTGGTTATTTCATGGGCAACGTGGGGGCAGAAGATGAGGAATCAATCTCGGTATGTTGAAATAATTATATTTAGTAAGAAAGAACAACGATGAATGGAGACAGGAAGAAGGATTCTTTATTCCTTCTTTTTTACTTTCTTTTACCAATTCTCCAAATCAGCTAAGAAAGTATAACTTACCTGTGTCAGCAAATCCATTTCCCCCAATAAATCGCTGAACATCTGATCTATATCTTCACATGTTTCCTCCATCTGAAAAACAAAAATCAGGCAAGGGTGAGAGCACGAAGCCTCCGTGCCTACCAAAAACGTCACAAACTTCTGCAACATAAAAGGGATGCCCTCAAGTTTCATTCTTTTACTACTAACTGTAGCTTTTCTCCTATTATTATTATTATTACTGAAATAAACCATTTCATTTTCAAAACATTTTGATAAGACTAGTTCTCAGATATAGCCCCCCTCTAAGGCAGGTCACTGATCACCTGTACTGGTTTTGCAGTGTCTTTTTCCTACTCCAAAGAAATAATATCCTACTTACTCAGCAGTTATCCTGATTTGCTCACAAAAAGCTTACATCGAAACTAGATTTTATTTAGTCTTTATTGAACATTTGTTCTGATTTGTCTGTAGAAAGGTTATAAATCAATGAGCACTCAACCTAATTAACAAGTGGTGTGTTTACCAGTATATGTCTTCATTTAAATCATTCATTCATTCCACGCCTTTCAGTTTATTTCTTAGTCACTTTCCTAACAGCAAAAAGCCCATTTATTTTTTAAAGTGGATTTGTCGCATGAAGGCAACAGATCACTTAAGTCCATTCTAATTGCACAAACCTAAATTTCCCAGCACATTTGAATCCCTCCCACAAAATGCTGACAATCTGAAGGCACCCCAGCGTCAGAGTTCAGTAAAGCATGTCCTAGAGTAATTCCAGCCCTTTCCTTTTGATCCAACATGACTTCATTGGCCCTTGGTGAAGTTTGATTCATTGGAGACCACCACCCAAACAATGTATGGAGAAATTTCCACAGAATATTCGATTTTTTCAATTCCCCTCTGATGCTTACACTATTCTGTCAAAGAAATAAAAGTCAGCTTGCTTTGTGGAGCGTACCCTTTCCAGCCAACATGCCTTGCTCAAAACAGTAACAAAGAGCAAAATTATCTCCTAGCAGGCAAGGAATGCAGCAAAGGCTGCAGAATACTAAAGTACCAAAGAAAGCACACACCAGACACATGATTCTGATGGGGAAGATTGCATAAGTCATAACCTTGTTACTGTTACATGTGAGAATGACTCAATGTACAGCCGGGTGGAAAATCGGTAGCAGGCAAAGGGCTGAACCCATTCCTGATTCCCCTCCCCCCAATAAAATTTAGCCAATTCCAAACTAATTCCCATTTCTCTTAGGGCTATCACTCAAAGAAATCTTAGCCAAATATATATAGGTAAAGGTAAAGGGACCCCTGACCATTAGGTCCAGTCGTGACTGACTCTGGGGTTGTGGCGCTCATCTCGCTTTATTGGCCGAGGGAGCCGGTGTACAGCTTCTGGGTCATGTGGCCAGCATGACTAAGCCACTTCTGGCGAACCAGAGCAGCGCATGGAAACGCCGTTTACCTTCCCGCCGGAGCGGTACCTATTTATCTACTTGCACTTTGAGGTGCTTTCGAACTGCTAGGTTGGCAGGAGAAGGGACCGAAGAACGGGAGCTCACCCCATCGCGGGGATTCGAACCACCGACATTCTGATCGTTAAGTCCTAGGCTCTGTGGTTTAACCCACAGTGCCACCTGCGTCCCTAGCCATATATATATATATATATATATATATATATGTATATGTGTGTGTGTATATATATATATATATATGTGTGTGTGTGTGTGTATATATATGTGTGTGTGTGTGTGTATATATGTGTGTGTGTGTGTGTGTGTATATATATATATATATATATTATTCTGTGGCAAAAAAGCACTCTCACTTTCCTTGTAAATAAGGTGCAGAAGTGGCCTGGTTCACACTTTACACAAGGTCAGACTGTGAACAAGCAAATGCACATTTCTGGGGACAGAATTGCAGGTGCTTTGCTCCTGACTCATTCCAGCACCTACCATGCTGCTTTGTAATCTAGCAGCAGTTACAGACTTGGCTTCCTGGTGTATCTGGCCATGCATGATACATGTGATCAAATGACAGTCAACTCTCATTATTTCACCCCCCTCCCCCATTGAAGACTTTGTAAAATGAAAAGAAAAAGAGGAAGTTAATGTCGGCATGCAAAATTCACAGCAAATACCGTCAAACCTCGGCTCTGTTTTCAGCTCTGTTTTCAAACAATTCAGCTCCCGAACGCTGAAAACCCGGAAGTAAATGCTCCAGTTTAACATTTTTCGGAAGCCGAACGTCTGATGCGACTTCCGCTGAGGGCAGGAAGCTCTTGCAACCAATCAGAAGCCGTGATTCGGTTGTCCAACGTTTTGGAAGCTGAACGGGTTTCCAGAACGGATTACGTTTGACACCCGAGGTTTGACTTTAGTTTTATCACCCGTTCTTATTTATCATTAATCACACACACATTTCAGAAGTGTGGCTGAGTTGGTTTATTTTAAAAGAATTCAAAAAGTATCCAGGAAAACAAGTTCAGGCTTGAATCCCAAGTACAGTGGTGCCTCGCAAGACGGAATTAATCCGTTCCGCGAGTGTCTTCGTCTAGCGGTTTTTTCGTCTTGCGAAGCAACCTTATTAGCGGCTTAACGGATTAGCGCTATTAGCGGTTTAGCGGCTATTAAAGGCTTATCGGCTTAGCGGATTAGCTGCTAAAAGGCTATTAAAGGCTTAGCGGCTTAGATAAAGGGGGGGGGAAAGCGAAAAAAAATCTCAAGACTCGCAAGACATTTTCGCCTTGCGAAGCAAGCCCATAGGGAAATTCGTCCTGCGAAGCAACTCAAAAACGGAAAACCCTTTCGTCTAGCGGGTTTTCCGTCTTGTGAGGCATTCGTCTTGCGGGGCACCACTGTAAGTCCCTTTTGAAATCAAATGGACTTCAAAATAAACATGGATTAGGACGGGGCTCAGAATAATTCCATGCTGCAAGGAAAAAACACCCCTAATTGATGAATGGTAGCTATTTATTCAACACTCTGCAATTGAGGATTCTAATTAGCTTCTCCTAGCCAACAGCTTTTTAACGCATTGCCAATTGTGAAGAAAAATTAACCAGTCTCTGATTAATAGGGAGCAGAATCACCCCGTTCTCTCCTGGATAGAAACAACCTCAGCCATGAGTTTATGACTACTGCCCCTGTAACAAGAATGTTTTTGCAGCACATCCCCCACAATGCCTCCGATTACCATAAATGAGCAGTAGGCGAAGGAACAGGCCAATGATCTGCGCTGATACGGTAATTGCTAGGGAGAGAAAGAGCCACCAAGGCCCCGCTAGGCATAGCTGACTAATATGCAGTTCAAACTGTTTAATATTTATGAGATAAATATGAGGTTATCAGCTGGGCAGCTCCGTTCTAAAAGGCCGCTTAAATTTCGCAGCATAACTGAAGTTTTGCACCACTGCAGCTGAAACGGCATCCTCCTCTTGCCAGCTAGGCTTCCCGTTGCCTGTCAGAATCAGTCACGTTTCACAGAAATCCCCCAAATTACCAGGAATATGATGCACTGCACAGTGTCTCAAAAACTGGCACGGAAACATTCAGCAAGCCTTTGGAACGGCCCCCCTGTCTCTGTTTCTGTCTCTGCTGGGTAGGTGTTCACAGGCTAATAAATTCCTGTTAGTACCAGAAATTGGGTCAAGTACTATAGCCATGCAAGAGAATGCACAGACTCTAAGCACTGCTGCTTGATTCCTATAAGCCAATAAAATGGCCCAATGCAGTAACTTGTGGAAACATGCTATAATAATCATATTCTTTAATGCACATATTAGGCTTGGCCTTGATTTCTTTAATAGAATTTTCCCATTCTCCAAATCCACACTAGAGGAGATAGTCCTACCTCTGAACTACTACATCCCACGCTTTTGCCTCTGCCTGGAAAGGTGTTTACAAAGAAAAAAAGGGGAAAAAAGACATACAATGGTACCTTGGCTCTCAAACTTAATCCGTTCTGGAAGTCTGTTCCAAAACCAAAGCGTTCCAAAACCAAGGCGTGCTTTCCCATAGAAAGTAATGCAAAATGGATTAATCTGTTCCAGACTTTTAAAAACAACCCCTAAAACAGCAATTTAACATGACTTTTATTATCTAACGAGACCACTGATCCATAAAATGAAATCAATAAATCAATCCATCAGTAGCTGAATTGGGTTCCATACAGTCACAAAAAACAAAAACAAAGAGCCGCATAAACAAAAACAGACCTCAAAATCAATAGCAAAAACAGACAGACCTCAGCACAAAAGTATGGCACTCAAATCAGAAGCATAACATTCAAAACGGAGCACATTTGACTTCTGAAAAGAGTTTGCAAAGCGGAACACTTACTTATGGGTTTGCAGTGTTTGGGTTTCAAGTTGTTTGAGTACCAAGGCATTTGAGAACCAAGGCATACCACTGCACATGCAGTCATACATGCTAAGGTACTAATGGTAGCAAAGTGCTGAGGAACTGATAGAACTAACATTCTTCTTCTTCTCCAAAGGACCACAGCACTCCACAGCATGGCACACTTACAGAATTTGCCTCTTGTACATATAGATCACCAATATTTTTTAAAATTCCTCCTGAATTTGGAGCATGGCGCTTGGCTCAATCTCATGAGATAGGACAGGAACCAACCATGTTCCAAACCAGCCTTTGCCAACTTGGAAGGCTGGTATCCAAAACATCTGGAAGGCACCAGGTTGATGAAGGCTGTTTTAAACTGAGATGAGTTTTAAACAATACGGGAGCATTTCCAGATAATCATACCATAGCATACTTGACCTAAAGGTTTGTTAAGTTACAATGAATAATCAGCAGGATTACTGAAGTACAGAAAGTGCAGTACCATACATCTGAAAGCTAGCGTGAAAAATGAGTCTCCACTTTCTAACACTACTTCAAGGTATGCATTGTTAAATTTATGCTAGGATATACTTTATGGCATTCGTGGGTGTGATTTAGTGAGACAAAAACAATTGATTTTGTGATTTAAAAAATGAGACAAAAAAATTGTTTCATTTCATAAACATTCATCGCATTGATTCTTATCAAATAAACACCACTTATCACATAAGATAAATACAAAACAGATGGACCATCAGCAACTGTAATTTCTGGCACACCAAAACTGATTAGCATGACATCAAATAAAAGCATGCCCTTCAGGCAGGTTGGTTTTATAGATATTTGGGGATTGTTATTTATATTAAATGGCAACATGAGCTTCGAAGTATATTTGTAATAGGGGAATTTGATAATGTGGCATGTTGCCCGCTTTCCTAGATCTTGTTTATTAATAACATGTAACAATGCCTGGAATTTGATATTGTTTTTACAAGACTAACGTTGTTGATTATGCCCCTACTCCACTGAAGGAATTAGATAAATCTGACGAACTGGAGCTGTGAAGCAGCAGCAGGTCGGGGCAGAGAGGGAATATGGTACAGTACAGTTTCCTTTTTAATCTGCTTGATGGGAGACAAGATGCAAGAAAGCAAAGGTTCATCTAGGCAACAGCTCCCAGTCCTTCTGATCTAGCATCACAACAAAGAGTGTGGGAACAGAAAAGTCCCTTGTCCCCAGATGAGCCATGCTATTAGTATGGAGAGAGCCAATCAGCTAGTCCTGCTGCAGTCTTTATTAACAATGGTGATCATCAGCAACCATTATGGACTGAAGCATCCTGAATATTTACCCTGTGGGAGAATCAGTAAGTGCTGAAGCTGCTCTTGATCCTCAACATGAGGTCTCCCTGGATGAGCCCTTAGTAGTATTACTGAAGTACTCTTGTCTGCCATTACAATGGCTACATTAGCATGAATGCAAATCTGTTTCTCAACAGCGAGCCACCCAATTTGTGCGATGCCATGGTCTATTACACACCCAATCTGCATTGTAGATGGGTGCAGTGGTAGTGGGGGGGGCTGTTTTTGTCTCATGTTGAGGTGCTGTTGACAATGAATAGGCATATGCCACTTTTTCCTTCATTCGAGCGGGTTGCATTCTATTTTGAAATCTTCCACCCTCCAACAGTGTTGATTCTACCACAGTACAGATGGGGAAACGTGTGCCCATCCAGGCATTGTTGAATAGCTCCCACCATCCCTCATCGTTGGCCATGCTCACTGGGGCTGATGGAAGTTGCTGTTAGCTGGGAGGCTAGTCACTGCTGAATAGTAAGAACAGACTTGCTCTGTCCAGGTTCCAAATCCTGTTCAAAGAACTGGAAGTGGGAGTCATTTCAAGAAAAGGGGAGCAGAATTTCACACATACAAGGAGGAGGGTTTTTCTTCTTTCTGAACATTACTGCCAGGAAGAATTCTGGATTGCTGACAGAGCTAGAAAAATATTTCAAAATCTGAGGTGAGGTAATACCCAATGAGCAGCACTGGGAGTGGCAATTTCAAGAGTGATAGTTGAAACCTGACCACAGAACCACACTGTGTTCTATTAAAAACAAAAACCCATCTATTTATTTAACAGAATTTGTAGACTGTTCAATTCGAAAATGGAACGTCTTTAAAGCAGTTTACATAAAATAGTGTGAATAGTTACGAAATTACAGATAAAATCAACAAATCAACACACACACACAATTATCAAAAACATTAGCAATGCCACTACTATTAAAGTAATTTGAAAACAAGTATGCATAAAATTGCATGTCTGGGTAGACTTGACAAAAGTGGTCAAGTAGGCACATCTGGGTCAAAGGTGATCTTTCAGGTAAACTGGTCTCAAGCTGTTGAGGTTTTTATATATCAGTAACAACACTTTGAACCTGGACCAGTAACAGGTCAGGACCCAGTTCAGATCTCTGAGCAGAGGTGGAATATGTTGACAGAACCTGACTCTTGTCAGCAATTGTTCTGCAGCATTTTGCACTAGCTACAGTTTCCTGCTCAACCCCAAGGGAAGCCCCACATAGAATGCAATGCAGTACTGTAATCCATTACCAATGCCTGATATAATGCAATCAAGCTATCCCAGACCAGTAACAGTCGCAACTGCTACTACAGCTGAAGCCGACACATTATTTCACTAATGTGCCACAGTACAGAAGTGTCTTTAAAAAAAGGAAGTGGTTCTCTACTAAGTATCTCGGTGACTCAAGTTTCTGACTGGTAATGAGTAAACAGGTTTAAATCTTTGAACAATTCGTAACAGGAAAAACTAAAGGTCATTTTAAATTTTGACAGAAAGCCTAAAGAAACAGAGGAGGGAATACTTTTTCAAAACGAATAGAGGTGGTGCAGGAACAGTGCATATCAGACTGCTTTTATTTTAAAAAAAGGGTATGAAAAAAGTAATAATAATAATACAGCCACATCAAGGAAGATGCTTTTAATGGAGGCAGAAAAGACTACTCTTTTCCACATTAACTTTTATCCCATAAGGGTGGGGAATACCTGGCCTGCTAGCCTAAATAGGTCCAGCATGGGTCCTATTTAGCCCGTGAGGCCATTTCCCCGCCTGCCCCACACCTTGATGTCATATGTGATATTAGGATTTGGGCAGCTAGGGACATGGCCTGTCAGTACAGAGGTGTCAACCTTGAAGTGTGCTCTAAATTGTGCAGTGGCAAGGGAAGCTTCTTGTCCTGCTAATCAGCTGACTGACACAGAGCTGGGATTGGCTGAACAACTGGGGAACAGGAAGGACAATACAGCTGGCCCCTGCCCAAAGTGGGGATATGGCAAACTCCAATGGGCTAAACCTCCTATCACTTCAGGCCTTGTGGGGAACTTGGTCACACAGTGGATCCCTGCAGGAAGCAGGCTTGGAGTCACTTGCTATCAGCTGATAGGTGGCAACGTCAAGCCTTACTTGGCTAGGCTGTCCCTATGCACCACAGCTTGCAATGGTTCAAAGGAAAAACTGGTCCTCTGGTGCCATAGTAATATCAGGTGATTGACAGGCGATGGGGCACCACCCACCTGCGATGTGGCACACTGGGATTGGGGGAAACCAGGAGTCTAGTAATTCTTAAGAATAGGCAGATTCCTTCTTTTTCTTCTTCTTTGGCGATCACTCGTAGCTGAGTAAGACTGTCTTCCATAAACACGATTTTAACAATGAGTCCCTAAGTGACTGTGGAGGCCAATTCTGGAGCCACATGTCCTTCCACAGTGGGGACATTGGTTTCTGGGTAGGAGTTGATCACGGTGTGGATTTGCCAAGTGTGCCTTCCTCTTAGCACGTTTCTCCCTTGTGTCCTGAGTTCGAGTGTCTTCAAAGCCCACGACACCTTTGGTAAAGGCTGTTCTCCAACTGGAGCGCTCGCAGGCCACTGTTTCCCAGTTGTCAGTGTTTATACTACATTTTTAAAGATTTGCCTTGAGACAGTCTTTAAACCTCTTTTGTTGACCACCAGCATTACGCTTTCCATTTTTAAGTTCGGAATAGAGTAGGTGCTTTGGAAGACGATCATCAGACATCCGCACAACATGACCAGTCCAACAAAGTTGATGTTGAAGAATCATTGCTTCAACAATGGTGATCTTTGCTTCTTCCAGTACACTGATATTAGTTCGCCTGTCTTCCCAAGTGATGTGTAAAATTTTTCAGAGACACCGTTGATGGAATCTTTCAAGGAGCTGGAGATGGCGGTTATAAGTGGTCCATGTTTCACAAGCATATAGTAAGGTTGGTACTACCATAGCTTTGTAAACAAGCATTTTGGTTTCCCTGCGAATGTCCCAGTCCTCAAACACTGCACTTCAATTGGGAGAAAGCCGCACTCGCAGAGCTCTTCACCTTTAATAGGCAGATTCACAGCGCAGGTGAATGTTTATTGATACACAGTTTTATACTACAAATACAATTAATTGACACGGCCAAAGTTATGACCTATAGTTGTGAAGTGTTAAGGAGCAGGAAAAAAAGGGCTGCTCCCCTCTCCTTCCACCCTACATGGACTTTGTCTCCATGTAAAAGCGTGGGGGGGGGGGATCCAAAAGGAAACTTTGTACAACATTGCATTTGAAATGTGTTGCAAGAATTTATTTGAACACCAAAGCACATGGATGAAACTGCTGCTCATGCAGTAACTGCCTGAACCTCATATTTCCCCCTACACACGTTTATTATAGCAAGCAACATAAAAGAAAACCTTAGCCGACTTAAGATGAACAGACCAACATAAAGTGTAAGATATCCAGTTATCCTGCTTAGTAATGCTGCAAACTTATAAGCACTTACAAAGGACTAAGTCCCACTGAACACAATGGGACTTACTTCTAAGTAAACATGCAGAGGATTGTGCTGTAAAGCAACTAATTTTAAAAGGGAGGCAGGGGGCTTAATTTAACTCCATGATTTAACTGCCAAGATTTACCAAACAGATTCATCCAATTTATTTTTTAAAAATCATAAAAGTTTTTGCATAGAATGAAATGGAAAGTGATGTCACTGGCTTAACAAAAAACAAATTATTAAAATGCCTACTGTTCAATAAGCAAAGCAAAGCCTATCTGAATGGCCTTGCAGTAAATAACCCTTGGCTATATTCCCCACACATTAATAAGAATACAAACTATGAAACTTTTTAATGGGTACACAATTATTGATAATGCTCCATAACAGATATACAGGAAGCCTCATTATTGAATATTGATTTTTCTTCCTTAACTGTTATTTAAGCACCAATAAATTAGCAAAACTATTCAATTCATTTGCAAATATCACCTGTGCTGAGGGGGTAACTACATGTCATGTGTTTTGCAGCTCCAAAGCCTTTTTTTTTTTTTTAAAGGAAAGCAGCTGGCAAATTGAAAAGGAGAAAAAGGGAACAGAAAAAGGGTTAACAACCACTCCCCCTTAGTGCTTATCCACTCAAAATTACTGGCACCAAAGCTGTTTTCTTTTCAGATTACTCTATTATACCAGTTTACACATAACATGTAGTTAGCTCCTGATATTGCAGCTGCAGATGCTTTGCCCCAGCAGGAACAGCACAGCAAAATTATTAATTAGCTTTACATGGGATTAACTGAGCAAAAAACCCCCTAAATCTTGTGATTCAGGAGGCCTGCACGTGACTGATAAGAGAGGCATGGGAGAGAATATTCAGCAGTTTCTGCAGTGAAATTTTGCCATATTCAACTATCTTAAAGGAACAGTTGTCTATAGTCTGGAGGGTATTCTAATTCAGAGCAGCGCAGCATACAATTGCAGCACAAAGCACCTCTGCAGTCAGTGCTGTAAAACAACAGGTTTGCCCCAACATCTGTTTTAACGTTTCTGTGTGCTTCCTGTTCGATAGGGGTGGGGGAAGGACTGAAGGAACACCTTCAGTTAAGTTTAATTAGCAATACTTATATTTCATAGAATCATAGAATCATAGAGTTGGAAGAGACCACAAGGGCCATCGAGTCCAACCCCCTGCCAAGCAGGAAACATTTAAAATGAACCATACCTGTATAAATAAAGTAATTAAAAGAACAGTTCAGGCAGGAAACAATCACTCAGGAAGACAATGAATAGCTGTTTTTTCATAATCAGAAATCATGTAAGGCAGAAATAGCCTCCCAACATTGTGGACTACAATTCCCATCATCCCTGACCATTGCCAGGTTGACTGGGGCTGATTGTAGTTGGAGTCCTAGTTGGAGTCCACAACATTTGGACAGCAACTTATTTGCTGTTCCTTTATCCCTGCTCTCGCCCTCCATGTGTTCATAGGCTGCTGTAGTAACTTTCTTGCCATCTAAATGGTGTGCAAGTAAATGCCTATCCACTGTTTTCACTTATAGCTAATAACCTAGTAGTAGTAGTATTAGTAGTAGTAGTATTTAAATCTATATACTGCCCTTCATCCTAAGCTCACAGGGTAGTTTACAGTATAAAGTTGTTTTAAAATACACTGCTTACTCTAGAACACTCCCCCCACAATTTTAACCTATGGCAAATTTCGGTTTACCTCTTATCTGTGTAATCTAATCAAAGTGGAAGCAGATTAAGGGGTTGCCCCTTTAGGATTGCAGAGCTATGTGTTCAAAGCAATGTCCTTCCATCTGCCACTTCCCAGAGTTTGCTTCTAGCCCAAGGACTAAAGAAGGCAAAACAAAAACACAAAAAAAGTTTCTCCTTCTAAGATGTTTATCCTCTCCCTTTGAAGTAAAAGTTCACATTGTTGTTGTTTAACCATTAAAAAGTTATGCCTCTCTCTTTGATTGGTAGACAGGATCCTCCCACACCCCTCCTGTGGCTCACTGGATCAACGGTTAGTTAACTGCTCTCATCAGTTCTCCCTGCAGGGAGCCTCAAATCCTCACCGGTGCACTAAACAGTGCACAGTCTTATCTTGAAACGCAGCCTTTATTCCCTGAGATCTGACAGAAGGAAGGGGAGGGAGGGCAAATGCAGCTGGTGGGGGGGAGTCCTTTTATGTAACTGTCCTTGCATGAAAGTATAAAGCACACATCCTCAGCATAACGAACTGCGTAGGGTTTTGCAGTCAGGAGGACTCACAATGACCGGTGATTACCTTCATTAAAGCCACTTGTGTCCATTCTACAGGAACACAAAATAAGTCAACTTTAGGCCCGTTTTACACAGTTGTTTTCTTTTTGGTTGTGCATGTGCCTAAAACTGCATCATACTGTGCAAACCAGAAGAACTTTGGCACTCCTTGTGCAGCACATCATTATTAATGGCTTTTAATTTATTTTGTATGTCTGTCGTTTTATTTTGTTGCTAAGTTGCTTTGAGACTTTTTTGTAATGAAGTGAATGACAAATGCAAATCACCATCACCATCACCAGTTGACCCACAACATCTCCCTTGGTGACTTATATTTAGGCAACACTCCCCAGCCTCAAAGTGTCCAAGGCACTTTTTAGAGCTGTGACAATCATGGAAATCTTGCTGGGGCATCTGCTTTACAGGTCCCAGGTTCATCCCAAAGCATTTCCCATTAAAAAAGACTGGGTAGAAGGGGATAGCAAAGACCGTTGTCTAGTATCCTAGAAAGCTACACAATGCCAGGCGAGACAGACCAATAGAGTGACCCAGTATGAGGCAACTTCCTATGTGAAAGTTCACATCACATGTTTTTACTTGTGATGAGACACCCATGGACTGGTGAAAAAATAAAACAAAATTGCTGAATATAACCAAATGCACCACCCCTTATAAAACATGTCACAGAGAGATCTCTAGGACAGAAGATTCTCTCCACCTTAATATAAATGTTAACATATACTATATTATTGTTGGATATTCTACTTGAGAGATTCTTCAGAGGTAAGTCTGCTTTCAAGTGTAACCAACTTGTTCTCTTGCTTGGTCATGGGGCTACAGAAATAATGTCAAGCAATGTACAGTCCTTAGCAACCATTTTGGAACAGCTATTGCTAATGTATTCAGAACACGGAAAGATCTGGTTGCTTGGCTGATCATATGATGACTCTAAAAAATTGCAATGCTTTTCCATAGCGTGACCTGTCAGTAGACCTCAGTGGTGATTTGTCTAAACTAGCATGACAGATTGAACTGGGGAGATTCTTATATTTCTGAGAAATTTCCTTGAAGAGAAAAGTGAAGTTAGAAAAAAAAAGTTTAATTGATTAAGCGATATGAGGCTCCTCAAAAATGTCCATCGGTTGTCATTGGGAGAACAGGAATAAGGTTCTATGTTTAGTTCACAGAAATTAGAAAATATTTTACCTGACACTAGGGAGGCAAGAACCGACTCAACCTCAGTCAAAATTCTATCACTGGGTTGTGGGGGGGGGGGGGAGCAAGGCGGTGGCAGGAAAAGTATGCTAACTAGAAATGGTAAGAAAATTTAAAAAAATCCAATCTGTTAAAGTCACTCTCAAATGACTATTCCCCATCCTATGCTGTGATCCACATGAACCTGCCATTTCACATTGTTGTACAGTGGTGCCCCGCAAGACGAATGCCTTGCAAGACGAAAAACTTGCTAGACGAAAGAGTTTTCCGTTTTTTGAGTCGTTCCGCAAGACGAATTTCCCTATGGGCTTGCTTCGCAAGACGAAACGTCTTGCGAGTTCTTGCGAGTTTGTTTCCTTTTTCTTAAAGCCGCTAAGCCGTTAATAGCTGCTAAGCCGCTAATAGCCGTGCTTCGCAAGACGAAAAAACCGCAAGACGAAGAGACTCGCGGAACGGATTAATTTCATCTTGCGAGGCACCACTGTACAAAAGATCAAAAATCCAAATATCTGAAAATGTTAGTACATATTCTGTAGGAAGCCATCCAGTACAGATTATAAGAACTGCACTGTTTTCCAATATGCATACATGTAGTTCTGGTTAACTTGTAAGGACATATGTTTCATGAGTGGAATTTAGTTCTTTAACTTCCCTGCCTCATCAAAACATTCGGGGAATGCAATCACCTGCCTTTAAACCCTAGACTTGCATGTTACATAAGAAGAGCCTGCCTGGATCAGAACAAATGCCTATTTAGTCTAGCATAAGATTTCTCGCCATTTCTAAACAGATGCCTAGGGGAAGCCCGCAAGCAGGACATGAAGGCAATAACAGCCATCTCTAGCTATTGTTTCCCATCAGTTAGCAAGCCGCCTCTGACCTTGGACAGCTACAGAGGCAGATTTAGGGCAGTGCAACCAGTTTCCCCCCATACAGGGCGCCAAGCCATGGTGGGACCTTGCTGCCTCATTCCCAAAGCCTAGTAACCACTTGCAATGGGAAGGAGGAGTGAGGGTTCTGACAGGGTCCTATATAGCCCACCCTCCTCCTACCCAAAACCTAGTCAGCCCCTTCCCAGGAGGTGGGAGGGCTCTAGGACCTTGCCCGAGACTTCACGCCTCCTTCCTTAAAGCCTGGCACCGCTCTTACCCGGCTTTGGGAAGGCAGTTGTTGGCTGGGAGGGGGCATAAAATTTGGGCCTTGCACAAGATACCCTATTACCAAGGTCTGCCCCTGACAGCTATTATGGTTAGTACTCGCTGATAGCCTTATCCTCCATGAATTTATTTAATCCTTCTTTAAAGCCATCTCCTGAAAGAAAACACACACAGCAAAGATCCCCTTGAGCAACTTCTCTTTAGGGTGCACTAATGTAAAAATCAGTAAGTGCAGCTATTGCTGCAATTAATTATGAATTTATTACCTGCCCTCCACCCTACATTCCCAGCGCAGGTTAAAACACAACGTTAAAAACAGTTCTTTAAAACCTAAAACTTATACTCACAAAAATGGGGTGGGTCCTAGAAATAGAAATGAGGGCCAGTTTAAAGATTGCACTTCCATGCCAAGGAAAAGTCATCTGTTAATTTCTGCACTTATTAAAGGTACAGAGGCTATGTCTATAGAATCTTCTTTTCTTCTTCTTTGGCGATCACTCATAGCCGAGTAAGATTGTCTTCCATAAACACGGTTTTAACAATGAGTCCATAAGTGACTGTGGAGGCCAATTCTGGATCCACACGTCCTTCCACAGTGGGGACATTGGTTTCCGGGCGGGAATTGATCACGGTGTGGATTTGCCAAGCGTGCCTTCCTCCTAGCACATTTCTCCCTTGTGTCCTGAGTTTGTCTTCAAAGCCCATAACACATTTGGCAAAGGCTGTTCTCCAACTGGAGGGCTCAACAGGCCAGAGGACCAGTTTAAAGATTACACTTCCATGCCAAGGAAAAGTCATCTGTTGATTTCTGCACTTATTAAAGGTACAGAGGCTATGTCTATAGAATATGGGCAAGCCAAGGTGGCACAATTCGTTTTTAGTTGTATTTTCATATTGTGGTTGTATTTTCAGATTCGTGGTCATGTGCACTGCGAAATGGGATTTTACATTGAAGGAGACACATCAATGGTGCATATGACACACATACACAGGCTCTTCCATTGAACTATGGCCTTCTCCTAAGGATTGTAAGGTTATATTGTGTATTGTATACACAAATAATGTATATTGAAGCACCACACAATGCTATGATTTTTTATCTGAAGAGCCTATCACTGACCTACGAAAACAATTGTGATAAAAATTTGTTGAAAGGGTCTGTTTGCTAAACAAATCATTGGACAATGGCCAGGATCAGGTGTTCTTGTGATTTAAGGAATGTAAGGGGTCAAATAGCTAAGCCAGCATACCAACCCCAAACCCAGTCTTTACTAGGCAATAAATACAAATTAAAAGCACATACCACCCCAAAAGGTAACAGGAACAGGACAGTCTTAAATTTTACTGCTCTGCCAAGAGAAAATGAAAGCAAGTGGATTTGTCAATTACATTGCAAATGCTGATTACAGAATATGAAAGGCCTGCTTGAATCGAATAATGAATGTAATAGAATAAAAACCTAAAAAGAAGCAATTCACACTAGAATATGGACATTACTGATATTATTCATAAGTAATGAAATTATTTTCCCCTAAATAATCATTCCTTATGATAAGAAGCTCCTTCTGCAAATTGATGCAACAAAGTATTTTTGCTTAATGCTGTCATAGGTTGAGAGTGAAGTCAATGCTAAAGTCATAACATTTTGAAATGTGGCCCATTTTATCTTTATTAATGGAAATTAACCTGACACAGTATATGCTTAGCAGCAGAGGAAAGACAATCCAATTTACAACATACCATAGTTACAAGCTTTTTTTTAACTCAATAACTGTTCTGTATATTAATGATTACATTTCTTAGCTGCACTAGAATATGGCCTTGTCTGTATCCGATGCAATATTCAGAAAATCAAGGTCAAACAAGTTGTCTCCTTTTGTTTTCTACATGTTTATATTTTTCTATATAGTTATTGCACCATTTCCATATCTTTTCAAGTCTGCTGTTCTGTCAGAAACACACACACAAACCAGAAATACATTCTGCCAAGCAAGACTCTTCCTTCCCCTAACGATAACCCACCTTTTAAATGTTTGTTGAGTTTTGCATGCAACTGAAATATCAAAAACCACTGGTGCATATCAAGATTTACATGTGAAAACGGAGCTTTTCACCTTACGGGAAAGGGTGTTGTTTTTAATTTTATTTTTGCCCGGAAGCACAGGAAAACATAAAAAAGCACAAAGGCTAAATTAGAAATTATATTATTGTTGTTGTTGTTGTTGTTAAAATATGTTTACCGCCCTTCACCTGTAGATCTCAGGGCAGTTCCCAACAGAAAACGACATGATAAAAAGCACAAAATATAAACAAGAACAAAACAAACCGCTAACCACCCCCTGGATCACCACTATCATCCTGTGGGTTTGTTTGAGGCATCAATAAGCCTCCCTAGAATCAGGTTCTCGGGGTAACTTGCAGCAAAAAACGAATTTTAAATGCATACAATAAAACACACGATAATGCAAAAGCAACATCAAACCAGTTTGCAGTTCTGAAGCCTGATGAGGCTTTGTGCAAGACAGAGACAGAGTCTTCCCCTAATACCAGATTTTCTTATTCAAAATGCATCAAGACATTAGAAGCCCCATGGTTTATTATTCTAGTTATTAGTGTGTTGACCTAAAAGGGATGGCTCAAGCTCACATGCCCACTGAGCTATGAAGTTCACTGGGTGGCCTCGGGCTAATCTCTATCTGTCAGACCAACAGACCTCACAATATTGTTGTGAAATAAAATGTTGGGGGGCGGGGAAGCTCTTTACATGACCCTGAGCTCTTTGGGGAGGAAGAGTGGACTAAAAACACAATGAACAAATAAATAAACAAATACTGCTTGACACATGTAGCTCTGTTCATGGGTATAATAGTTTTTGAGAGTGCAGTTCTCAACATACTTTCCTGCACGCAGACATGCACAGGACTGCAGTGTAAGAAAGATAGCATTTAACTCTGTAAACCTTGTTAAGTTTAATAAGAAAGGAGTGCACTGAATATACTTCAGTTCTACTTTCAACAAAGTAGTGAGTCTGAATTACCCCAAAGGCGCACTCTTCCATTGTTTTTCAAGACAGATGAATGCCAACACACAAAAATTAAGTTAGGTTCACGTATCTTAAGTCCTAAAAAATCCCCCACCTCATTCAAAAAAGGTGAAAAAGGTGTGGGGTTATTTAAACTGGTTCCTCTGTCCCAATTCTAATAAGGAAGGAGGAACTGAAAAACACACAATTCTCCAGAAAAGTAAAATAAGGAAGGCATCCTCATACAAGCACCAGGTAGGCAATTATTTACCGTATTTTTTGCTCTATAAGACTCACTTTTTCCCTCCTAAAAAGTAAGGGGAAATGTGTGTGCATCTTATGGAGCAAATGCAGGCTGCACAGCTATCCCAGAAGCCAGAACAGCAAGAGGGATTGCTGCTTTCGCTGCGCAGCGATCCCTCTTGCTGTTCTGGCTTCTGGGATTCAGAATATTTTTTTTCTTGTTTTCCTCCTCCAAAAACTTGGTGTGTTTTATAGAGCGAAAAATACGGTAATTCTATTTTGAACATCAATTTTCATCTCAGTATGCAAAGCAGCAACAACATTTATCTGGAATGCATAGAATACTGATCCTGGGCAATAATATTAACTGACTCAAGCTTCCTGCACTTCTGGTCCAAGGCTATAGTACACCGTCAGGACTAGAACTAGAGGGGAAATTTGCGGGAAGAGAGAAGCAGGCATCTCTAGTCTGAGACAGTTCTTAGGAGCCATAAAGGTAAGCATAGACTGAAGAATGTGCACATTACATCTAGCCTGCAAAATGGAAGCTAGCTGTTTTGGACAAACTTCAGTATATATTCCCAGCAAGTGTGGTGAAACTTCTGCCTATTTGTCCTTAGTGTACTTTGTCTGTAACATGTTCTCAGTGCCTGATGGCTGCTCAGCTCTGAAAGCCTCCGGATGCAAGTGCAGTTTTTGAGAAAAATACAGAATCCAGCTTCTTTCTTTTCTGCTCCAGGATAATGTTCAACGCCGACAAAGCAGGAAATAAGCAATCAAGGTTTTGTAATATCTTTACTCAATTGTACTGAGGCCACAAGTGTGCTTATGCTTTTCCATTCTAAATCCAATACAATCCATGCCTCATGGAAAAGGAGTATGAACATATTTTTCTTTGGAGTCAGCAATCTTATAGAAAAATACCAAGGTGCTAAAAGCCAGGTTCTGCAAATTTGTGTCTCTCTCACACACACAGTACATGACTGGTGAACTGAACTGAGTCCAGCTTCGTGGGTCAGCGACAGGCCACATGCTTTGCTTGCAGAAGGTCTTAAATTCAATCCCTGGCACCTCCACTTTTTTAACAGAACGAGGAGGACAATGTATGCTAGATGGACAGTCTTTCTATATGCCTATGACTTTTAGATACCAGTCCAGGAAACTTCTATGCAGATGTGCCCCATAGCTGAATGGTTTTTCCAGGTCTTCAATACAGGTAGTTCCAATTGTGTACTTTTGCAAAAGGTGGGGAAACATTGTTTGTTCCCTAGGTGCTCTGCTTGAACTTCAATTGGCTTAACTGGTTGTTATTACAATATACATATGATCTGTGAACAGTCATACACATGAGGTAGTTGTGTGTGTGTTTGTGTGTGATGTTTATATGTGTGTAGCATGTGTTTTGTAAACCATCAAGAGGTATTATTACAATCAAGCAGCATATACATTTTCTTAGATAGACAGATAGCTACATAAATAATGGGAACAGGGTAGAGAAGAAGTAGTTGTTCTCTTGAATACAGTGTTTCTGTGGTGATCTGAAATAAGAGAATAACTCTTATGCTCTCATAGGAAAAGGGGCAGTCCCTTTTTTATTTTTATGTCCAAATACATATATAAGTATATAAACCACATATCTGAAATAGTACAGGAGAGCAATCCTGTAGCCATTTTGACTCTTCCAGTGACCTCAAATATTCTCTGCAGTGAGGAAGGAAATGGGAAAAGCCTCCCCATTGTCTCTTTGCTCACAAATCCTGTCTTAAGGGTGTATTTGTGCATGAATAGGGTGAGTCTGTGACCTGGATTTAGGAACTATTTAGCATCTCAAAAGGAATGGCCAGGCTGCCCAGGTAAAGCAATCAAGTGACCACTACAGTGGTACCTCAGGTTACAGACGCTTCAGGTTATGTGATTTCGGGTAGCGCACCGCGCCGAAACTGGAAATACCGAAACAGGTTACTTCCGGGTTTCAGTGCTCACGCATGCGCAGAAGCACTAAATTGCACTTTGCGCACAAACGCCAAATTGCAACCCGCACGTGCGCAAATGCAACAGGTTGCGAACGCTGCAGGTTGCGAACATGCCTCCCGCACGGATCACATTCGCAACCTGAGGTTCCACTGTATCAGTATCTTGCCAGACAGCATTTCTGTTGTAGGCCACCCCCATGATGTAGTTCTGCTGTAGCCTGCCTCCTGTGATGTAGGTATGATGTTTTGGGGGGTGGTCTTGAGCTACAGGGTGGGCAATTTCAAAAGTCGATATAAGGACTTGCACACCATTGTTCTGGGTCCCTCCTGCCTCCTGTGTGTGGTTGTGAGCACCCTGTTGCAACAGTTAATAAAGATCAGGGTTACTAATTGCCTTGGTTCTCAAGATTCTCTGGATGGCCTCCATTATTTACTCCTTCCGATAAGCACTCTATATGGGCACATCGATACCCCATAAGGTAAAATGAGCAGTATTTTTCTTATAACACTTTATAATAAGAAAACTCTGCTTGTTCTTTTTTACACAGCTTTTTTTAAAAGAAACTTTAGGTGTGGTAAGTCAACACTGGTTCTTCCCCCTGTGTTGCAAGAAGGTATGCTATTCCGGCCTCTACCAGCGATTGCAAATTTCTGTGGCAGGAAGTTTTGCAGAGCTGGCAAAACCACTGTAGAGAACTGAGAATGCTGAGAGGGGTAGAGAAACGAGCATACAAAATCTTTACAAACCAGCCACAGAAGAGAGGTTGTTATGAGGAAACTGAGCCGCCTTTTCAACCCTTCTCCACCTATATACCCAAACAACTTTCAAATTAGATTCTTAAGCAGAACTCAATTTTTAAAATCAGATATGCTTAGTGATGCTGATTGAAAGCCAATTATCAGAGTTTGCAGGAGGTGGGGGGGGTAGGAAAAAGGAGGGGTAAATAAAAACTGTTTCACGTACACTTGAGGAAAAACACTCAAGACATGTCCTGAAATCTATTTGTTTAAAATATGTTATACAGCCTGTGCCAAGCCTCAAAAGGTGACCTGCAATGCCCAGTAAGACCCTTCCAAATCAATGAAAATCCACCCAACCACACAATGCCATAAAAGAAAATAGCAGCCACATACTGTTACTCATATTACTGATATTCTCTGGACACAGTACCTATAAGACAGAGATAAAAAGTAATTTCTATCCTGGAAGCGAAGGCACAGAAAAAACGCAATATGGAGGCCAAATGGCCGAAATATTGGGAAATTCTGGATCAAGATGGAGACAGACTAAAATTGCAGAGTTTTGAAAAATTGAAAAATAAAGTGCGAGACTGGCTCCATTATTATCAAATAATGGAGGCATACAATTTGGACAAAAAAGTTGGTTTCCAGGTGGAAAAATCAAAATTGGAAACAGAATTGCTAGATTCCAAAATTAAGAATTTGTCAAAAATGTATAACTTGCTGTTGAAATGGAACACTCAGGATGAAACGGTGAAATCAGTTATGATTAAATGGGCACAAGATGTTGGACATAATATAATGATGGCTGACTGGGAACAGTTATGGACCACAGGTATGAAATTTACGGCATGTAATGCCCTAAGAGAAAACTTAATGAAAATGATTTATAGGTGGTACATGACACCAGTCAAACTTGCAAAAATTTACCATTTGCCCGAAAATAAATGTTGGAAATGTAATGAGACTGAAGGCACATTCTTTCACCTTTGGTGGACATGCCCAAGGATTAAGACATTCTGGGAGATGATTTATAATGAAATGAAAAAGGTATTTAAATATACCTTCCTGAAGAAACCAGAGGCCTTTCTCCTGGGCATGGTCGGCCAATTGGTGTTAAAGAAGGATAGAACTTTTTTTATGTATGCAACAACAGCAGCAAGAATACTTATCGCGCAGTATTGGAAGACACAAGATTTGCCCACCCGGGAAGAATGGCAGATGAAGTTGATGGACTACATGGAACTGGCGGAAATGACTGGCAGAATCCGAGACCAGGGAGAAGAGTCGGTGGAAGAAGATTGGAAAAAGTTTAAAGACTATTTACAGAAACACTGTAAAATTAATGAATGTTAGAAAAATGTTGGAATGAAGTTATATGGCTTTAGTAGAAATGTTACAAGGAATTAAGTACAGATAGGTTAGTAGAGCATTAAGGGGGAAAATAAGGTTAGAATGAGTTAAGATAGTTATAGGATAGAAAACAGAGGAAGATGGAAAGGAATTGCTGAAATAATTAACAGAAGTGGAATACAAAAAGGGAGGTGTGAGGAGGTCGTGGAAATAAGTGAATGAAAGATGGGATAACGAAATTGTTTGATTTATTTTATTGTTTTTGTTTTGTTTTTGTTGATTTGTTGTGTTGTATTGTATTGTTTTTCTTTTTAATGTCTAAGTTTTTGGGAAAATAATAAATATTATTATATTTTTAAAAAAGTAATTTCTATCCTACAATAAATTTTCTTTAGTGGACCTAGGGAAAGGAGCGGACTTTTTAAAGACTGTCATTGCTTTTGGTGTGTATTTTTCATATATACGGTATTCAATTTTTTAAAAAAATAGCATGATGGTTGTTGAGTGAATGGTCTAGAATGATCCTGGAAAATGCTTGTTTTCATCTCTAGCCAAGGATGAGGGAGAGAAAATCACCCTCGGAGCATTACGTTGTATATGAACCCCTGTTCCCCAAAAAGAAAGGTGGAAACCCACAGGGTGCTGGAGACAGCCATGAACTATTTCTGACTTTTAATTTCCTGCTCCTCCTCATTCAAATCCGTTTTTTTCTGGCGAAGGAAAGAACCTCTCTGCCTGTTAGGTCCAGCTGCCTTTAGGGCCATGGTTTCCAACGGGGTGTGTGTGTGTGTTTGATTTTTAAGGGGGGAAATTTGAGAATGAGTTATTAACAGTTAATGGCCTTTTAGGCTTTCTCCACGTGAATTGGAGTTCACCTTTTGAATAATAAGAATTACATGTCACAGTAAAGGTAAAGGTAAAGGGACCCCTGACCATTAGGTCCAGTCGCAGACAACTCTGGAGTTGCAGCGCTCATCTCGCTTAATTGGCAGAGGGAGCCAACATACAGCTTCCAGGTCATATGGCCAGCATGACTAAGCTGCTTCTGGCGAACCAGAGAAACGCCGTTTACCTTCCCACCGGAGCGGCACCAATTTATCTACTTGCACTTTGACGTGCTTTTGAACTGCTAGGTTGGCAGGAGCAGGGACCGAGCAACGGGAGCTCACCCCATCGCAGGGATTCGAACCGCCAACCTTCTGATCGGCAAGTCCTAAGTTCTGTGGTTTAACCCACAGCACCACCTGTGTCCCCATGTCACAGTAGTAATAATAATAATAATAATAATTTGTTTGTTTGTTTGTTTGTTTGTACACACATACATACATACATACATACATACCCTGCCCATCTGGCTGGGTTTCCCCAGCCACTCTGGGCGGCTTCCAACAAAATATTTAAAATACAATACAGTGGTACCTCGGGTTAAGTACTTAATTCGTTCTGGAGGTCCATTCTTAATCTGAAACTGTTCTTAACCTGAAGCACCACTTTAACTACTGGTGCCTCCAGCTGCCGTGTGCAATTTCTGTTCTCATCCTGAAGCAAATTCTTAACCGGAGGTACTATTTCTGGGTTAGTGGAGTCTGTAACCTGAAGCGCCTGTAACCCAAGGTACCACTGTACAATAAAACGGGGGTGGGGGGAGAATCAAGATTTTAAAGGAGCTTAGGTGGGGCATGGCCAAAAAAGGGTTGGGAACCATTGCTTTCGGGACAAGTCTTCTCATCTTCGCCCTTGACCCCACGACTAATAAAATTTAGGTCCCCCTCCTAATAAGGGGCTTACCCCCCCCAAACCCAATCCACCCCGCTCTGCTGCGATAGGAGGAAGGGGAAATGCAGTTCCAGCCTATGCGCCCCACAGAAGCCCAGCAAGACCCCCGAGGCTTACCTTGGCTGCTGGCCTTGGCCTGCCCGGCGTCCAGGCGAGGCGAGAGGGGTCAAGGAAGCGCGCGCAGGGACTACACGGGTGGCTCACGCAGGCAAGGCAAGCAGGCAACCCGTGGGGCGAGCCCGCCTCTGCTCAGCTCCCGCGAGCTCCTCTCCGGCGAAGGACGTGGCTCCGGGGCGGCCAAGTGGGCGCCGCTGGGCCTCTCACAAGCACGAGGCTGAGGGGAAGGGCTGGGCTCCGAGGTGAAGGGAAATTTCCCCGGGCGTAACTCGTCGAACGAAAGGAGGGGAAGGGAGCCCTCTCTAAATTTAAAGAAGAAGGGAGGGAAGGAGGAACCTTCTCAGGAAGCAAGCAGCAGTCACCCTTAAAAACAAAAACCACTACTGTTAAGACTCAACGGTGTTTTATTCTTGCTCGCTTCCTGGATGTCAGACGTTCAAAAGGGCTCACGGGTGCATGTGGATTGTGAGGGCGAAGCGCTGTTCTCAACCACCATACATTCCTCCTGGGTGAAAAGTAACCTTCGCCCAAATAACTCCATGCCTGGCTGCTTGTAACTTGTGGCCCAATTTTGTTTTCTCTCTCCCTGTTTTGTTTGAATTCTACCTGCCCTCCTCATGAATGGATTGCTGAAAGAGGCAAGCATAGTGGGTGGGGGTCTGGAAGATGTCTTAAGCATCATTTTAGCTGTTTTGAGATGTTTGCACAGGATCTAGTCACACAACCCATTTTTAGCATAAACCCAGTATTTAGGTTTAACTTCTATCCTGGACCCCCCCAAAATTAAACATCTGAGTGGGAATATAGATATATATTCCAGTGCACATTGATATAAGTTCATTCAAGTTGCAACTCTTACTAACACTACAGCCAGCTCCACTGCAAGACTAAACATTCCATTAATTTTTATAAGGCAACCGGTCAATTTACAATCTATAGTTGAGGGAGAAGAACCAGCAACCATATATTGGGGTGGGGTGATGTGCAGGCAGGGGAGTTAGTTATTCTTACATCACCTGCTCTGTTAGAATAAGTGATGCAAATACCCAGTTTCCATCTGCAAAATGCTGGAGGGAATGTTACTTTCCACTCGCAATGCATCATACGTCTCTAGTCTTCCATCTCCATATCTCCCCCTCTATCACAGGCTTCCTCAACCTCGGCCCTCCAGATGTTTTGGGACTACAATTCCCATCATTATGAACCACTGGTCCTGCTAGCTAGGGATCATGAGAGTTGTATCATATACAGTCATGCACACACCTCTGCCTGTCCGAAGGATAAGCAGCATTTGACCTATGAGGAGAACTACCCCGATTTCTTTTTCTTTTTTTAGCATTTTTAATATCTCAGATGTGTTCCAGTAACATAAACATAAATCTGGAGGGATTTTTTGTTCTCTAAAGGGAATTCCCCATGCATGTGGGTGTGGGAAACTTACAAACTCTTACATTTCAAAGTGGGTGTTGTTTCTTACACATGTAGTGTATTAGGTTGCAACTGTGAGGTGACCCCGGCCATGGATTATTTGTGAACACAAGCATGGGCCATAGTGGTCCACTTTAAATGTCAAATCACCCTCTGCACAGATAAGTTTCCTTTTACATTCAGCTCTGCTTTTTAATCCAGTGAAGCAGGCAATAGCAGATTTATAAAAAGAGAAGTGCTGGGCTGAGCTTAAGCTTGCCTGGAAACTGCATTTTCTAACATGGAAGTATTGAAAAAATTCCAGATGAAAACAATGACTTGCAGTTACACAGTGGGAAGGGGAAATAGACCCTAAGCATATTCAAAGGAACTTCCTCTTAACATCACATGGCTCAAATTAAACTCTGCCAACTGGCTTTCATTCATCCAACCTTACCACAAAAACTTTCGGGGGGCTTGCCTCTGGAAATTAAGGTATGCAGAACACCTACAGTGCTTCCAGACAGAGGTTTATTGTGGAATTGGTACTGCTCATGCACCCAAATATTTCACACTGTCCGCATGATGTTATACCTATACTTTTTGTTACTGTACACTTAAAGCAGATTTCCTCTTACCATGGAAAATCCATTAACTAAAAATAACTTGTTATACATTCATAGTCACTTCAGCTGTGGAAGCTCATTGGCACATTTTTTGGTGTGTGTGTGTTTGTGTGTAATCATATGTGTGATGATGTTTCGGTGAGTGGTCCCTATCATTGCACTCCTACTTTTGCTTGCTCCCCACTCCCCTAGCACAACCTAGCCATTTTGTTTCCAGCTGCTCAAACAATGCAAGTGTTCCTATTTGCACAGATTGCTACATGCTGAAGGTCCATTTTTCAACAGCCCAGTTCAGAGGAATTATGCGGCAAGGGTAAGGATAGCGGAGCAGACACCAGAGTAGGCATGCCTAGACACACAATATCAACTCACCCTCAACTCACTGATAGTAAGACAAAGGCCAGAGTGGAGGGTTGAGTTATATGAGCTAGAAGCTGGAAGCAAGAAGTAGGCTGGGAAACCAGGGAGTCAGAGCCATGCCTGATTTCTACTTGAATCCAAGGTTGTAGCTATGGGAGAAGCAAGATCATATTGGGGTGTTAATGCTGTGAACTCCTCCATCATAGACTCCGGTTGTATATCTGTGTAAATAAACCATTTATCATAAGGACACTACAGTCTCTGCTGTACCTCATTCCGGGTAACCAACTGTAACCCCTGGAATTTTGTGCCGCTTGGAGCTTGGAGTGGCGGGAAACAATATCATCATATGAGGTTAGGGGGGAGAGAATTGGGGAGAGAAAAAAGGGGGTAATGATATTTCATTCTTTTGCTTAGTGTATGTGCAGAGGTTTTGCTTCAACTTCATGAGGATAGGTTCTTTATTTGTCTGTTTGTTTTTGACATCAATGTATCACACCAAATGTAACCGACCTGTAGAAAGGACTCTTGGAATTGAAATCAGAGACATTGTATGTACCCTTACTATTCATGAAAATATTTCAATAAAAACATTTAAAAAAACACCAGTAGCATCAGATGACTTATTTTTTTCAAATCAGATCAAAGTTGGTTTGAGGGAAGATGCATCACAAGGCAGAATTTCACAGGAGAGATGTGATTTGTGCCTAGCATCACATGTGCAGCGGTAGGAGCACAATGGATGCAGGGAAAATGGGAGTTTTGTATACAGCCTGCTTTCAAACTGTGATGCAAATGGAAAGCACCAATAAAGGAACACCACCTGCAAAAGTGGAACAAAGTCACAATGGCTGTTAGCAAATTACTTAACTCGGATTAATTGGATTGAACAAACAAATAAATGTTAATACATCTTCTGGGGGTGTTATAAAAAAGGCACATGGGGAAGTAAAGCTGAGAGATATACCACTGGGACAAACTTATTCAAAATGCTTTATTGCCCTCTTTTAGAAAAATAGTCCCCTTGCCAGTTTACTATTATTTCTCTTTCCAGAGGCCAAACCAAACAATCTCCCAGCTGAACTATCTGATTAGAAAAATATATCTAGAAGAGAAGGAGAATAACTGCTTTTTGGCTTATTCCCAAAAGCATCTGGAGTATTTGCAGTGAATGATATGCAATTATTGCCAGGACTTTCTAGCCTGCATATAAATTATATAAAGAAAAAGCTTTTGATTGCTTAAAGTCAATCACTGAAATTCTAATCTGTTTTTAGCGTGACCAAAATAATGTCCTGGAGTCTCATGCTAGGATGGAAACCACACTAAAACAATAAACCCTGAACCATAAATACCACACAGCTTGGAGCAAAGATAAATGTAAACTGTTTACAGAGGGTCTTTGAGAGCCCATCAGATTATGGAGCATGTCTCCTTGCAGTGGAAGCTTTTAAATTCTTGCAGATTTTTTCATTAGCAACCAAAGAAGCGGAATCTCTCACAGAGCACAGAATGACAAAGGGGGGAAAGGTATTTTTCTTTATGATGTTTTGGTCCAATAAAGGATATCACTTTACCTGGTGCATGTTTGTTTGTTTTTTTTAATTGTCTGACAGTCATTTGAAAGAAGTTAATATGAAACATCTTGGATGCAATCACATTTACATGAATTTACATAGGTCATCTAAGTATTATCCAGTGAATGCAATTTGAATGAGACTTGGAAGCCCCAGATCAAGCCAATTCAGCACTGGGATCTGAACCACTGAATAAGTTCAAAGCTAGATTTAACCTGGCTGCAATCTGCCAAGCAAACTCCATTCAGCACCATAGAACTTGCATCTGGGCACATAGGCACAGCATTGTGTTGTAACATTTGGACGCACCCGGGGCTGCTAACTGCTACCCCTTTTCATTTTTCTTTTGTCCTTACTGCCTTACCATCCCCCACTCCCTGCCTTAGTCTGTCACCACGGCCATCTAAAATACATGTTGCATGTGTCAAAGTTACAGGGTTTGAGATAAAAAAAAAGTCACCCCTTGACGGGATTAGCACAGAAACAGGGAATCTTGATCTCAAAGCTTTATAGACAAGATTCCAAAAGGTTCAGTGCAATAAAACCACTCAACAAAATCTTTATCTAACAATTAAAATCCTGTTGTATAACATTCATGAATTCACATTGTGTGTTGCAGAAACCTGGCTGCTGTCTCCATCTTTTAAAAAAACATTTTTTATTTGATTTTACATATAAAAAGTTATCACATTACCAAATATATAACCATATGTAGAGTTTTCTCTGAATCCCTTGACTTCCCACCATCCCCTCCATGGGTCCCATTGTCAGCATTTTCAGCTGCATATTATTACCTAATCCATATTTTATATCTTTCCACGCTATCCGTTGTATTTGTTACATTACAAGTGATGTTAAAATCCTGATAATGTTTTCATCTGCTTACAGTGGTCTCCTAAATAAATCATAAATTTTCCCCATTCTTTCTTAAAGTTATTGTCTTCTTGGTTCCTGAGCTTTCTGTTCAGTTTTGTCATTTCGACATAGTCCAACAGCTTAGTTTGCCATTCCTCTCTCGTGGGGACTTTGCCTTCTTTCCATCTTTGGGCTAGTAACATCCGTGAGGCTGTTGTCGCGTACATAAAAAGTCTTTCCTGCTCCTTTAGGATGTCGGTACCTGCAATTCCTAATAGAAAAGCTTCTGGTTGTTGTTTTTTTAACGAAAATTATTTTAAACATTCCCCCCCCCCCAATTCATTATATATCATTTCCCAGAAAGCTTTCATTACCTTACATGACCACCACATACGATAAAAGGTACCTTCTTTCTCTTTACATTTCCAGCAGGTATTTGTACTCGTCTTATAAATTTTTGGAAGGGACGTGG